AATCAGTTAATGCTTTGAATCATCATATTTACACGGGAACTCTTAGATACTTGCCAAACAAATATGACTCTGTACTAATTAGTGCGGTCTACCATTGATAGGAGATTAAGGTACTAGTATGTGCTAGTTAGTATCTAACCAAGGTTGACCCCGCAATCACCAGCTGGGACTGGAACCCAGGTGATGCCGTGGCTGTGGGACCTCATGGAATCATGGGGGAGTCACGGCACGGTGCGGGTCAAAATCCCAACCAACACAATGTTAGCAAAACAAAATCCCAACCTCCCATATTTTCATGATTAATGCATGTTAATATCCCCTTTATGATAATTTTGGGGATGGTTTACTATTACTTTAACGACCTTTCTGGAAATATAGCGAAATACAAACAAATCATGAAGTTGTTTTTCAATATAATATAGAAACGAAGAGAAGCACATAGATGGACAGTACGAAAACAGTGGTATTGAATGGTATTGAATAGTGGCAACATATTTTGTGTCTGGCAACATTTCAATTTCAGTGTCTAAGGCCCCAACAAAAAATGGAGCAATATGTTGCCGTTTTTTTTAGCGGGACTTTACTTGTCTATCATCTTGGGGTTTGCTATAATGTCAGAAAATGCCCGGCAGGGAACACAAACCACAACATCATTCAAATACTAAACCAGGGCCGGGGTACTTGATACAAGTATTGGGAGGAACACATTGGTCCTTTGATCGTCGATCCACAGATGCTAAGAAATCAAACAAAGTCAAAGATGAAATATCTCGTTCTTTCCCAAACTCCTTTTTGCTGCTATATACTTCTAAACGGTCAAACATGTTGCATATTTCGTGCAAACGCTTGCATACTGTAGCTCAGCTAGTGTTGCGTGTCACGGGAAAGCCATCTTGAAAGGGAATGATCTTTCCACCCGATACAGTAAGCAAAACGAACCAAATACCTGATTGATAGGCAGCTACGCATGGCGAGTTGACAACGGGGCTCAAAGCCGCTCTCATGGCCAAGCGAACTTAGCCTGTTTAAAAAAAGAAATGATGGCTGCACCGTATATTCCTCCACCAACAGGTAACATGTCTCAAGACAATGCTAAACTGTTAATTGCATTTAATTACTCCCTGGCATCTTAGCACAGTTGTAGAAAAGCACCATGTGCAATAGGTACGGCATATCATCTCTCTCGTATAGGTAAAGATCGTATATCACCTATGACCAAGCATAGTATAGAACCATTTTCCATAGCTACTAGTATGTTACCTTACCGGAGGGGGTAATCTATGTCATTCACATTCATGTGCCAAGCTGAGCCAAGCTGATCGTTTGCTGGCCAGGAGCGCTCCCTCTTTTTTCCGGCGTTCAATATGTGGTGTGAGACGTGACCTTGCCGACACAGGAGACGTGACCAGGATACAGCAATCAATGGACATGCTTCAATATGTTACCAATTGTTTTCCTAGTTGCCCTGGGGTAAGCGTGCGAAGAGATGCACTTCAGGTTCCCAGATGCTCGCAGCGAAATGTTGCAAGGAGAACAACTAAAACTCTACGTCGGTACATGGGAAACCCTCGGAAGCCGACCTCCAAATATGTCTGATTCGGTGTGCGTAAGAAAACGCAGATATGCCATATCACTATTGATTTTGAAGTCTTGATGGATGTTTTATTAGGCATTTTGGAGGTCAGGTTGTCACAACTCCCATGGCGCCCCGAAGGTGTTGATTCACTCTGTCCGTCGATCTTTCACCAAATCTCGGACACTCTTGGCAGCAAACCTCAAAGCCAGATGCTGGCTCGAGAGACAGGGGGACACGTTGCCACCACACAAGCAACAACCATGATATCAATAACAAGGACAACAATAGCAGCAGTAAGCACATCAATAACATTAATTACCAACATTACATTCTCAATGACTAACATCAACATTAATAATAACTAATATAGCCATCAACAACGACTAACATCAACATTAACCGACATTTAACCAATATCATCATCAACAGCAAGAACAAGACAAAAACATACAAAAACCACAAAGATAGCAACGTAAAAACGTGACCAGGGGGCAGGACAGCAGCAAAAGCCGTCGAGACTTGGATAAAGCGAAGTAACTGGGAAGCACCTGACGGCACGTTTTTGGAGCTAAATTTTCAACTACCCATCCCATCGCTGCTGAAAACCCCAAGTTTACCATCAATTTCTGGGGATTTCTGGTTTGAACCACCAAAACATGTGGTGGTTTATTGGTTTCTGGGGATTTCGGCCTTCCGAAGCCTCCAGGTGCGGCAGAATCCTCGGCAGGTGGCGAGGAAATCCCTACCATTACCATGTACTGGGTGGTTGATTGATAGAGGGGTTTAAAAAAGGAACACTTACATGGATTTACTGATTTACTCTCATCTTAGCAAACTTTCAATGAACTTCACTTTTCATCACTTTTCGAGTGTTTTCTTCAAGGTTGCTATAATCCAGTCCCCCATGATAGTGGGGAGAATGATGGGGATTGAATGGGGATAATTGTGGGATATGTTATAGGGATATAGCTCACCAACTATGCAAAACGTATTCTGGATAATAGGGATTCAACCAGTGAAAATGGTGATACAATGGGATCTAACCAACCAAATGATATGTGTAGCACTGATAGTCCCATCCCCCTAATACTACGGCAAGACCCTGAGGTTTGCCCGGACTCGCAACGAGCGTCCGGGCAAGCCAAGATGCAATGATGATGGTGATGGTGATGGTGATGATGATGAAGAAGAAGATGATGATGATGATGATGGTGATGATGATGAGTATTATTATCATTAATTATTATTATTATACTTATTTTGATATCTTCTTGAAACCCTTTAAGAAACCCGAATGATTGTATGGTTAATTGTCCCATGGGGCCAGGGAATTTTAATATCTTATTGAAACCCCATAAGAAACCCATGGATTGTTTCATTTTATAGGAAAATACCATGGAATTCCTACTGAGGTTTGAGGACCAATATACAAACATCTCATGACTCACCCCATCTCCGCTCGAGCATCTGGTGTCCATAGAGGCTTTGCCAGGCCACAGCGCTAGCAGCACCCAAGGCATAACCTCGCCAGCTCAAAGGGCCACTTGGGAGAAGGGGTCAGGGCCCACATTTTATAGCTATAAATCCCAGGGCCTGGCAAAAAGCCTACAAAATCAGGCAGCAAATCTCAGTGAACCCATTTCCTTACAAACAGGATGGGTTGCTCCTTAAAGACAGTTGAGGGCTGAGAGAAAAACACAGGGAAATGGCAGAGCAGCACCTGAACAAAACTCTACCATTTTGTACGGAGAAATCAGTACTTGTCCTCATTCATGCTGTAAGCCTTTTGCAAATCCGTCACGTTAATACCTATCCAAGAAGGAGGGGTCTGACCCCTTGGGGTAAATTTCCGGAGGGGAAACCCTTGCACTTTGTAGCCCAACTATAGATTTCCCACGTGACTCGCCATGTCCGGAGTTGCAATCGGAGCTCTGTGGTGATTTATTCGCATTCGTTCAAGATCGGTGCCAACCGTGTCATCTGCATATGGTCTCTTTAATGTGTCTTTGCCAAGTTGGAAGTGGACCCACAAACGCCCTAAAGACTGGGCCAGAATTGACATGGTCTCTTCAATGCTGGGCATATGGGAAGCATCACATCCTTTTTTAGTCAAGCCAGATAGAGCACCACAGGAGGTTTGCTCACAATAGCAAAAATCCCTGCAAAGCACGAATTCACTACAAAATGACCCCTTAAAATCAACAAAGTGATTCCTTACAAAATGAATGGCCACAACACAGCCAAGATCTCAAACTACATTTTGAAATTGCTATATTATGATAGTGGTTTTATGCCTAAATCATTTATTTCATTGCTCTTACAATATGGCAAGGTGCAGGCAACTCCCTACAAAATGGCATCCGAAATGGGCCTTGAGGCCCTTCTAATTGGTACATGCTACAAAATGGCTGGCCACGGGAAAGTGATTTCCTACAAAATGGCCCTAGAAATCGACCATAGAGGCCAGCCACTCCATAGGGGAAATTTCAACGGGGATATGTACAGTATAGACCCTTGCACACATGAGCGAACATGTAATCCGAACAATTGATAAACTGGCTGGTGGTGTCACCCTCCTGCAGATGAAAGTCTGCCAAGATCATCAAACAAGGTATGCACAATAAGAAATACCTAGAGCTTGCAACCAGTATATTTGTGTTTTGAAACCCATGCAATAGGAGATAATGCGGTAAAACTAGTAATAGACGTCACCCGAATATCTTTTCTTTTAAACCATCCAACTGGCAAAAATATATGTCTGGTGGACCATTGGATTTACAATATTAAATGGCTCAAAAGGAGCCCCAAAACAAAGACTCTATGGTAGGTAAAGGCGTCAGCCTGGAGCCCTGCATTGTCATGGCTAATTAATCTTTAATACCCTGTCCAAAGAACAAAGGGAAGAACAAAGCAACCTATTTCTATACGATACTGCCGACTGATCATGTCATACAGTTATGGGTACCCTAAAATAGCAGGCTAAAGGATGGTCATTCCCCCAAATACGGTAATGATAGGCTTTGACCCATCCGATCCATCACCCTTTTTTGTTCACCCCAGCGGTGATCAATGGGTGGGCTACGGACCATGTTCGTAGCAAATGACATCACACCTATTGCATGGGAACCCCCTAATTGACGCCGTTTATTAATCCAGGGTTGACGCAAAAGTTGACTGGTACATTCAAACATTAACATGTACAGCAACTAAATCATCAAGCTATGCAAAAAGTCTCTAAACCTAAACACCCAACACAAATGAACAAAGAAGCGCACCCTTAGCGGATCAGCTCCTTTTTTTCACCAGATCCAGCGGCGCAGGGTGGGTATTATGGTATTGAGTCCGCCAAATCTGGGGTGCTCGTCAGACCCGGATTCAGAAGGTAAGTGACTTTAAAAACTTTGAACTTGGAAAAACAAATGGAGAACGAGGCAAAAAAATATATATATATATCTGAATTCGCGGCCTGATTGCTAAAATCCTCAGCCAGTTTGGTCGTCGCAAAGTCTGGCAACTTATATGCTCTGACAGAAGATTCTCACACAGCATCAGGTGTTGACAGGGCTTCAGAACGGGTCTTTAAAAGGTGCTTCTTTGGCAGCCTGCCGACAGACCCACACATCTGACCCGTTTTGTGGCGTTAGGTTGACAGTGAGCCTGCACCCCCAGAAGATATGCTGATTCAATGGAAGTTGCACAGAGTTTCTTGCGTTGAGATTCCTTCAGGAGAAGGTATGACATATCGAAAGCAAAAAAGCACAGGCTTTCACATGGCATTTGTCCTCCCTTCCTAACACTTGACTTCCCACATTCAGAGGTAGTGCTGAAAATGGCTTCCTCCTAGCCTAACCTGGGGATGAGACCCATCACCCCGAATTGTTCGATGGTCAACCGCCAAGTTGATGGTTTCATGTTTAAACCACTCAGAGGGGAAAAAACAACGAAATCAGTCATGTCAATCGCAGATGTTCAAACCACCCCAGCTGTTTCATTGGCATACGTGAATCATACGTGCCGAACGTCACTTTTGAGAGGAAGCTATAGAGGAATCCCAAAAAAAAAACACAGCTCCGCGGCCTCGAGAGGTTCCCAGCCCTGCGGTGGATCCATGGCGTAGCACCAGAAAGTAATTCCTTGGCGCCGGCGAGACCACCCTGCAAAAACATGAACACATCCACCGCACTGCAATGTGATTCTGTAATGTTCATTGGCCCTAAGGGGGACCATCTACAGGAAAGCCACGTTTCGCATTTTGAGGACACACTCAGACGGACCAAATCTCCCTCGTGGTGATATTGGAATGCAAACTATTGCCAACATGTTTGTGGCCCCAAACCATACGTTTCAATCAGATCTCACAAATTTGGGACGCCTGCCCCTACATGTCAGTGCTAACTCATCCAACTTATCTCCTAAAATAGGTCCACCAACGCCACATTTTGGTGGCTTATACATCCACCATTTAACCTTACAAAATAAGATTTGGCCAATTTGGATACCATGCCGTTTAGATAAAACACACACACACATGTAAAGCGCTCAAAAAGAACCACCTGCCCAAAGTTTTGCCTGAAAACATCTCAGTTGATGTGCCTTCTCTTGATCAGCATTTTTGTCTAGAGCAACCCAAAAACATGCCAAAATTACTTTACTTCGTGTGATCCCCACCATGACATTTACACATTTTGGTACTCGCAAATATTCTGGCATTCTATCTGACATATCCTCTGGCATTCTATTTGGCATATCTTCTGGCATTCTATCTGGCAAATCTTCTGGCATTCTATCTGGCATTCTATGTGGCAAATCTTCTGGCATATATTCTGACATATCTTCTGGCATTCTATCTGGCATTCTATCTGGCATACATATCTTCTGGCATATGTTCTGGCATATCTTCTGGCATATCTTCTGGCATTCTATCTGGCATATGTTCTGGCATTCTATCTGGCATTCTATCTGGCATATCTTCTGGCATATCTTCTGGCATTCTATCTGGCATATCTTCTGGCATATGTTCTGGCATATCTTCTGGCATTCTTTCTGGCATAAATTCTGGCATTCTATCTGACTGACATATCTTCTGGCATTCTATCTGGCATATCTTCTGGCATATGTTCTGGTGTATCTTCTGGCATATGTTCTGGCATATCGTCTGGCATCCTATCTAGCAAATCTTCTGGCATATGTTCTGGCAAACATTCTGGCACTTTATCTGGCATATCTTCTGGCATTCTATCTGGCATTCTATCTGGCATATCTTCTGGCATTCTATCTGGCATATCTTCTGGCATATCTTCTGGCATTCTATCTTGCAAATCTTCTGGCATTCTATCTGGCATATCTTCTGGCATTCTATCTGACATTTCTTCTGCACATTCTTTGTCCCATTTCTTCCTACATGAGGTCCGGCAGGGAACACTTGGCGTGGATACTCGCGGTTGAGGTCCGGCAGGGAACACTGGGCGTGGATGGTCGCGGTTGAGGTCCGGCAGGGAACACTTGGCGTGGATACTCGCGGTTGAGGTCCGGCAGGGAACACTGGGCGTGGATGGTCGCGGTTGAGGTCCGGCAGGGAACACTGGGCGTGGATGGCCGTGGTTGAGGTCCGGCAGGGACCACTGGGCGTGGATGGCCGTGGTTGAGGTCCGGCAGCGAACACTGTGGATCGCGGGTCGCAGTTGGACGAGGACGACGAGGACGACGAGGACGACAAGGACGACAAGGAGGACGAGGAGGAGGCAGGAGGCATGACGAGGCAGGAGGCGGCAGGAGGCGGCAGGAGGAGGAGGAGGCAACTGACATAAAATCTAACAACCCTCACCTGGCAGGTGGGGAAAAAAGTGTTTCCAGGATCGAACTCCCATAATTCCATCTTATTCCCCTGATTTTTCTCAATTTTTGTGGGTGCTATACAGGAAAACCCATGGTGTTGTGGCCATTTTGGCCCAAGGTTCCCGTGCCGATCACAGCAGCGGCTTGAAACATCATCAACCCCTGCGCACCTGGCAGTTAAGTCTGAAAATGCTGCGTATTTTATGTGTTTCATATGGTTTTACAAAGTTTTTTAGATCTTCACCCAGATGTTTTATAGGTCTTTACCCGGCCCATATGCTTTATATAGATCGTTATTCATATGTTTTATGTCTTTGTCCATATTGTTTATAGATCTTTATCCATATGCCTTATAGGTCTTTATCCATATCTTTTATAGATCTTTCTCCATATGTGTTATAATTTGTTTTTGTATCCACATATTTTTATAGATCTATATCCATATGCTTTATAAAGGTTTTTATCAATATGCTTTATAGGTCTTTATCCATGTGCTTTTATAGGTCTTTACAGTATCCATATGTTTTATAGATTTTTACCCGTATGTGTTTATACTGTAGATCTTTATCCGCATGTTTTTTTTAAATATTTTTATCCATGATGTCGGCACCTTGCAAGGCAACATTCGACCCCACCTGATCGCATCAAGGACTGTGTTGACACAGCGGAATAAAACGAAGGGATCACACCTCAGAGAACCGTAAAACATGGGGGAAAAATATGGGGAAAGGTGGGTGCTAATCCCATATTTCAAGGATATCTGCTGGGTCTAATAATGCAATATAATATATATATATGTGTGTGTACATAGTATAGGTATAATAATATATGTATCTGTATAATCTGTATAGATGGAATGGGTTTGTTGGAAAATCTATTAACCCGAAAACAAGGGTTTTGGCCATCAAATTAATTGGGGGTTCCTGTAAATTGTCTCATCCAATTCTGTGATCAATGGTCCAGTCAAGTCAAGCTTGCCTTGCCACGAGGATAGCAACGGTCAGAAACAAACAACAAAATGATAACAGAAGAGTCCTTTTTCAGCAATGTCAACCGAAGTACCATATGAAATCACCAATTATTTGGAGGGTAGCTCCCCCAAATTAATAAACCATGGTAACCATTCATCCGGGCTTGACATTCGCTGAGCATGAAAATCAGTTTGTGGATTTGTTGGGCTTGCCAATTCTAATTAGAGTTTAGCAATTATTCTGGGCAGGAATTGACATATGCATATACCGATACCTAATTATGTTATGTAAATTATCTATAGTTATCATACTTACACTTCTGTACATGTCAGGTTGAATACCAGTTGTTTTGGTGGGAACCGGGTTTTCCAAACGGCTCCCTACTGGGTCCAGTGCTCTTTGCAACGATCTCAACGGAAGCCGCTAGACCTTGCAGCCGGCGCGTGATTTGTTTCTTTTTAACATCGGAAGCCTACTTGGATGTGCATTCATATAATATAATGGTAATAATGGGAATATACCATTTGAATATATTTGAATAATATTTTAATATAAACAATAGGAATATACAATTTATATAGTGCATTCAAGTTGCGATCTGTTCTAATATTTTCTAATAGCCAGGTAAAATAAGCCAGTCACAGTCACAGTCAAGTGACATAGTGACATAGTGACCCAGTAATGAGTGGTTCACCACTTCCTGGGATGCACCGGATCCAACGTTTCATAGCTCCAACTGCCCACCTTTCGTTACGGCTATCCCTACCCGAAGCATCCCGCTCCGATCATTCCCAACACCACGCCTGCGCAATCCTTCAACGGCTCAAAGTAGAGCACGTTCACAGAGACCAAGGCGAAAATACTAAGGCCGGCCTTAAGGGGAAGCAACGTGTGAGCTTCTGCTGAGCTGGTGCCCCGGAATCGCATATTTCCCAGCTAAAATATTCCAAATACTCAAAACTAGGGTCCGCGTTACATTTTGGGAAATTTCAGACTGGCCAATTTGATTTTTAATTGATTCCCTTTCGAAAACAAATTAGAATTGAAGGCCCCATTTCAAGGTTTCACCCCCTAATAATAAAAAACAATCAACCCCTGGGTGTTTTTTATTAGGGACCGTCTTTTAAGATCGAAAACAAAAAAAACAAAAAAAAAACATTTTATATTTAATATTGCGGAAAGCTTCGAAATCATTTTTTGGCAATAGTTCAATTAGATTTTAAAAGGACATCTAATCGATTTTGAAATAATAGACCAAACTAGTTTTTATATTAAGGTTTCCAAGTTATTTATTTTTTTATATTAGGGTCTTTAATTTAATATTACGGGGAAGCTTCCCACCCTAATGCTAAATACTCCCTTTAATACTAAAAAATCCTCCAGGGATTAATGGGATTCAATGAGATTCCGGTAAGCGTAGGCTGGGAGTTAACCATTGTTTCAATGGTGGTTGAATAACAAGCAAATTTAATTGTGGTTTTATTTGAAGTTTATTGGGGAAACAAAATTCTAAGCCCTTTTAGCAGTCGCGAAGTTGGTACACATAACTGCAATAACTGCCGGGTTTATCCGGGTTTATAGTAGATAGTCTCTGAGAAGCATCCCGGGTAATTACCAGTCTTGAAAGTATTCAGTCGCAATCTCTGTTTCTTTCACCATGGCTATGGGTCAAAGTGAACGGACCCCTGAAAAAATCATGAAAAATCAGACCCTGAAAATGGTGGCCAGTGAGGCCGGCGGCTTGCAGGTAGCTCCCCAGCAAATAAGCCCAGAGGTAGTTGTAGTAAAAGGCTGCCAAGAAAAGAAAGAGAACGCCAGATGCAGCATAGAGTGACACCTAAGTGGCAGAGGAGCTGCCGGTTGCTATGAAAGTTCTTCGGATAATTCCACTTGATGATGGGAAAAAAACATCATGACTCATGAACATGATCACATCACTGATGGGAGATTTCAACCATTCGGTCATCCAACGTGGCAATGGAAAATGCTGATGTGACCAAAAGAGGGAAAAAACAATAATTCCAAACACCTCCGAGCAGCTATGCGTTTGGACGTCTAGCATGTGTATATTTTATAAACAATATATGATTCATCAATCAACTTGCGAGATCTTGCGAGTATATGATACACATGTACGTGCATATATATATATATATGTGTGTGTTTATTTACACGCTAAACATATAATTCATGTGCCACAAAACTGCCACACTGCCACACCTGAACCAACCATAAGTAAGCGGTTCATCATCTTTCAACGCCGAGAATTCCGTCACACATCGTGAACGTACCGGGCTCTAGATCCCTAACGCCTAAACATGTGCATGTTTTGTGAGCGGCTTCTGACACCATGACAATCCGCAAAGAAAAACAAATTGTATCCTCTTGTAATTTTTACATAGCCATGAAAAATCACCATGTTTGAGAGGTAAATCATGGTTATCTGTAGCTATGTCAGCTATGTCAACTTACCAGATGCTGACAACCTCAGCCAATATACCTTAAGCTTTTCCTCACCTTGGAAGATCAGATCTAGGCCATCTAAATCCTGGCGTCAACCACCAAAAAAACATGTCATGTTCCGTAGATCTGTTAATTTTTGATGGCAGACCCCCCCCAAAAAAAAACATGTGCAGAACAGGGTTAGGAAGATTCCCGGAATAATTTTGATCTTGAAGGATTTGCAGAACAAAATCAGATCAAGGCACGGAAGTTTTCGCCTTCTGAAGAGTATCACCCAATGGCAGCCGTTCCATCAGGAACAACCCCCCAGCGTTGAGCGCACCAAAGGCCAACATCACGGTGGAACAGGTCCTGGGCCGAACGAACTCGGCGTCATGAGACGAGACCTGACAACATGAGAAAGTCTGGGAAAAGCATCTAGAAATGGGGATATCATATATGAATATCACTACATTTATTTATTTATTTATGATATTTATTTAAGATGAATTGTGATGATATATGGCACACAAGGGGATCATATAACATTATATAACAAACCATGTGAAACTGGATGGTGGTTTCACCAATGGGGATCATCAGCCCCCACAGTCGCATGGCAGATGGTTCAACAGAAAACATGGGAGACAAAGGTTGGCAAACACACCAGAAGCAGCACAGACTTGTTCACCCCACACGTTCCAACCCACAGAATGTGATGTAACAATGGTCAGCCGTAGATTACCTGGTGGTCTTGGGCCTGGTGCTTTGGAATTTCAGACCTCACATGGACTCACTTAGAAAAGGGATTATCACCACGGGCACCCCCACCCCCCACGATTCCAAAGCACCAATCCCAACCACCAGGAAATCATGGGCTGAAAAACTCTTCACTATTGGTTTTTTGGCAGTAGTATATCATATCTTTATCTACTAGTCACCATTGGATATATGTATATGTATACCAGTATATATATATAATTCAGTATATATATATAATTCAGTATATATATAATTATAATCATATATATATATATGTATATATATTATCTTGCACATATCTATATGTACTTAATATGGCTTAACAAACCAACATTCACCATCTCAAAACGGTGAAAAAATCACCGCCAGGTCTCATGGTAGATTTGCCATGTGCGACCTCGATGAAGTAGCTCACGTTGGTACCTTGGACGTTGCGAACCCGACACCAAACAGAAAACAGCCAAAGCGAGTACGGGTAAACATCGGTTGCTGGGTACAAGGTGGTGCCCCATAGTTAGCTAAGTTGGTTTATAAGTCCCATAACTATGGTTTATGGCAGATATAACTATAGTTGATGGGGTTTATAAACCCACTTATAACTGGGGGGCACCATCCTGTAGAACATGGTAGAACCATCTTTCAGCTCTTGCAAATCTGTTTTTAGATACTGTAGCTACATGATGGATTTCCCATTGTTTTCTCAATGGAAACGCATATCTTTCTCTGCAAATGACTGAAATGTTCCCAGACCAGAAAGCAGCCTCTTTTCCTTTTGGCTCATGAGGTCACTACGTCCTAACCAGCTCCCAACTTTTGATGGTTTCGCCATGTCTCATCCCCATTTCTTCATTGATTAAGTAGCCGTTGGACAATGTGATGCCCCCAAGTTGTGTTCGTTGATATGCCAACCATTGCAAGCCCCAAAATATAACAATAACTATAGCTATGGCCATGGCTATTACTTTTTCTGCCATAAACCCAACAGTTCGATATCCGATCTAAACCAACAAACGAAGAAACTGGGGCACCACCTTATAACATCCATGCCCGGCACGCCAACGTCCAGGCTGCTGAAGGTCATGTACGCTGCCATATTGCAGCTTTCCGTCAGCAGCAAGGACAAGCAATGCCTTGGGGAAATCAGGGCTTGGGCTGTCAATCAATGGATTGGTTTAAGGGAAAATTTACAGGAAAGCTCCATATTTAATAGGAAAATCTATGGTTTCCTGTGGATTTTCCCTTAAACCAATCCATTGAGTCAAGATCAGATTCGGGTGGACAATTCTGGATCAGCGTCACATAGTTCTAACTACGCATTCAATCTACTAGGGGGTAATCATGGGCACCGAATAACCATGGATATCAATCTTACAATTCAATGTGTTTGGCACATTCTTTCAAACCTCTATATCTAGACTTCAGGGAGTGATGGGTGGAACCCAATGTTTCAGGCATGACTATTCTAGCATATGCGCGTGAAAACAAGAAGACCCAAACAAATGACTACGTCACCATCTCAAAACTCACAATTAAAAGCCAATTACGAACCTGAACTTCAAAGAACAAATCCAAAAAAAGAGAATAAATTAACCCAGCATACAACCCCAATAGCAAAGTTTTCCTTTGACGCCAATCCAAGGCGCCAGTTCAAGAAGCGAGACCAACTAGGACCAGGACCTACCAAAGGAGGAGCGCAACATCAGAAATGAGGTTGTTATAACATGTTATAACATCAAATGAGCGCAACCAAAGATATGAGGACCATTGTTGCCTTTTTTTTCCTGAGTTGCCTGCTAAGATCATATGCAGTCCTGCTAAGAACATATATTGTTGGATATGAAACTGCGGCCAGCTGGATTAATACAAACCTGTCACACCGATGTTGCAGCACCATGTGTGTAGCAACATTCTCATCTAGTTCGAGCCAGCATTCGTTATTGGTTGAGACTTGAGACCTTGAACCCTCCTGCAGTGAAGCCCTGCCTGGTTGCTCTGGGTCAGCATCCGGACAAGTTTCCACCTTAGGTCACGCATCGCTTTACCCTTTACCCTTGGAAGATCCACAAACATTGGAGACCTTTACCATCTAAGGTCCTTGGTTGTCTCGACCCCACTGGAAAATAATACAGTCAGTCGGTATTCTCACCCCAAACAGGGGTGAAATAAACATGTCTGAAACCATCGGCCAGTGATGGGAGTTTGTCTTTACTGTTTGTTTTCCATGTTACATTCTACTCGACATGAAATGATAATCCCTGGAATTTTTAGGGAACCCCCATGATGCGGCCCCCAATACTAAAATCAGCCCATGTCGTGTCTGAAAAGTCCCTGTAGTATGGGATATAGAGGGCGATGACGGGAATGCGGCGGTCTCTATCTGACCCTATCTTTGGGGGTCCCTATCTGACCCCATCTTTATCTCCCTTTCAAGCCTCATTGAGCCATCACTGTTGATGGTGAAATCCAACAAATATGGAAACCACAGGTGGCCCCCAACCCAGCCACCATGTTCAGCCCAGCGTAGGCTGCCATGACTGCCCATAGCGCAGATAGAACCACGAAGGAAGCACGCCAAGAACACAATTCTGCAGAGTATCCTCTCGACAGGCAGGGGCCAAGGCCAATGGGCCTGCAACAGACTACATGAATCTGGCTGTTTTTTTTTAAAAAAAACCATCTGAAGAAAACGGATTTTGGGATGGTTGCCCATTGTTGCCCTAACATCGCTAACCATCATATTTTAGCCTGTGGAGAATGGGGCTAAACCATCGTCGAGATATAAGTGGCTAGCGATGGCTAGCGGCTGGAGTCCCATCTCCGACACAAGGACCCCCAAAAAAGAGCCCCCCAAAGTGAATACTCACTTACTCTCTCTTTGACTCTGACTCTGACTCTGACTCGCTCTCGTAATTTCGCATAGCTGTGGAAAATCACGCTTCAAATCATCAGAGGGTACTGTAGATCAAAGAAATCCATTCCTAAACATGCCTAGACCAAGTTTCTGGGGGTGCTGTAGTTCCAATACAAAGAAAGTAACTAAGTAGCTGTTCAAGTCAACTCCTTTGGAGCCGTCCCAAAAACCTTGATACCAGTCGTCCCAGTCAAGTGGTGAAGACGTGGGGGGTAGAGTACGCCCATGCCCTCCAATCTCAATCTTGAGAGCCATGGAGTCTTGGTCCTTCTTTTCTCCCCGTTCAAGATTTAGACTAAACTTAAATTCTATATATAGATTCAGTACATTGCCATATCTATGTTCGGGATCTCCACGTGGCTCTTTGGGCCATGGCAGCTGCAAGGAGATCCATTGGCTGTTTCACTGAGGCTAGCTGTTTGAAAAGCTACGCAGCAAGGAATTGACAAACCAATTCCCATCAAATACACACAGGACTGTATTACCCGCCAAAAGCAGCTGAAAAGCTTAAAACTGACAAAATATTAACCATAAAAACGTTGCTACATGTATAATTCTGTGTCTATCTATCTATCTATCTATCTATCTATCTATATATATACACGAATTATTATACGCGTATATTATGTGTGTGATATTTCCGGGCCTGACAATGGACCTTGTTATGAACTTGTCACATTTATGGATGACTCTCTCGGAGAGAAGCCGACAAAACTGCCCCCAGTTTCCCAGAAACTCCTCCCAAAACAGGCGCCAGCAACATTCCGACGGTGGACATCATTTGCAGCGCGCTGACGATCATAAAACGCTCCTCATTTCGGGGGAAATAGTCCTTGGTGGCACAGGTCATCCCTTGGGGATCCTAACCCCACCGGACTCTGAAGCCGGGGCGCTCGAACCATGGCGAAGATCACGGGCTCCACCGACTCGCCAATACCCTGCAGCAGGCGCCCTGCGATAAACCACTCGATGCCTGAGTTGGGCACATGGGGAACCTTGGGTGGATGAGACTGGAACCCATGTTTTCCGAAATATGGAGGGAAAAAATGGGAAAAGCCTGTTCTTTGAAGAATGAGTAGAAACATCAATGGTACACAAAAATGTTGTATTAACGTCCACTTCCAAAGGTAGAAAAGCAAATGTTCGTGCCAAAAACCATCCTGCTTTTGGGTGCCCAATGCTGGCAAGTTGTTGGATTTTGAGACAATGACAATGACAAGTAATTTTGGAAATGACCTCGCCTCCCTAGCCATCATTTCTGATCTAACACTGTGCTTTGCATATTTATCTCTCTGGAATCATCTAGACTCTATCTGACCCCATCTGATTCTATCTGACTTAGAACGATTGGTCCCAAAATCTGGATGGTGTCAAGTGGCTACGTGCGAAGGCACAGCAAAAGCTCGCCATACTCCTAAGCTATTGAAAAAAGAAAAACATACCTATGGGAAATCCCAATCAAAATGGAGGTGTTTGGAGGTTTGAATGGGAAAATCATAGAACTAAATGGAGGTGTTTTCACAAGAAAGTCATGTATAGAATCTATAAATGGGGAATTGTCCAGCTCATCTGATGAGGGGCAAGCTTGAAGCTTCACCTGATGGGCTCTGATTCCCCAGGAGATGTTTTGCCTTCTCTCTCTCCATCGCCCTCTCCAAGAATGCAGTCACAGACTGAAGGTCGTTTTGCCTTGTGACCATGTGTTCTTGAAATGACCTTAAATTGGCTGAACATTTGCACTTCGGGCAAGTCGGCCTAGAGTGCTGTTCAGTGCATCTATTGGAGAAACCTCTCCATTGCAGCGACTTTTGCTCCACAAACAGCTACCTGGGATGGATGCTTCCCATTTGGAGGGTGGATCCTTTTCTTGGTGTCCGTTTGCATTGGGTCTGTTTATTGACCAAGTCTTCATGACGCTTCACCAGCTGATTTGCTAAAGCGCATCAGGCTCAGAAAAGAAAAACAGTTGACATTTTCCGATTCCACCTCCAAAAGTGCAGGTTGAACAAAGTTCTTATAGAATGAATCTATTTCATATAACTTAGGAATTATATGACTTTTGTTTTTCTTTGTTTTTTTTTGTTAAGATGGCAAAAAGCCATCACGCAGTTTGATGCTGAGCTGTTGTCAAAAGGCTACCAAATCGAATGATTTCCAATGTAGCACTTTTCCAACTTGTGCCAAGTCAAGCCAGCTAGAATATGTTAGACTAGACTAGCCTTACCTCATTTTTTGCGCCATCAAAAAAGACAACCCGCAAAACGGGCACAAAAACTTGTCCTGTTTTGGATGGGGTTGGATGACGTGGCAATTTGAAATTCAAAGGTGGTGGTGTCACATGGGTAATCACCCCACACAGGATACCACTGGCAACAAGACTGCGTTTGTACTATGTACCTTTCATTGGCTGGCTCAAAAATCTTTGGTAATGAAGGCCTGCAAGACTTTTGACGAAGGGGTCCGCATCGTTCAAGCGCAAATGGCAAAATGCAAAATTCAAAAGGTTCCAGTCCAGTGTTCCATCCATCACTGCACAAGGTTGGGGATGTTGGCAGGATGAAGATTTTATTGACAGATGCTCTAGGTTGAGCAGAAGCTGCTATGTTATATACTCTAGCACCCGTGCAATCCAGAAGGCTTTAGGCCTCTATTCGGATCAGCTAAGAGGTTGATGTCATAGAGATGGTGATGCTACTAGGGGTTTAGCCGTTTATCCTGCGTGGCATGATTGGGGGAGAAAAAACATTGCAGAAATGATCCAAACATTGCAAAAAAAAAAACATTGGACCATTGCAGATTGACCCTAAATCTTGGAACATTGCAGAAAAGCAAATCGACCTTTTTTTCTGCCTTGTGGAGGGTGCAGGTGCATAATATATATATATGTACAATTTATGTATGTATGTATATTATATATGTATATAGCAAAAAGAGAGAGAGAAAGAGAGATAGATAGATAGATAGATAGATAGATAGATAGACAAATAGACAAACAAACAAACAAATAGATATTTAAATCCTATATATATATTATATAACTATACAATACTATACATATCCATCTCTGTCAGAATTACACATACACATACACATCTATATCTACATGTATATACTGTATATGAACTCAAGCAATGCGACATTCAACGGACAGCTCGCCACAATCAATAAAAACAAGCTGTGACCTTTCAAAATTGGAGGTCATTGTGAAACCCAAAACTTGGATGTCTACAGCTCAACTAGACATGGCACACCATGGCACCTTGGCATTTAGTACCAAAACCTTCGGCTACTATCCTTTTGTGACCCATTTCTCTTGGACAAATGTTGATAGGCCCCTATTGGCAGAAAGCACTTCACGACTTGGTCCTGGTCGAACGGCAAAACGGGGATTATAAAAAAACCTGTGGGTCTTAAGTTTATGTTCGTCTTTGGGATTCACTGAAGATTTGGACATTACAAACGGATACTTGTGCATGGATCTAGTAGTAAACTTGACTGTCCAGATCTTGTGCCATGTTGGGGGAGAACACTTGCGCAAAATCATGCCGTGCTTCAGGATCCAGAAAGGGATCCTAAGCATCTTGGAGTCTGGTGGTAAACCCATTTTCACTTGCAGATTTTTCATGCACCTCAACGGCTCCCGACCTGCCAGTGCCGAGATTCAACAAAATCAAGCAAGCAAAAATGGCTGGTCTCCGCCCGATGCGATCCTCGAATCCGTTGCTCAACGCTTGCGGTGAGGGCCACCAGTTTGTTTGATCATCTTCCGAATGGGTTTCACCATTGGTTTTCCACATCTTTCTGTAAGTTGACCCAAGGGTAACTCATCTAGAGATATATATCTGAGACAAAATCAGGCCACATTGAATTTGCCAAGGAAAAGGGGAAAACACCTGCTAACCATGGGCAAACTTAGATACTATGCCTTCCAAGAAGCTAGTCTGTTTTCAGATTCGAACCAAATCCAAGAAGAATGTCCAGCTTTCATATGATTCATATGTGGTGAAGTTTGAATCTGAAATTGGAAGTTCATTTGAATGATTTTGAATGCGTGTGTTTTTTCAGGTCCCCAAATCTCAAACTTATGTCCAATTTCATTTTGGAGCCAAGACTCGGATAAAGTGGCGGTGAAGATACCGGTCACGGCCTGCTAGAAGGGACCAAGAGGGGGTCATGAAACGCCCAAGATATTGGGGCCCCAAGCAACCAAACATTGGACGTAAACACAAAACAAAGGCGTGGTTCCCAAAATGGGGATACCCCCAAATCATCCATTGTAGTCGGATTTTCCATCATAAACCATCCCACCATTAAGAAGCATGGATCAAAAATTGGGGGGCTGAATGGGACTGGCCGGTAGGGTCCTCTGGTAATGATATATGGCTCGCTGGACAACCACCAGCTTTGGCCAGGTTGATTGCCCAAGGCTTGGTGAGCAACATGACATCTGCTCCACTTGCAGGGCACAGTTCTATAGGCGAAATTATCTTTCAATTTACTTCTCAGATGAGATCAGCGCACAACAGCAGATCGTAGCATCAAATCACAGAAAGAAATACCACACATTGGTTGAATGTTGATGCGCATCAGGTAAAGCGTCTCTCTTGGCATCAACATCAGGAAAAAATACAAGTATCTAAACTTAAACCCCTTGAATTTAAAATGGAACCTGAACAACTGGATCCAAAAGTATCTACACCCCAAAAGTACCTACTGGATTTTTTCTGGATATGGCCCGCTCAGTTACATGATGTTCCAGTAGCTCCCTCAGCCGACCATCCGACTTTGAGCGAGTGACTTTGATGACAAAATTCATTTGGATCGTTGCGCTCATCAGGTCTTGCGTGGCTCCCAAATCCACTTCCATTCGTGGAAGGCTGGGAGAGTACTGGTCCTAAGTCCCATGGTCGAGCTGTCTGTTGGTGCGATGGTGTATGCATTTTGTCAAAACATAGCGTTTTTTTGGGCTGAAAACCACAAGCACCTACTGAAACCATCATCTAACCGCATCATTGTCTGACTTGATGTGACTACATTTTTTGATCTAACCATTTCCGAAACATCGGTCATGAGCCTCCATCAACTCTGCCCCTTTTCTGACCGGTGGCGGTGGTAAAGTAGGTGAAGGTATAGACCAGTCCCATAAAGAGCACCCAACTCTTGGGACAGCCATCTTTCACCAAGGGATGCTGGGGCTCCTTCTTTGGCAACCCGGAGATCAAGAAATTGCTCACTAACCTGAGGCACAGGATTACCAAAGCACAACGATCTGCAGAACGATTCCAATTTATTAGGTTTACATAACTCATAAAAAGTAGGGGTTTTGGTTTACATAACTCATAAAAAGTAGGGGTTTTGGGCATATAGAATTATATAGATAATTGGTTGATATATGTATTTTTTTTTGCGATAGTTAACGTTAGGTACTGCAACGGGGTGAATAAAAATCCACGATCTTAGGGGCATCACATTGTAGCTGAGTATGACTGCATTGATCAGGACAGATACGGCTTTGTCCAAACATGTCTAAACATAGGGCACCCCGGGCCCCAAGCCCCAAACTCTCATCGATGATCATCATTTTCTGCATTACAGTTACGAGTTTGGGGGTACTCAGTAGTTCCGCACACTTTCCCGGCACATTTTCGTAATTCCCAACCCGAAAGAAACATTTTTGAGGATGGCCCTTGCTTACCGTCATTCACATGTTGTTTTTTTTGTTTTCGGCTAGTGAAGCTGCTAGAATTTGCCAAGAAATACCATCATTTCTGAATGCCATTTTCATGCTTGATTGATAAATCCTCCCATAGCAACTTCAAAAAAGATGGAAAATAAAATCCTGCCAACACAGTCGCATTTTTTCCGTGTCTCATGATGCTTGGTGGTACTGAAATCTCAAGCCTCTCCATTGGTTCCCTGCATTTCCCTGCCAAAGATACAGGGCAAGGCCGCTCAAAGCGCTAATTGCCAAGCCTTTGCCCAAAAGATTCAGGACATGTTGCACAGGCACCTGGTCAGATTCATGGAGTCCGCTGTTTGTTTCACGGAGCGATTGTGATCGAAAACCACAAGAAAATGTCCAGTGTGGATCATCTTCCGTAGAGAATTTCCAGGAAATCACATAAGAAAACGGGAAGAATGTGTTAGTTGGTTTCACCAGATATACCCCCATACTTTCGCTGTTTGAACCCATGTAAAACCATGTCAAGCCATATCCAACCCATTTTGTGGTTATATCTCAGGCACCATGGAAAATGCTCACGTCCCTCTCAAATTCGGCAAAGAGGCATGTGCTTTCCCCAGCTCCCCCTGCATTGATCAGACTTTGAGCCGTTTTCAAAGCTGCGAAGCGGCCCAGAGGTGTGGCGAAAGATCGTGAGAAGTGAAGGGTTGATTTGAATCGTTGACAATATGTCCACATATGTCCATATATTTCCCAGATCTTCCAAAAATGATCTGAGCAAAACATCAGTGGAAGCAAGCCATTTCAGGGATCATTTTCCATATGTTCCTCCTTCATGGCTAGCAAACAGCCCGCAGAATTATCATACAACCTCAGAGTCAGACTAACACACACCCCGCCACACAGGACCCCCAAAAACAGGGACAATTGGGCTGCGTGTTGTTGGAATGGCGTGGGAACATTTTTTTCCACCAACCAAATACATCCAAAGAACGTTGTCCCGCCATGTTGGGATGATTCGCTTTGCCATCTTGTGACATCTTGTGGTGAGGCCTGCCAATGAAGTCAAACATAGTGAAACAAATGACATTTTATAAATGTCATATGAAATTATTTCATTAGTTCATATAAAATCCACAGAGCATTAAACGAATGCAGCAATTGAACTGCACGCAGCATACACAGCTTTCTTGTCGGGTCGCAGCTCAGTTTGTGGGCCACGTCCGTGAAGTAGATCCGGTTCCTTACATTTCCTCTGAACACATCATCCTTTGAGGGGTGTCTACACGTCTCTCTTACCCAGACATGATATTTCATTCCCATATGCAACCAGGAAATATGATGAAATATATTGTGCTTGATTCTTCTGGAACTATCAGGAACCCTTCATAAGTCATCATAAGTCGATGGTTTCATCACTTGAGCTCTTCCCAAGATGAGTTCACCACTGGTTTTTTCCCCACACCACCCAGAGATCTCTGGATCGGTGGCTGTGTGCTCAGGCTACACGCTGCCAGTCAAAGCCTTCGAGTCCTTCGTTGGTTCTTGATTCGCCTCAGCGTCGCCATGTGGGGGTCAGTTCGTCATCCAATCCTTATGGAGTGCGGTCAATCTTTAATGCTACTGAAGGCATGGCCTGACATGGCTATGGCAACGCTTGGAATGCCAGCTGGTCGGGTTGCCATACGAGCCCATGGTGAAGTCTGGATTGCTCGATATGATGGGGAAGAAAAATCCTTGTTGGTTGACATAATAAACAAAATGAGTTCTAACAGCTAAATTTCAAAGGACAAACACTTTCTGGTAACCAGTTAGTGTGTTTTTTTGATCCGCTATTCTAGTCCCCACACGCCTCGGCAGGGGCCTCTTCCAACGTCCAGCTGGGTGGAGAGACAGCCTTGAGTCGTATGGCGATCAGGCTGGCTATGGCGACCTGAAATAGATACCAATAGTCACATGAAAATGACATATATAGATCATGTTAGAGATTTCTATTCTTTCTATGTGTTTCTGGTACTTCCCTTCCCTCCAGTAGTTTTTCTGTTTTTCTAGAACATGATCAATGATCTATCAATGGTGAGTTTTCAATATGTCATATGTTAATTTAATGGAAGGTAAACCATTCAATTTCGGGAGGATTTTGCTTTGAGCTGTATAGGTATTCTGGGGCTTCTGTTGGCACCTGCAGTTAATCCATGGAAGGACCGCCTTGCTCATTTGTTCTCATGAGTCAGGTGTAAAATATGGGTTTGAAAATTTTGATGGGGGTGGGTCAAAGAAAATTATATAAACATATATATATATAGACGACTATATATATATATATGATATATGTAAATGAGTATAACATTTTGTGGGGGATGAGACCCCCAGTCACCAGCTATTTTGGTGGTGTTCGCCAAGGTTTCGACTAATAAGTAATAAATGGTATCAACAATAACAATGACCGTGAGTCGAACCAAATTCATCAAAGTTCCTGTGTCAGGTTTTAGTGGTTTCACCACGACAAATATCATTGGGATCTGCATGGTTTATCATCAAAAGTAGGGTTCCACTGCTGGCTCTGAGTTCGTAGTAATGTACTGCGATCCGAATCCAAGAAGAGAGTTCAGAAGAGCCTGTTTCTACCACCACCCTGGCTTTCAACCATGTTGAACCTTTTTTTATGAAACTGTTGTGGTTTTTCCGGCTTTTCCGCTTTTCCGCAGGATATACAACAATGACACTTTGAATGGGGAAAATGATGGAACATGGTGGATTTCCCAGCCTCGGACATCCCCGACATTTCAGGTCACGTTGGGACCATTCCACACATATACATATGGAACGGTGGTTTCCATAAATGGGGAAACATCCCAATAGCTGGATGGTTTACAATGGAAAAACCATTTAAATGGATGATTTAGGGGTACCCCCATGACTTAGGAAACCGTCCTGAGGTCACACCTCGGCTGGCGCTTCGCAAAACGTCGCCGAGCAGCGTAGCACCAAAAGACCAGGCCACTGCAAATGACGGCAGCAGCCTGAAACTCCATGACGCCACGAACACCTGCGATGCGAGGACCAAAGACCTGCCGTCTTTTTTAATGGGACGCACGAGAGAATTGATGTACCAACTGTGGGATAGAAACATTAATATGTTATATCTTACTATATTGGACAAAACATATAGTATAACAATATAAATCCAATAAAAAAATCAATGAAAAAGGATTGTGTGAATCTCAACTTGGAAAGATGATGGACTCGAACCCCTGAATGGAAAATAGTGGCTTCAGGATGAAGACGGGCCATGAGAAATATCCCTATCCCATCTCATTGTACAAGTTGGTTCCTAGTTTTCCCTTAATGGGTTATAATATGTTATAATAGTCCCCAACAACCAGATAGCAGAACTCTTTAGTCAATAACCAATCAACCAGGGTATGTTAATGGCTCGGATGACAATTTCCAAGCTTTGCCATGTTGGTTTACTGCAGGGCCCGCAACACACACACAATCACACACACACACACTCATCACTCACTCACGCATGACAGTATTTTTGTATGTTTTGCCCTCTGGTAATTTAACATACCTATGGAAAGATCCACCATGTTTAATGGAAAAATCCACTATTTCTATGGCCATTTTCAATAATGTTAGCCTCTGATTAGAAGCTTGGTACCCTATTGTGAGAAATTTCTTGCTCCTAATTCAGTAGCATGCTAATTGTTGGGGGGAGCCTCTATTGTGAGATTTTTTTTCCAGATGTGTTTTTTCTCATTTTTTTTCCAAATGCTTTATTGTTTTTTTGGAATGAATTAATTAATTTATTTTTATTTTTAGTTCATCTATTTTTATTTTATTTTTACTTTTTACTTTTCTATTTTTATTTTAATTTTATTTTTATTTAATTACTATTGTTTCATTTTTCCCCACATTGACGTGTGGGGTTTTTGTTTTTAGTTCTGTATCCGCTCCTCCTCCTCCTCGTCCTCCTTCCTTCCTTCCCGTCCTCCCTCCCTCCCTCCATCACTCACTCTCACTCACTCACTCACACTCACTCACTCACACACACACACTCACTCTCACTCACTCACTCACTCACTCACTCACACACACGCACTCACTCACTCTCACTCACTCACTCACTCACTCACACACACACACGCACTCACTCTCACTCACTCACTCACTCACTCACACACACACACACACGCACTCACTCTCACTCACTCACTCACTCACTCACTCACTCACTCACTCACTCACCACAGCCTCTTTTGCGTGGCAGGCGTGGGACAATGTGCACCGCCAAGGGGTCGGATGTACGCCCTGGCGTCCCTTGGTCTCCGCGTCTTTTGCGTGGCAGGCGTGGGGCAATGTGCACCGCCAAGGGGTCGGATGTACGCCCTGGCGTCCCTTGGTCTCCGCCTCTTTTGCGTGGCAGGCGTGGGACAATGTGCACTGCCAAGGGGTCGGATGTACGCCCTGGCGTCCCTCGGGCTCCGCCTCTTTTGCGTGGCCGGCGTGGGACAATGTGAGCAGCCAAGGGGTCGGATGTACGCCCTGGCGTCCCTCGGGCTCCGCCTCTTTGCTGCGCTGGCAGGCGTGGGACAACGTGCTTGCAAATTGCTCAGGAAGCTCGGATGTATACGCCCTGGCGTCCCTTGGTCTCCGCCTCTTTTGCGTGGCAGGCGTGGGACAATGTGCACTGCCAAAGGGGTCGGATGTACGCCCTGGCGTCCCTTGGTCTCCGCCTCTTTTGCGTGGCAGGCGTGGGACAATGTGCACTGCCAAGGGGTCGGATGTACGCCCTGGCGTCCCTTTGTCTCCGCGTCTTTTGCGTGGCAGGCGTGGGACAATGTGCACCGCCAAGGGGTCGGATGTACGCCCTGGCGTCCCTTGGTCTCCGCGTCTTTTGCGTGGCAGGCGTGGGACAATGTGCATTGCCAAGGGCTCGGATGTACGCCCTGGCGTCCCTTGGTCTCCGCGTCTTTTGCGTGGCACGCGTGCGACAATGTGCACTGCCAAGGGGTCGGATGTACGCCCTGGCGTCCCTTGGTCTCCGCGTCTTTTGCGTGGCAGGCGTGGGACAATGTGCACCGCCAAGGGGTCGGATGTACGCCCTGGCGTCCCTTGGTCTCCGCCTCTTTTGCGTGGCAGGCGTGGGACAATGTGCACTGCCAAGGGGTCGGATGTACGCCCTGGCGTCCCTTGGGTCTCCGCCTCTTTTGCGTGGCAGGCGTGGGACAATGTGCACTGCCAAGGGGTCGGTGTACGCCCTGGCGTCCCTTGGGTCTCCGCCTCTTTTGCGTGGCAGGCGTGGGACAATGTGCACTGCCAAGGGGTCGGATGTACGCCCTGGCGTCCCTTGGTCTCCGCCTGGTTTGCGTGGCAGGCGTGGGACCATGTGCACTGCCAAGGGGTCGGATGTACGCCCTGGCGTCCCTTGGTCTCCGCCTCGTTTGCGTGGCAGGCGTGGGACAATGTGCACCGCCAAGGGGTCGGATGTACGCCCTGGCGTCCCTTGGTCTCCGCGGCTTTTGCGTGGCAGGCGTGGGACAATGTGCATTGCCAAGGGGTCGGATGTACGCCCTGGCGTCCCTTGGTCTCCGCGTCTTTTGCGTGGCAGGCGTGGGACAATGTGCATTGCCAAGGGGTCGGATGTACGCCCTGGCGTCCCTTGGTCTCCGCCTCTTTTGCGTGGCAGGCGTGGGACAATGTGCACTGCCAAGGGGTCGGATGTACGCCCTGGCGTCCCTCGGGCTCCACCTCTTTTGCGTGGCAGGCGTGGGACAATGTGCACTGCCAAGGGGTCGGATGTACGCCCTGGCGTCCCTCGGGCTCCGCCTCTTTTGCGTGGCAGGCGTGGGACAATGTGCACTGCCAAGGGGTCGGATGTACGCCCTGGCGTCCCTCGGGCTCCGCCTCTGTTGCGTGGCAGGCGTGGGACAATGTGCACTGCCAAGGGGTCGGATGTACGCCCTGGCGTCCCTTGGTCTCCGCCGCTTTTGCGTGGCAGCGTGGGTTTTGGTGACAATGTTGCACTGCCAAGGGGTTGGATGTAACGCCCTGTCGTCCCTTGGTCCTCCGCCGCTTTGGTGGCAGGGGTGGGACAATGTCACACAAGGGTCGGACGTCACTCACACACGCACACACGCACACACGCACACACGCACACACGCACACACGCACACACGCACACACGCACACACGCACACACGCACACACTCACTCACTCACTCACTCCCTCCCTCCCTCCCTCACTCACTCACTCACTCACTCACTCACTCGCTCCCTCGCTCCCTCGCTCCCTCGCTCCCTCGCTCCCTCGCTCACCCACTCACTCACTTCACTTCACTTCACTTCACTTCACTTCACTTCACTTCACTTCACTTCACTTCACTTCACTTCACTCACTTCACTCACTCTCACATCCCGCACTCACACACACCACACTGGCATCACTCACTCACACTCTCACTCACTCACTGTACATGAACATACATACATACACACAAACTCACCCACCATCACCGCTCCATCACTCTTATACTCCCTCTTCCCTTCTTGCTCTTCTATGGTCAGTCTAAGTCTAAAGAAGTTGGTAACATGTGGGGTTATCCGGTCCTTTAATTTCATTGTTTCATTTTTTTTAAATTGCTTTATTCCCCACCTGCCAGGTGAGGGTTGTTAGATTTTATGTCAGTTGCCTCCTCCTCCTCCTCCTGCTATCTCCTGCTCCTCCTGCTCCTCCTGCTCCTCCTCCTCCTCCTGCTCCTCCTCCTCCTCCTCCGCCTCCTCCTGCCTCGTCCTCCTCCTCCTCGTCCTCCTTGTCATCCTTGTCGTCCTTGCTCAACTGCGACCCGCGATCCACAGTGTTCCCTGCCGGACCTCAACCACGACCATCCACGCCCAGTGTTCCCTGCCGGACCTCAACCACGACCATCCCCGCCAGTGTTCCCTGCCGGACCTCACCACGACCATCCACGCCCAGTGTTCCCTGCCGGACCTCAACCGCGAGTATCCCCGCCCAGTGTTCCCTGCCGGACCTCAACCACGACCATCCACGCCCAGTGTTCCCTGCCGGACCTCAACCGCGAGTATCCACGCCAAAAGATATGCCACATAGAGTGCCAGAAGATATGCCAGATAGAATGTTAGAAGATATGCCAGATGCCAGAAGGTATGCCAGATAGAATGCCAGATAGAATGTCAGCTAGAATGCCAGAAGATATGCCAGATAAAGTGCCAGAATGTTTGCCAGATAGAATGCCAGCAGATTTGCCAGATAATATGCCAGAAGATATGCTAGATAGAATGCCAGATGGAATGCCAGAAGATTTGCCAGAAGATATGCCAGATAGAATGCCAGATGGAATGCCAGAAGATATGCCAGAACATATGCCAGAAGATATGCCAGAGCATCTGCCAGAAGATATGCCAGAACATCTGCCAGAAGATTTGCCAGGTAGAATGCCAGAAGATATGCCAGATAGAATGCCAGATCGAATGCCAGAAAATATGTCAGATAGAATGCCAGAAGATTTGCCAGTAACAAAATGTATAAATGTCATGGTGGGGATCACACGAAGTAAAGTAATTTTTCATTAATATATTACCCCATGAGTGGCTCAGTTACTCAATAATATAATTGTCTGGATGGTACTCTATTGTGAGCACCAACTTTTAGGAGTGAAAAAAAAACCTTTCTCCACCTTTCTTTGGCTAAAGCTGGTCCTTTTACTTTAGAAAACAATGTTTGTGTTAAAGCTTTAAAATGCAAGGTTTCCCAAATAATTAGATGCCTTATTAAACCCTTATTAAAAAACAGCATCCAGACAATTTTTCAAGGTGGTACCTCATGAGTGGCTCAGTTACTCAATAATATAATTGTCTGGATGGTACTCTATTGTGAGCACCCACTTGTGGGAGTGGAAAAAAAAAGCAAAACCCTTTCTCCACCTTTCTTTGGGTAAAGCTGGTGCCTTTACTTTAGAAAACCATATTTGTGTTAAATCAATTGAAAGTAAATTGAAAGTAAATTGAAAGTAAATTAAAAGTAAATTAAAAGTAAATTGAAAGTAAATTGAAAGTAAATTGAAATCAATTAAAAGTAAATTGAAATCAATTGAAAGTAAATTGAAATCAATTGAAAGTAAATTGAAATCAACTGAAAGTAAATTGAAATCAATTGAAAGTAAATTGAAAGTAAATTGAAAGTAAATTAAAAGTAAATTGAAAGTAATTTAAAGGTAAATTGAAATCAATTGAAAGTAAATTGAAATCAATTGAAAGTAAATTGAAATCAATTGAAAGTAAATTGAGATCAATTGAAAGTAAATTGAAATCAATTGAAAGTAAATTGAAATCAATTGAAAGTAAATTGAAAGTAAATTGAAAGTAAATTAAAAGTAAATTGAAAGTAATTTAAAAGTAAATTGAAATCAATTGAAAGTAAATGGAAATCAATTGAAAGTAAATTGAAAGTAAATTGAAAGTAAATTGAAAGTAAATTGAAATCAATTGAAAGTAAATTGAAAGTAAATTGAAAGTAAATTGAAAGTAAATTGAAAGTAAATTGAAAGTAAATTGAAAATAAATTAAAAGTAATTAAATTAATTAAAAGTAAATTGAAATCAATTGAAAGTAAATTGAAATCAATTGAAGGTAAATTGAAATCCTTTCTTAAGTTGATTGACCAAAAAAATGTTGAGGGGGGGGGAAAAAAGTGCGAGTTATAGAGTATCCTCAAATTGTTTAGGGGGAGGGGCCCTGAGGGGGGGGCCCCTCACACTAATCAGAGGCACACATTAGTTATGTAAACGTTTACCAGAGGGTAACCCCCATCCTCAAGGGCAGTGAAATTTCCACGGTTGGATCACTGGATCACCCCACCTGAATGAATCAAAGCCTGCGTCGACCAGACCTTGGGGCCGAAAATCCTGGGGATCAGTATGTGTTGATTACCATAAACCATATATGTACCGGGGTGTATCTCACATCTATCTCTTATCATGTGTTTATACTTTTGTGTATATATATATATATGTATATTTACAGTATGTATATACCTGGGTTGTTTTATAAGTGATGCAAATGGGGTGCATTGCAACGCAACTCCAGGTAGATAAGATAAGTAGTATTTGTTAAAAATTTGGATGTCTTAATGATCATGGGCGGGTTTGACATCGCTTAAATTCTTCGGGTTGCTATCTGAAACAACCTGGAGTCCAAGCACCCTCAGTCTCATACATGCCAAATCATTACGCCCGTATATGAATCAACGCCCCGTTTGGGGATGCAAAACACACTGGAGATAAAAATGGATGGAATTCGTTATTCCATTTTATTCCTAGCAAACCCAAAAACGTACTTTTAGGTAGATTTAATTCTGCAAGTGTTTTGGAGGGCTTCACTGGACTTCTACCTAGCGACTGAATCAGGTCGAATTGAATGTTGCTATAGCATACTATAGCTATATCCACCTATCTATATATATACCCGCCTCTCTCCTCTCTCTCTCTCTCTCAAAAGTCAATGCGCACCCAAATCTTCACATGGAGCCCAAGAGCAGGCATATATTCCAACCAATTCGTTTTCCAACCACCAGAAAATTTGAGTTCTGTGATATATTTACCCTCTGGTAATTTCACAGGTTGCTTTGCAAAATTGCTCATTGAAATTTACCAGATTAAAAATTGTGATTTACCACATATTGTTTAAATTACTGTAAGAGTAACAAAAAAAACTGATGGTATCCCATCTTATTATCTCATCATTATCCCCTGATATCCATTAATAGCATCTCATAGCCATTAGGTCCCCATTCATAATAGTTGTGAAGGGCAAAGTCTCGTGAATATATCCATTAATATCCCCATGACTTCCTACCATTGTTAGACCCCATTAAGCCACTAATAGATGATGATTAACCATGATCATCCCATTTTTTATCACAAAAAACCACCCCATTTGAATCCCATGAAATCAGCCCATTAAACCCCAGTATCATCCCTAATGAAATCCATTGAAATCCCAGAAAAAACCACCAGATTCTTCGAGAAAACCACCGCGCTTTGCCGTACGCCGTTCCCATGCATCGCAATGGCGCCGTTCCCATTCCGTCCCAGCCGCAGAGTACAGGGACGGTGGCACGCTCTTGGCCAAGATCTCCAGTGATGCCGCGAGACCTCTGCCGAGCAAGCTCTGAAAAGCTGAGGGAATGCTGAGGGAATTGGGAAACCACCGTTTTTTTGTGGTTAAAACAATGCCATTTTTACCACCCATGACTGGGAAGGGTTTTTGTTGCACCTATTTATGGTGAAATTTGGCTTTATTATTGTTTTACCAACATTACAAAGAAGCATACCTATTAGATCCAATGATGAATTATAATACAAATGCCACAGATGTTGATTTCTGATATACTACTGTATAAAATTAGGCTCGGACATTAGTTTGTGTATATATATACATGTATATATATATGCAATTTATATATATATATATACACATACACGCACATACTGCATAGAAAGGCTTGGAAATTACTTTTTTACCCATTTTTCATCCAATCCCGCATTGAAAAATCACCATGACAGAAGGGCGACGTGGGAAATGAGTTTGCAACCTCCCAATACTTCGCTGATGACTCCCTGGATGGGGAAAACATGGGCATCGGCCACAGGTCATGCAACTCGAATCGGCTGATGCAGCGTGGCCTGCGTTATCTTTCAAGGGCTCGAAGTAGAGCACATTCACCTGAGATTTGCCGAGGCCAAACTACATGCCAACTACATTCCCTGTAGGTTCCCCATTTCTGGTTGGTTTTCCTCAATCTGGGCAAAGAAGAGCTCCCAACGTGAAACCAACTTTTGGCCATAGCTTTCTCTACTACAACCATCATTGATGGTGAGGAGCCTGTGGTTTGCCCCGCTTAACTCGGATCCAACCCCAAGGGTTACCGACCCAACAAAGACTAATTACACAACATACTAAGGCCGTCTTAGTTGGGGGTCACCGTCTTGATCAGTTGTTAAACCATCTGACTGTCGAAATCGATTTAACCATCTATTGTTAGGTGATCGCATTTGAACTATTGGAAGGGGGTCGGTTCAATGCCTATAATATATTTTTATATGATGTCTATAGCTTCAATTGGTATAAACTGTCTCAAAAAACAGCATGTAGATTCCCCCTTTCTGGTGGGTTTCTCTTAGGCAACTAGGCGTTTCTCAACTTGGCGATTCACCCCTGGAATCTTTCTGGTTGGTTCAGACATTGCCCCTACTTTCCCGATTGGACTGGAGTGAAGTAAACCCACAAACTCAGCTGCTCCCCAATTAAACAACTTGGTTTATGAATTTTATGAATCCCTCCAGCTGTATGGGTGAAGCACCGCCAGCTGCGTCGGGACTCCGAGACCAACATCCCGATACTTGGCCAGGCCGACAAAAAGGCTCCAGCGCAGTAGGCCCAGAGCTGCTCGTACCGAAAGGCACCCAACAGCAAGAGGACAATACCGCTCGAAGCATAGCAGGTCACCTGGAGGTCTTAAGAAAACGTTCAATGGCAGTCAATTTGTAGTGTACCCATTGGTAATGACAATTTGATACAATTTACGAAGTGGAAAATCAATGGAAAAACACCATTTCTCGAAAGTAACTCATCGAACTCAATGGCCATTTCAATGGCTATATCGTTGCCAGAAAGTGGTCATCAAATCTGGTTTGTTGGATAAATCCCGCATTACCGCATTGCCAAGCTTGATAACTAAGGGGTACAAATATGAAAAATCGGGCATTAAATTGGTGTGTTTTTTTCCGAATGGGACACCCTGCTGGATAGGTTATATAGATTGTAATTATAAATGACTGGATCAAATCAAGAAATGGTTCTAGCGAGTAAAATTATAGTGACTGGAATCATAAAGTTAGAACATGACTATATAGATGTGTACCTCCTTAGCACTGTGATATGCTCGGACAAACACCAAATGGGCATCGTAGGTACTATGCAGGAAGCACCCAGGTAGGATTGGGTTCTGCATAACCGGGATATCAGGTTGAAAGGAAAACCTTGGCTCAATGCTCCAAACTTCACAATCCCATGGCTCACTTGGAAACACATGGGTCAAAATTGACCATTCCAAAGAACCGATATGTATATATATATATATATGTATATATTTCCAATCAATATGTAGCCATTTCAATAGCTGTTTGGAGTTCACTGGAAGAACCGAACTGCTATTTCAATAGCTATTACTATCAAAAATGCAAAAAAAAACAGTTGTTTTGAGGCGGTCTTGACGTCTGATTTCCCATTGGTTGCTTCATAGAAGGGTAACCCCCATGGGCAACCAACAGCCAAATGATTGCAAGTGGACCTGGCTGAAATGCAATAATTCACCAAACTGACATAACAACTAAAGTAGGGTGACTTTGGTGGAGCACCCCCTACTCCACCATCATTTATTCATGGTGTGGTCGTGGTGCAGTTCCTTCCAAGGAATGTTCGCGCCAGGGCGCCGTAATCTTTGCTTTGACCAGCACGCTACCCTTGAGTCGCTCCATCACCAGGAGCCCCAAGGTGTTCGCGGCGCAATAGGTCAGCAAAATGCCGGAACAAAGCATGGTCGACCCGTGAAAGGAATGCCTCGGAGGTGCATAAGGTCTGGCATGTCATGCGCCAATCCTCCATTTTTTGGAGACCCAGATGTGATATGTCTCACCCCGAAACACAACTCAACTACTCCGTGGGGAAACATCGAAAAACATCGAAAAATGGCAAAAGTCAACGTCCAGCTGCACTACGTAGCTGATGTTGGTGAAAAAGACCATGTACGCAGCCATGTTGCAGGCTTCAGTGAGCAACAAAAAACCCAGGTGCCTGGCGCCATGAGGCCACGAGGCCACGAGCATGAATGAAATATGCAAAGCCAATGCCATAAACTATGCCATAAACTACCACCAATATGACCTATATAAAATGCATATATGTATATATGATTATATTATATTAAATTAATGTTATATTAAAAATATTATATTATATTATTAAGTTGTAGTCGATTATATAAAATTACAAAAACATATATTATATTATATCAGATTATAGAATATCATAATATTTTATGATAAATCATACTTTATCATAATCAAATTATATTTTAGTATGTTATATTTGGTTATATTAATATACCATATATTAGATGATATTATGTTATATTAAATTTCCTCATATCATTTTGAAAGTATAATTCAACAACATATTATATTATTAATATTACATTATAATAATTGTATCTTATTATATTTAAAAAATCTAAAATTTATACAATTATATTTGATTATAAAAACATTACAAACATATTATAGTATATTAAGTCATATTAAATTTCATTATAGTATATTAAATTACATTTTTACATTGTATTGGATTATGTTTTACTGTAGTATAGTAAAAAAAACATTATACTATATTAGAGTTAAATTATAAAATATTTAATTATACTAAATTAAATTATGGTATTTTAAGTTATCTGATATTTTATTATGTTATTGCAAATTAAAAAATATTTTGTTATATTATATTTGACTATATTTTAATGAAATATATTATATTTTATTAAATCATATTATATATTCTATTATATTAAGTTAGATTATCTTTTTTAAAATATTATACAAAAAACATCTAAATTGTATTATATTTGATTATTGTTAAATTATACTTAACAAATATATTAAAATGAAACATATAATATAAGATGAACACAAATATTAAATTGGATTTTATTGTGTTATATTAGATTAGATTTCTTGATAGCATATTTTATTTTAAATTATATCACTCAATTATTTTATATTAAATTAAATCCTGTTATATAAAATGATATTATATGTCATATTATATTATATATTATGAATGTTTGCTATTATTAAATTATTGTTGTTATTAATAATCTTATTATTCTATATATACATACATATTTATTTATATGTGTGTAAATGTGTGCCCAAGTGGTAGGTTTACTATTGGGCTTACCATTTTGTGCAAAACATTGCCGCAAACATAGCCTTCATGTCCCATTCTTGAAGCAGGTCAGGCCGGAAAACTCCAAAGTTCCACTCAGTCTGGTCTTCCCACCCAATCCGAACTATGCCCTGCATGATTTCCTAGGTACCATGATCAATGATCACTATACGAATATGCATCATATAATAGTATTATATATTATATATATATTTATTTATTACCCATATATATATATATAAACTTTAAGCATCTTAGATTTGTGGCCTTACGAATTAAATCTTACCAGGGCTGAGAAACGCCATCCCCTGCTTGGATCCCCATTGCCGCAACGAAGCAGCCGACGAGACGCAAGTTCAAGAATTGTTTCCAACTGCCCCAATAACCTGAGGCTAGCCGCAATGGCAGAGATATATCAGATATGGCACGGGCAACTGCGGTTATTCCATGTTTTTTCCAAGATCTGCCCCGCTGGGACGTGTTTGAGGCATCATTTGGACCATGTGGTACCTTGTTAGGGCTGTATGTATCCAATAGCCACCCCTTTTTGGAGTCAATGAACGGAGACTTTCTCCAATGCCCACATGCCCCCTGCATCCCTTCAAAGTTTGCCACCGCAAGTCTAAGATTCTCAGATCAAAAAATCCAGTGCTCAAAAAATCAAGGTAGTAAGGTAGTAAGGTAGTTAGTAGTAAGGTAGTGGTAGTAGTAGTAGTAGTAATAGTAGTAGTAGTAGTACCAGTACGAGTAGTAGTACTAGTACTAGTACTAGTAGTAGTAGTAGAAGTAGAAGTAGAAGTAGAAGTAGTGGTGGTGGTGGTGGTGGTAGCAGTAGTGTTACTAGTAGTAGTACTAGTAGTACTAGTATTGTCAATAGTACTAGTATTGTCAATAGTACTAGTATTGTCAATAGCACTAGTATTGTCAATTATTGTCATATATTGTTATTGTTTTTTCACATTGCATCATATGTATTCAATTTTATCTTAAGAATACCCTTTGGGCCTGTGTCTGTCGTTTGTGCCCCCGAGGTGGAAATATTAGAATTCCCAAAAAAAGTGCCTATTCTGCAAATCGCAAAATATCGAATTATGGCAAAAAAGTTGATAAATTAGAGTTTCAATAAAATTGCAGAATATCGAATTATGGCAAAAAAGTCAATAAATTGGAATTTCGAGAAAATTGCAAAATTTTGAAATAGGGCAAAAAAGTTGGTAAATTAAAATTTCGAAGAAATTTTAGAATTTGGCAAAAAAATGAAAATATTTTATTTTAATATATTGCATGTCATTGATTTGCTGTGCTGCTTTTTTTAACACCGCAAGACCGCAAACCACAACCCGGAAGGTCCAGAAACTCTTTTTCTCCCAAGCGGCACAGTTGAGCTCTGGCTGCCTAAGGCAGCAAAACTAGGACGGTAACTGAAACAGACCTGAACAACTTCAGCTGCGAAACGCATCATCCAGCTTGGTTTGCTTCAATTTGCTCGAAGGTTTGCGCATGGCCGCAGGTCGTTTTCGGCTCTGGGGCTCCTTGTCATCTTTGGCATCATATAGTGTATCCACAGAGGTACTGGCTCCAGGGATCCTATTGGGGCCGACCCACTCAACTCCTCCATCATCAGCATTCTTACTCCCAGTTTCCGTTGTCCCACCGAAGTCGCAACTGGCCAAGACAACAGCAAGCAGGCAACCAATGACTGGAACACTGATCGAATTCCCTGCCATCTTGTTGAGCTCAAGGTCCTTGGTTTGTTGCCGAACCCAAGTCCCTTTTTTATTAACCCAGTTAGCCAGCCCTATATATGGCCTTGGCCTTGGCCTTAGCCTATAGCCTATAGCTTATAGCTTATAGGCTTATAGCCTATAGCCTATAGCCGCTAGCCTATATATAGCCTTATAGACTGAGCCTATAGGCCGCTTTATGAACTATGACTGACTCATGATTCATTAATTAATTAATTTATTTATCATTGAATTTGAATCATTGATCATTGCATTGGAATCCTCTGCTGTGGCCATTGTCAAGCTCCAACAGCCAAGAGGCCGGAACATCAATCACACCCTGCACGCCATCAGCATAGCCAGTTGAGCGAATGGAGGCTGGGAGCCCTTGCCCCCTCAGCAGCTCACAACCCAACAAGACTCCTTGGCTGAAAAAGGACTGTGACACAGGACCGGACAAAGTTTTCAGTTTTCAGTTTTCGGTGAGTCAGTTCAGTTCAGTTCTGTTCAAAGTTCAAAGTCAGAGTTCGTATTTTTACCGTGCTACTACTAGTTTCTTCTGGTCACTACTGAATCATGGATCATGAAACGGTATCGGTATCGGCAAGTCACTACGCCGCCCGGTATGCCACAAACGGTGTCCTCGAAGCAGACACGGCAACTTCTCCGCATATGAGCTGGATTTCCAATTCCCGTACTGCATGCCATTTGTCAAGTCCCAGACGAAGAACGGCGGGTTGGAAAAGCTATTCTTCCTATGCTCCTCAAGCCTCAGTCAGTCCAGAGTTGTGAATACCGGACCTTTCGAAACGAAAAAGGCGGTGGGGTCTTGGAAATTTGAAGTTAGAAGTTGCCTAAATATACCGTAGCCGTAGCCGTAGATAAAATCTACCAATCATTAAGCCAGGAAACGCCCACAAATGAAGATAAAGCGAATCTTGCTCTCTGGCAGGCAATGCCAGGCTCCACTCATTTGAGTAGAGGGCAAGGAGTTCTTCAATCGAAGGCACCTGCATCTGACTGCATCTACAGCCATCTACCGTCTACCGTCTGCCGTCTACATTAGCATGCAGCATACAACATACAGGATACGCTGTTCTCACAGTCAATTCACTTTCACAGGGCACAGTTGTCACAATCAGTCAATTCACTTTCACAGATCACTGATCACAGTATCAAACAGTCTCTATAAAAGTCACTCTCAAGGTCTCAACATCTCTCTCTGCCTGGCCTCTTTCGAAAAGATTTTGCTAAGTCGTCGCCTCGCTGCCTGGTGTTTCTCAAAACACTTGGGCCAACTTTGGCCAGTAGTGAGTGACTCCTTCAGATCTTCCTCTGAAAGCGCTTTGCTTTTCAATCTGGACAAGGCATCCACGACCCGAGCATCCGATTCTGGAAGCAAAAGGCTCCCCACCGAGCTGCTGCTAACGGCCATCAATCGATTCGAGATCTCCTGCGCAGGCAACTAGTGTCCAATGCCAGACTCTGTCTTGTAAACTTGCAAGCCGACTTGTCAATTATCAACCAGCATGCATGCGACATTCAGATTCGGAAATCAGAGTTGCTCAGCAGCATGCCGCATACCGCATGCCGCATACCCTAAGCCTAAATCTTCAAATCAGAACCAAATCTCTTCCTTCTCCCGACGGTTCAAATTTGACATGTCACTCACAGTCTGTCACTCCTTCATCCAAGAGGACCAGGAGGCGCTGTCGTGCACCAACTTGACTTTGTCACGTGCAACCCCAAGCACATACAATCGTGTTCTCGATTGTGGAACCCCGAAACCACATGAGTTGCAGAAGTAGGACTTTACCTCGTAGTTGGCTTTGGCTAACTGACGACTGACAACAGCGGCTGTCTCTCGTTTGGCAACATTCTCGATCACAACGATTTCCTGAGACAAACAGTCAGTCGGTAAGAGTCGACGACCGTACAATTTCAATCAAGAGAATGACAGCTCAAGGCCCAAGGCTCAAGCAGAGCCTTCTCAGTTTTATGATTTATGACTTACGACTTACGACTATTTAAAGACTATTTATGATTATTATGAATTATAATCATAATTATAATTTAGAATTATGATTTATGACTATGAGACTATGATCATTTCTACATGCTGACAGTGCTGACATGATTCGGGTCTGTGGCGCTTCACATAGTGGAGGGATTTCTCCAAGGTCTTGCTACTCATGCCAGACTCGGCCGTGATGTTCAGATCGAGAGCCTTTTTCTTCACGTTCATGTTTGACAGGTCCTGAAACGGCCAATGATGATCCACTGATGCTGCACTGCAGTTCCATCTAGTGACTAGACTAAAGACTTGACTGACTAAAGACTAAAATAACAGACTAAAAACCAAAGAATCTTTCTTTAGAAGATATTCTTCGGGAGATTTGATTCGGAATTCTATTTCGATTCCAACCTAGAGTCCTGACACTCGAATCCGCCAGTGTATACATTCACCGATGGAGTGCGAACACGCGCCCCTGTGAGCCAGTTTTTGCCAGTTTCCCTGCGATCCTGAGCGTGGGAGGGTGCAAGAAAGAGAGCTCAGACGGCCGCTCTAAAGTCTAGTCTAAAGGCTCCAAATCAAAATCCAAAGAACTTTTCGAAGTACGGCAACCAATTTGCAATCGGTCACTGAGGCTAGCTCAAAAATGTTCCAAGTCAAAACCCCGTAGTACGTAGCCGTAGCACCTTGTCAATGACAGTATCTTTCCAGGCAAGACACAAGAAGGTCGTCAAAGATTACTTTTGGGCCATTGTTTAAGCTCAACATGAGCTTCTGCTGCAATCCTTCCTTCCCCGGAGCTTCTGAGGCAAACTCGAAGCTCAAACTGCAAGGCTTTCCAATAGACTCCTCCAGTCAAAAGCAACAGCAAACGTTAGCAAAAGACAAAAGATTTCAATTTCAATTGCAATGGGCTGCTGCAGCCACTGAAGCCAAGGTTGGCTAAATTTAGATAATTCTGAAGTCAGTAGCTAGTGTTGAATCATAGTATAATCAGATTTTCAGATTTGATTCGATTTACAAATTAATAAATTATAGTAATTTATACATAATCTATCAACTCAAATTGAAATAGTAGCTGTGACTGAGTAGTCATACAGCCAGTCAAATCAGTCAAGTCTAAAGTCTCTTGAGTCTCCTGGCCTACACGATACTTTACTTTACTTACTTGCTGACATACATCAGCTTCAGCGAGTGACACCGCAAACAAACGACATTGACATCCTGCATTCTGGCCAATAACATTGAAAGGCCCCACCGGGGAGCATCCAACCCAGAGCAGTCTGAGCCATACAAGAGCGTAGGTGGCAACACGCGTTCTTGTAGGTGTTGGGCTAGCACTTCCAGAGCCACTGTGAGCCAACTGTCCTTAGCAAAGGCAGCCGAATTGGAAAGAAGACCACAACCGGACTGACTGAAGTATGCGATTTTGGCAAGTCACTGCAGGCTCTCCAGACGCTGAGGCTGCCTCTTTATCCAAAGCAAGCTCCTGACAAAATATGGCGAAGGCAAGGCCAGGCAAACACAAACCGACCCGACCAGTGGTGATGGCATGCGTGGCTAATGATCACAATGCAGGCCTGACAGAATGTTGCTAGGGCCATGATTCTCGACCAATAACTACTTACAACTTACAACTACCAGCCATATATAGTAGGGACAGACCAAACGGGACCCAACTCCCAACTCCCTTTTTCCCCCTTCGCAAATGGAATGGAATGGAATCAGAAATCGGAACGGAACAGAGCTTGAGCAAACCCGGAGTTCGCTGCACTGGTATCACTTGTTCTCGGTCTTGCGTCTCGAATTGAATCCCTGCTGACCAGAAAACACCCGCAAATTCAATGAAATCAGCAGCGGCGGAAACAACAGTTGAGACTGAGACACTCTGTACCACTACCACCATCCATGTATGATCTGACGCTGCGACAATCGCATTTCGGAAATTGGCTTGAGCGAGGTGTTGGCAAGATTCACTAAGCTCTTCTCACTCAATCTCTCACTCTGCGTCTGTCTCTTCGTCATGGTGGATTTGGAGGAGCGAGCGCGATCATCTTCAAAGGATGGGACAGCTGGTACAGCTGCCATGGCCCCCCTGGCCTCTGGCCTAACTTTAACCTTGGCGGCTTTGCCGTCAAGCTTCACTTGTTTTGGCCTTGGTTTCGCATGCTTCACTGGTGTCTCGTTGAAGTCATCAGCACAGGCAGAGGCGGCAGAGGTTTTTGTCGCTCTAACTCTAACTGGCGTTTCAACCGATGCCACAATTGAGAGGGCCATGGCAACAGGAAACTCCCGACTTGTGGGCCCCAATCTGCTGATGTCCCATATGCAAAAACAGTCATTTTGCACACTGCAGTCATTGTGCTGCACAAATCTCGTATGTATGATGGTCATGATGCGTGTGTGGGCCAGGCGCATTATGGCCAGGCGCATGAATTTATAAGATGTAATTTTACAGTATACTTACTGATATATAATTATAAAAAATATATTATATAATTATATATTATATAATTTATAAACTAACAACTAATATTACTAATATTATTTATAATAAATTATTTCTTTGTCATCTCTTTTACTATTCATGACACCTGACAGTTCTTGACTGGCCCTGGGAAAAATGCTGCAACAACAACCAGCCACAAAGCAGACAAGCGGGCGCAATTCCCAAGTTGACTGAAACGCAACCACCTCAACCATGTGGCAACTTGAAGTGACCTAACCTAACTGAAGCGGCTGTCCTTGACAACATCACAGCGCCCACTAGCACGCGCAGAATTGGGGTGGCCATGGTCAGAGTCAACGTCAAAGCCATGGCCAGGGCCATGGTCACCATAGGCAGGACCAGGACCATCATGGTTAGAGTCGGAGGCGGAGGCATTGCCATGAGACTGGCTCCGGCTCTGGTTTTGACTCTGGGCCCTTTGGGTCTGGGTTGCATCATCTGCACTTGTTGGCTCCAACCACAATGCCAATGCTCTAAAAACTGTGGTGCCAATTGCGCACTTTCTCTTCAAGAACCGAATTGGAACATCAAATGCAAAGGCCTGTACAACCTTGTGAGCTACTGTTCGATGATACGGTCTTTGGGGCACATCCCAATGATGAAGGGGAAGCAGTTCTTGCCACTGTTCATCTGATGTAACTTCAAATGATTCGCCAAGAGTCATGTACCCATAAATGCAGTCTTGGAAGGTGATGTGCCAGATGTGCTGCCGCTTGTTCATGTGGCAGCTTCGAATTTCCAATGTCTTCGCCCCGCTCAAGAGCTTCCTTAGCTGAACTTAGACCTAGATTTTGGATTTTGATTTAGACATGATTCATGATGTTCTCTTGTCGGGCCATGACACAACAGTATCCTCTGACAGGGAAAAAAACAGACAGGCAGCCAGATTCGATGTGGTGATATGATGGCTACCGACCTACCGAACCAAAAGAATCCACATGACGGCTACACTGTGGCTATAGGCTACACCCGGCATTGTATACCAAGCAACTGAATTAGGACCATGCTGCTCAAGACTAACATGGAAGTCTTCCCACTGATGAGCTCTGGGTGCTGCGGCAGCTGCTGCTGCTCCAGTTCCTCCTGATTGACAAGTCTTGTCTTGTCCTGGGCCGCTATGCTGAGTTGATCCTCAGAGTTCCAAAGCCTACGGTCACGGTCTAGTCTAGTCGACTCTGTTTCAGATTAAAATTATCATTATCTAACCGTCTCCGTCCAACTGACTGTCTAACTGAGCCGAAGTAACTTCAAGACTTCTTGATGATTCCGAAATTGCATCAAGCGGATCTTCAAAATCCCGCTCCATAGCGCCCGTGGAACTTGCAAAGGCTGCAGCCTCTTCAACAGCCTCCAGAATCCAGATTCAAATTACAGTAATATAATCGATAATCAAATCAAATCAAATTCAGTTCAGTCCAATCAAGTAGTCATATCAAATCTGTCTTGGACCCTGCATCGAATTCGAAATACTGAACCAAACTTGGTCATGGGACACGCTTTCTCCAAGCCTCTAAAGGGTCACCTTGACAGGGTTGGCTCAAGTTCGTGTCTTCAGTGTCTTCCATCAAGGCACTCTCTGCCGTCAGCACAGCCTGGACAAAGGCTGCTTACAGAAAAGTTTAAATACCAGACCAGACCGGTCAGAACTGTCATCTAGGTGAACCGACGGTAAAGTAAACAATTAAGGCAGGCTTTGAACAGTGGTTTGCTTTCATGATCTTGTCTTGTCCCATCTTTATTCAAAATCCATCCCTCCCACTCCCAACAACGAATCAATAATCGCAATGTTAGTTAATGTAATGTAATGTAACTGCAAAGTACAAATAAAGTACTCTCTACTCTACTGTAAGCGTTCTTGTCGAGCCTCAAGCGGGTCCGAATCAGAATCCATTGCTTGTAGCAAGCAGCTTGACGCAGCTCGGCTCTTGTGTCTGGACTCTGGACCCTGGCCCTGGCCCCTGGCTGATTGGCAGAAAACTTCTGAACAAGCTGTTGAGGCGGTGCTGTCTACTGCTGCTGCATACTTGTGCTTTTGCAAGTTCCTATCACAAGCCACGCAAAATAACTTGAATGAATGGTGCGCCCTAAAATGAATGTCAGCACGTGACCGTACACAAAGAACAATTGCTGCTGTTCTGTCTCACCTGACACATCACAAAGTCAGCTGAACTTCTGAACGGAACCCTGAGTAGGAAATAGTAATGATTCATGACATGATGTCAACTGCTTCAGTGACGTGTGACAGCATGTCCCAAAACAGTGGCCCTGAATTCAATACTTGCAAATAAATTCCGATTCTGATTCTGATTTCATTTCGACAATTTGGACTAATTTGGACCTGGACATGATTGCACCAGACTGTGAAGTTTAAGTGCCTGTTTTTTGGCTCTCGGGCAGAACAATCTGGATGGAGCTAGTGCTCCGGGTTTCTTGCAAGACCGTGACTTGAGCACAGGCCATAATAGTCTTTAGTGAGGGAAGTATGGTGTTGCCTCTTGGAACTGAGAACTGCAAGCTTTAGGCTCTACGACTCTACGGTACGATACTTTTTTGGTCTATACTCTATACTATCAAATGGTAAGAAATTAGTAAGAAATACATAATTTACATAATCATAAATTATTTGCCCAACGCTTGTGCAGCTCTGCTCTGCAGTCAGCTTTTGAGCTCTCTGTGCAGCAACTATGAAAAGTCCAAAGACCAGATAGTCGCAAGCTCATTGCTGACATGCTGACATGCTACTCCTATAGTACCTACGTGCGGAAATTCCAATTCAACTTTCAGTTTCTGTCTCAGAAGCCGTGGCAGCGACCATGCATCGCTGGACATCACTGACCATCGACCGATTCTCTAGAGTTTCTAAGCAAAGAATGAAAGGACTGACTTGAATTGAATTCTTAGACACAGCCTTTGCTTTTGACTTTTGAGTATTGGTTCCATTTCATATCCTTCCATTTAAAAGATTGACCACATTTGACCACCAACGAGTCAATGATCAGCAAATCAGCGATGGCAACCAGTCAGTTCATCATCTCAACTCGCTTTTTTGGAGTCGATACACTGGGCCTGGGCATTCATTTCTGAAATGGCCTCTTGAAGGGCCAGCGGCAAATCGTCAACGCGGATGTCTCGCTTTCCCAACTTGTCCACAAACTCGGCGATTTTACCGTTCCCATGAAGAGCACGGAGGCCTGTAAAGCTAAGCATCTAGTCACTAGTCAGTGGTCGCATACAGTTGGCAGGTCAGAGCATTCAAAATCAATGAATTAAAATAATTGTATATTTTATAGTATATTATATACCTACATACTAAATAAAATGTTATATTATATTATAATATAAAATATATAATATAACTTACTATTTTCCTGTTTTCATGACTTCATGACTTCACGATCATGATCATGGTCCCATATGCCACCCTCGCCTGATTGACACGCAAGAAGCAGCTTGCCGGTAGTCAAAGACGTTTGCACTCTGGTGACAAGCTGCTGCATATCAGGCTTGCTGGTCAAGTCAGGTTTCGATTTTTGGAAGATTTGATTGGCACTGCATAAATCTGTGTAAGACTTGGAAAGGCCTTTCAAAGCCTCTGCCCCAAGCGTCTCTTCAAGCCTGACAATGGAATACTTTGAGATGCTGTCCAAGAAATCTCTGCCCTGACCGGCGGACACCTCGAATGCTTGCAAGGCTATGTACAGCGGATGGCTGGAAACTTCTTTCGGCAGTTCACCTGCCCAACTGCACTTTCGCTGAAGGTCTTGGAAGAGACTCAAGGCTTGCTTTGCCTCCTCGTCTTGGGCTTCCTTGGCACCTTCCGGATTGTCAGCCTCTTTGTCTTTGTCAGTGTCCTTGTTCTGGTCCTCGTTGCTCTTCTCATTCTCATCGTCATTTGTCTTGCTCTGTTTCCGCAGCTCCTCTTCATCAATCCATTTTCCAAGAACACTGAGCACGGTCCTGTCCAGAACTTTCTCGTCTTCATCTTTCTGGACCGCATCCTTCAAAGTGAAGACAATCTGCTTGGCTAGAATGCGTGCCAATGGACACACACTCTTGTTCCTGGCGTCCGGCAAGAACAGGTGGTTTTTAGGCCAGCAGTCAAAACAGTTTTGAGAGTAGAGATATATCTTGAAGTCTTGAAGTCTTGAAATTCAAATCTTAATTATTCAGAATAAATTATTCAGAATTTCAGAAGTATGAATCATCATGAGCCTGATAATCTGACAATCTTGTGTCATGCTTGGTTGGGGCTTCAACAACACAGTCGGCCACCCTTAATTTGCGACGAATGTCAGATGCATAGAGATGCACCGAGAAGCCATGGGATGTGCAGGGCATTTCGCGATGTCAGTCAATGCATCAGAATACAGCAGGGCCAGCACCCGAATCTTGCGTAGCTTTTTCTGGTCCTCTGAATCTACCTCTGGATCTTGCTGCAAACGCTTTTCAAGAACTGACAGAGTAATCAGATCAGCAAAGTAGATCAGGGCCACACGAAATGCATAAGGAAGATATGGCAGCACTTTCTTGTCGGCAAAAGCACATGGCTCGGAGAACTCCTCAGGGACTTTCTCCTGGTGCCCCTTCACATGTGCGGCAAACTGCATTGCATCAGAATCATCCACATCTTCCACTCCCTCCACATTCTCTTTGCTTTCCTGGATGCCTTCCCTATCAACTGCAGCTGTCTCTGCCGTTGGAGGTGAAGCTGTCTCTGCTGTTGATGCTGACACCACTGGGGCCTCTGGACAAGATCCAAACTTCTGCCGCACACAAAATTTGGCAAAAAGTTTGCACCACAAGTCATGTATCTGTCCGAAGGCAATCTCAAGTTCACTTGAGGATGCGTCGCGGAGCTGCTGATGCACACTGGTTCTGGATGATGGAATGACAGCTATGGCCGCCTTCACGGATACGCACTCCTGCAGCACAGCAGATCTATCAAACTCTCAAAATCAAAATTAAATTAAAGTTCTTTGCCCATGGCACATGTTGCAGGCTACTATACATAAATACCCGGATCAGTCAGTCAGGCTGTTCACCAACGCAAGCGCGGAACACAACACAGACGCGGTGGGGAAGGCAAGGGCGAAGCCCCAAACAAAGACCAGAACCGCGGCGGAGACTATAAAACCTACGCTTGAACAACACCCAGCAAACTTGAGCAAACAGCAAACACTCCAAAAACAAAACTTCAAATATCACATTATCACAATGTCTAAATGCAAAACGATGGATGGATCACTCGGAAGCTTCACTCTTTTGCAGCGGAGTCTGATCCCCTCCAAGTCCAAATGGTTTGGAGAAGTTTGGAGCGTCACAAAGGTTGGACCAAGAGGCAACAGTTGGATTCCCCCCTAGTCCAAGTCCCGCACAGTATGTAGGATAGTCCGATGTAAAGATTTCAGAGTAGACGTGGACCACATCAACCACGCATCAAGCAAAGCTCGGCATCGAGAAAAAAGTTGAACAGAATACGAATACTGAGACAGCTCCAAGAAATCTTCAAAATCATCGATCAGATGGCGGAGGCGCCAAGCTCTGTGCAGCAAAAGTGTCATCCTTGAGTGCGCTGCCAGAACAAGTTGCAAAGTCATCGAAAGGCTCCGAAAATAGAAGCCAGATGAAGCAAGTAATGAATCCCAGCAAGAAGGCAAGGAAAAATCGAATAAGCACCGAAATGGAAATGCCGCTAGGCTTGCGCAATGAATCCACTACGAGATGACCACGGTGTCGTGCATGAGGCATCCCAAATGGACGGGCGGTACAGGGTGGGTGCCAAATTTGACACCAACACTATAGACTATAGCCGCTATAGCCGAAAACATCCGGAGATTCTAAATGTGCTCTTTCCGATTGAGCACACTCTGAGAAACTGCTTCACGTTTGGTTTCCCGTTTTGTTTCACATCTGGTTAGGCGGTTAGCCGTTTAAAACTTCACACTAAAAAACTGAACCCAAGCCCCGCAGCTTCAAATCAATAAGAAAACAAAAACCAAAAACTTGAAAGAGAAGACGCGGTGCCAAAACAGAAACAACACCACGAAGGAAGACCAAGAGAAAAACGACGCAGTGGCGAAAGCGCGAAGGACAAACCACACACAACAAGACACAACACCACACCGAGACAGACAGATCAAGACAGGTGGCGGTGGGAGAAGACAGGCCCACGGCCGGGAGACAACCACCAACCAACTAACCAACCCCACCACCAACCAACATAGATGATGGTGGCATGGAGGATTTTTCAGAATCGGCAAGCTGCCAACTGCAGTCTGTCAGTCTGTCAGTCGATTGTTAAATTGTTACAAACAGTCTGTCAACAGCCAACAGGCAGCCAACACTCAGTCCTCCAAAGCGATGAAAGCAGATTTGGCGGTGTGCCTGCTTGAATCGTTCACCACCTGATCAACTGTGTACTTCATTTCATTCACCATATCCTTGAGCTCTTCCACCTTAGCACCTGCCGCTGCGTCCAGCTCATAGTTCGTGACAGCTTCATGGCATTGCTTGAGAAGTAGTTTGAACTGGGTTGAATTGGTGAACTTCTGCATGGGCTTGTGGAATGAAAGCACTACCTTGTGGCCAAAGACATCCGTTTCTCCCAGAGCATCCCGAAGATCATCGACAGATGGTTGATGGACCAATCGATGCAGCACAAAAATGCATTTGCCCACATGCAGATTCACGGCTGAACCCTCAATATCATCCCTCCCTAATGTCTCGCCATCACCTTCTTCTTCGCCTTCGTCTCGGTCACCTCTTTTTGTTGTCCCTGGGATGAATGCTTTGAGGACTGGTACCAATTCTTGGAATGGCAGAGAAAAGATGCGCATGATGAACTGCAGGATCCACTTGCTCTGAAGTTTGATCACCTGGACATGCCAATGAGACTGGGTCCGTCCGACAGGGGTCTTTCCACAGAAATTCAATCAACAATACAGTACATATCCGTGACATATCTCATCTCATCTCATTTCATCACATATCTATGATATATAATTTATATAATTTACAGAGTTGGTGGTGAATACTGAATACTGTGATACAGTGATAAGTTATGACTTTGCGGCGGCGTTTTCTCAATCCAGTCCTGTCCGGTCCTGTCCAAAATGATCTTCAAATTTCAAATTCCAAATGTTCAAGTTCAAATTTGAAAGTTGAAAGTTCGAAGTTCAATTCAATGAGCTGGAGAACGGATCCGGCCTTCTCATTTTGAAAGGAACCAGGGCAAAAGTAGAAAAAGTCTGCGAAGCGACCATACCTGAGTGACTACTGATAATTCTAAAAACTTGCAAACATTGCACACTGCGAACTGCAAACTGTAAATCACTGTAAGTCCACAGTTTCAAGTTTCAATTTTTTCATTCATTGAAATTCAATGATAATGATTAATAATGATACTGTTTCAACTCCCAGATCGGTTTGAGGCTGAGGTTTGAAGCTTGAGGCTTGAGGCTGAAATGTTTTATAATAGTTTATAATCTTGCAATCCCAGTCACGCTGTCTGCTTGGTCGGCTCAGTCTGTTGTCTGGACTCTTCACTTCCCTCCAGAAGCAAAAGATCTTGAACTTGCAAAGCAATCTCCTCATTCACGGCACACTTGGAACCCACCAGTGGCTGGACAGCAGCGGTCACAAATGCCTTGTGGTGGCAGTAAGTGGCTTGCGGCTTGTGGCTCATAAAACGCTCATAAATTGGCTGGCTTGCTATTTTAAGTCAATCAATAAAATCAAAGGTCATGATCAAAGTCTTTGAGTCAGAGTCAAAGCCCAAAGCCATGAAATAAATTGCACATTACCAGCTGAGTGGCTTGGACCCAATGTGGAGGAAGAGCAACACAGCGATCTTCCCCAGCCAGAATTTTCATGTACCCCTGAAACTTGGTCATCAAGTCCTCCAAAGCTTCGGCTTTGAAGATGGACGGAGTCTTTGTGCAGTTGATTGCCATGGCTCGCAACTCTTTGACTGTTTCCAACCCACCAATCAGAGCCTCCACGCGCTGAGAAAGCAGCGTTTCGCCCTTGTTGTTTGGCTTCTCATACTCCATGCGTTTGTCCAGCTTTCTTGCCAGCACCTTTCGCACTTGAGTTGCTGCAGTCTTGAGCTCATGCTCTGTGACTTTCACCTGCTCAATTGACAGGACCTTGTCTAGCAATGGGATCCATGGTACGATCTTTCCAACCTCAGAAGCCCATTTCGCCTTCTGCTGCTCTTTTTTCAGGGAAGCAGGAGGCTTGTAGACATCACTCGCAGGATCTGACAGCTTCAGGCTATCAACTCTCACGCAGGAATTCCACGTTGATTGGGTCTGTTCCTGTTCCATGTCAGCCACATCAGGACCATCAGTGATTCCTTCATCACCAGCTTGGTCTGCAGCAGCTGGCCAAACATGTGAAGGAGATGGCACAGGAAGCGAAGGTAGCTGCGGCTGCACATGCTGCGGAGGTTGTGGAAGCGGTACTCCTTCTACTCGTGCCTGCTTCATCTTTCTTGGGCAGGTAGCCGGAGAAGAAGCTCCACGTGCAGTTGCAGAAGCAACTGGAGAAACATCTTCTGCTGCTCCTTGCTGGGCCACACGTCTCATTCTTGCTGCCTTTGTGACAGTTGCCTTTGTAGCCACACCACCAACACCCGGAGTCATTGGAGCAGTCATTGGCATTGGGGTCATTGGCACTGGGATCATTGGCATTGGCGTCCTTGGCAGCATTGGATTGAATGGCCCTGGCCCAAAGCCCAAAGAGCCAGAAGATGCTGCTGCTGCTGATTCTGATCCCTCGGTCCCCTCGTCATTTCCCAAGCTAACTGCCTGAGCAAGCAGCATTTCTTCGTCTTCTCCAATCTCTTCCTCGTCATCCTCACACGTCACCTTTCTCTTTTTGGCTTCTGTGGGTCCCTGATCTGTCACCATGTCCTCATCATTCTCCTCCGCCTTGGCTGCTTCGGCAGCAAGCTTCCTTTTCATCTCTTCCTGCAGCTTTGCCTCTGCTTGACTCATAGATACGCCACAAGTCTCTGCTGGGAGGTCTTGCAAAAGCGCTTTCTGATTGACATTCATTGTCATTTCAAGCTGACCCTGAAGAATTGCATCTCTGTCGTCGTCAAGAAGTTGTTCATGCTTCACCGAAGAAGAGTTGCCAAACTCACCGCTCCAGTACCCTTCTTTGAGGTCTGGAACGAACACGGCTTTGGTCATCTTCTGGGTGATTGGATGCTTGGCCTTGGTGATTGAATGCCCAAGGCCATTCTTGGTGGGAGAGCCATAGTCCTGAGCGCACGTTTAGCTTAATCAGCTTATCATAAGTGATCATGAATCATCCGTGTCCGTGTACTGTTTATATGTGTACATTATAGAACACTCTGAAAGTTTGAACATATATAATTATATAATTATATATAATATATATATATATTATTATATATAGGCATAGGTTATATAAGGTCTATATGTCAGATGAGTCATAAGTTATTTTGTTTGTGGTACGGTAAATTAGTAAAGTAATAGTCGCATCAGTACGGCTCACTGACCATGCCCAAGTCTGAAACATTCTGAAACTGCTCACTGCTCCTTGACTACTCCCTAGCTGTGACCCCAGAACTGCCCACCACAAAAGTCCTTCTTGTACTGCTCCAACTCCACAAATGTTCCCTTCATCGAGGACGAAACAGTCAAAGCATCCTCTTTCTTGACTGTCCGGGTGCGCTTCTTGATGCGGGATTGGCCACAAGCAATCTTCTCCTCTGTGTCCTTGATCAATTGCTTTCTACCTCAGCCAGTGGGTCTGCAAGCTGAAACACACTGTTCATTGGAAATTGTGAAGGCGATGGTGAAGGTGAAGGTGAAGGTGAAGGTGAGGTAAATTGGGCAGAAGAAGGAATCATCCAGTCATTCACCATATCTGCAGATATCGTCTGATATGAGTCATGGGTCGTTGTCATGAGCGACAGTCGAATCAAATTTTTGGATCATGTACAGAAAGGAACGGCGCAAAAAAGACAACAAATAATAAACTACTATATATTATATTACTGACAATGTCAGAGTCAGAGTGGGTCAATGAGTCAATGTGTTTTCTTTTTTCCCATCTCACAGTCGAGTCGAGTAGTTTGTCTGTACAGCAATTTTTAATTCCCATCTTTCAATCTGCCACTGAGTGACAGAGTATGTTACGAAATCACTGCCAGAAAACAACCGGTGATCAAGCACCATGCCAATGAGACTTGACTAGATCACTTGCATGGCTCACGCCATCTCCAGAAAGCCCTGTTTCACAGCTCTCACTCTCACACTGCTGCTTCCACTTGGGCTAGGCATCTCCCATCCTGATGAACTGGAACTTGGAGATAGTGGCGCCACATCATGTGGCCGCGGTATTGACAGCAAAGGCACTGGTAGTGATGGTGCTATGGGCCCTGCAGCACCAACAAGTATAATTTCATGCTGTTCCTGCTGCTCATCAGCGTCATAAACCTGACTCATCTGTCTATTGCTGAAACTCATCATGGAATTGTAAATCACAAAGAGGATCATAGCCGCCACAACAAAGCGAAAGAATGGCCACAACCATGGCCAAAGGTAGCTCCAGTCAGTTTCTGGAAAACAGTGGACAGCGTCGCTCTCGCCCAACATGCCCTGCTAGCCAGCTATGACTGTGCTAGAAATTGATATACGCTTGGGCCGCCTGTGCTACAGATTGGAAATATGATATATGGCATGGTTGGAAGTCAGGATAGCAAATCTTCAAACTTCAAAAGGCTGTCACCAAAGGTCAACATTCATCATGAATCATAGCTGCAGTTTATTCATATCATAATAGTCTGAAACTGAAGCGCAGTCTAGAGTCTATACTTACCGTCTATATATACCTCTCATTCTGGCTTCCTATCTTCTTCCCAGTAGTCACTTTGTTGAAGTTTTAGATTCAGTTACTCAGCATTGTCAGTACTCATATCTTGTATCACTTTGAATTCAAACTGAAGCCTTTGACCCTGAGCCCAGAATCCAACCCAACTTTAATTCAAGTTGCCTTGCCAGAACTCGTTATAGAAAGACTCGTTCTGTGGATCTGGGTTGGCTGAGTTGGCATTCTCAAGCTTTGCAACCAATTGTGCCCTTGTCATTCCTGGGAATCCTCTGCGCGCTGTGTCTTGACAAATGCGACAGATGTCTCCTGCACAACCCAGCAAAGGAAAAAACAGACTCACTGACTGACTCACTTCATGGTCCACGACAATGACAACGGTAATGGTTGGCATGCGGCATGTCATCATTCACACCTCATAAAATGTGTGAAAGTTTCTGTGAAAGTGAAAGCATTTCTGCTCTACTGCTGATTCCAACTCAAAACACATTCCACAAGAAAAGCAGAGAACATTAAATGATTGATTGGTTGGTTGATTAGACTGATTGATTGATTGATTGATTGATTGATGATTATATTATATAAATTAAATATGAAGTATGAATTTATATTTACTAAATTAAAATGGATGAAGAAAGACTGAAAGACCCAGCTTAAGCAGCTATCCTGTCCTGAGGGCTGTTCTTCTTTCACACCCATCTCAGACATCTTCTTCGTGAGCCTGTAGTAGCCAGCTGCCCACCTAAAGAAGCTGTTCCAAGTTCCAAGCTGAAAATTTGAAGCTCGAAAAAGTTTGAAGTAGCGCTTAGCTGCTTCAAATGGTGAGAAAAGTGCATGTCTTGAGCACAGGTGGGAGGAGCCTGAAAAATTGGGGCGGTCATCCATCCCCATGGTTTCTAATGGGGTGCGGTGCGGGTGTTTAGTATTTGGGGGACGAGATCAGTGGAATGCCGGCTCTGCATGTCTGACATGCAACCCAGGCACTCAAGACAATCAGAAGGAATGAAAATGTCCTTGTCGTGTGTAGACAACCCACATCCTTTGCAGATTATCTTGAGCAGCGGTTTCGAACGAATCTTCCTAGCCAAAACTCCCCTGACGCCGGCTGCGGTCAAGCGCAAATTGATCCCAGGGCCGGGCTGAGGCTGCTCATGTGGAAGTCCAAAGCTGGGTGGCAGATTTCCCGCAAACCCTGGCTGGTTCAGCTGGAACAGTTGTTGTGGCACCACATCTACCGCTTCGGCCTCTGCAGGAGCTACGGATTCTGCAATCGAATCCAAAGGTTCCATCATCTCATCATCCATCTTGAACAACTCACTGGTCGTCAACCTTAGCATTTTAGCTGTGGCATTATATGGCACTATGTGGCACTATGTGGCGCTACACTGTGCTAAAGACAAAAAATGGCAAAACAATTGGCCAAAGTCTGAGTCTGAATACCAAATTCTCAAATTTGTGGCACCATGTGGCGCTATCTGGCACTAAAGTGTGCAGCAAAATACGGTCAAAAAGCCAACATTTTCAAAAATCTGGATTTTGCTGTGGCGCTATGTGGCACTATGTGGCGCTATCTGGCACTAATGTGTGATGCAAAATACGGACAAAAAGTCAAAATTTTCATTTTTTTTGATTTTGCTGTGGCGCTATGTGGCACTATGTGGCGCTATCTGGCACTAACCTGTGAGGCGAAATACGGACAAAAAGTCAAAATTTTCATATTTCTGGATTTTGCTGTGGCGCTATGTGGCACTATGTGGCACTATCTGGCACTAACCTGTGAGGCGAAATACGGACAAAAAGTCAAAATTTTGATATTTCTGGATTTTGCTGTGGCACTATGTGGCACTATGTGGCGCTATCTGGCACTAACCTGTGAGGCGAAATACGGACAAAAAGTCAAAATTTTGATATTTCTGGATTTTGCTGTGGCGCTATGTGGCACTATCTGGCACTAACCTGTGAGGCGAAATACGGGAAAAAAGTCAAAATTTTGATATTTCTGGATTTTGCTGTGGCGCTATGTGGCACTATGTGGCGCTATCTGGCACTAACCTGTGAGGCGAAATACGGGAAAAAAGTGAAAATTTTGATATTTCTGGATTTTGCTGTGGCGCTATGTGGCACTATGTGGCGCTATCTGGCACTAAAGTGTGAATCAAAATACGGACAAAAAGTCAAAATTCTAATTTTTTTGATTTTGCTGTGGCACTATGTGGCACTATGTGGCGCTATCTGGCACTAATGTGTGATGCAAAATACGGACAAAAAGTCAAAATTTTCATATTTCTGGATTTTGCTGTGGCACTATGTGGCACTATGTGGCGCTATCTGGCACTAACCTGTGAGGCGAAATACGGACAAAAAGTCAAAATTTTGATATTTCTGGATTTTGCTGTGGCGCTATGTGGCACTATGTGGCACTAACCTGTGAGGCGAAATACGGACAAAAAGTCAAAATTTTCATATTTCTGGATTTTGCTGTGGCGCTATGTGGCACTATGTGGCGCTATCTGGCACTAACCTGTGAGGCGAAATACGGGAAAAAAATGAAAATTTTGATATTTCTGGATTTTGCTGTGGCGCTATGTGGCACTATGTGGCGCTATCTGGCACTAAAGTGTGAATCAAAATACGGACAAAAAATCAAAATTCTCATTTTTTTGAATTTTGCTGTGGCGCTATGTGGCACTATGTGGCGCTATCTGGCACTACAGTGTGATGCAAAATACGGACAAAAAGTCAAAATTTTCATATTTCTGGATTTTGCTGTGGCACTGTGTGGCACTATGTGGCGCTATCTGGCACTAACGTGTGAAGCAAAATACGGACAAAAAGCCAAAATTTTCACAAATCTTGATTTTGCTGCGGCACGATGTGGCACTATGTGGCGCTACGTGGCACTAAAGTGTGAAGCAAAATACGGAGAAAAAGTGAAAATTCTCAAAATTCTGGATGTTGCTGTGGCTTTATGTGGCACCCTGCGGCACTATAAGTAAGGCAAAAATTGCAAAGTTTCAATATTCCCAGAGCAGTGATTTGGACAATCGTCCTATTGTCTGACTGTCCTCTTAATCTGTTCTGTTTGAGTCAGTGCTTGCAACAAAAAGCAAGCTAAGAGCGAAGCTGAACTGAAAGTTTCGAAGAATCGGCGTCAAGCCGGAGAGAACCAACCCTTTGATTGGGATGATTGACAGATACTAACGGGGTGGAAAGTATCTTCGAGCCTTAAAATTTCGCAAGTTCAACAGAATAAAATGGTTCAAGTCAGGTCCAAGTTGAATTCTAAATCCAAGCGGTAAGTTCCAGTCTGAACCACAATCGTCGGGAGCCAGGAGTCATTACTCCTCATATCATATCCAAAAACATTCCTTGTCAATGTAATTTCCCGCCACATGCAGCTGGCCATTATTAAGTGTTAGCAATTGAACACCACTTCTTTCCCAAACATCCCGGAACAGAAAGGTCGGAAATGTGTCCGATTCCAGTGTCCTGGAAATTGGAATCCTAATCCTACCTTACCTCTGCAAGATTCAGAGATCACAAGCTGGAAACAGTCATAGTCAGAGGCAGTCATACATACAGTCGTCATTGAGTCATACATACAAATCTGATTCTGATTTGATACAAACAACTAGCGGTAACCAGCGGTTATGAATAATGAATGACTAAATGACCGTCTATGAAAGTGACTGTGCGAGGAACAGCATCAAGCCAGCGCAGCTCAACAAAGATCTCAGTTTTGAAGATTCGACAACATCTAGGAGACTGTCACCGCAACGCGTTCAAAAGTCACCTGCATGTAGTTCATAAAGTCAAGCTGTCACTGGCTGATTGATTCAAATTCGGTGTTTTCACTTCTTTCAGAACTCTTTGAGTCCCTGAAAGCTGTCGTTGGCTTGGCTTGGCTTGGCTGTCACATCATCACACATCATCATTGACACTCTTCTACTAAGGCTAAAGCCCATACTATACTATGACTATATCATAATGTCATAATCGTTATACTAAATATAATATATAATTATTGAATTAAATTGAAATATATTAATATAATATAATATAATATTAAATTATATTATATATTTCATTTTATTTCATATATCTCTCAGCTCTCTCTCTCTCTCTCATTATCTTTAATCTTATACTTATACTATACCAGACTCTAGTCTAGACTCTAGTTGATCAAGGCCCAAAGCCTTGTTGTCTCAGTGAAACTCTACTAGACTAGAATGTGCAGTCACAGCCGCCGGTTGTAGCACTTTGCAGGGGCCAATGCCATGTGTTCTTCACCGTTCCGGTAACACGGCCCGTCTGCCAACCATTTAACCAAAGCATCTTGATCTGTGCCATCCACCAATGGGGTTGAAACACAGCAAAAATCACCATGCATAGCGCATTGGGCCACCATTGCCGGCGGATCCCAGTGCACTAAGAAAGAAATCTTTCCGACCCGGGTGACTCCCTTGAAAACATTGTTCCCTTCCATTCGTACCAGGGCATGCGGGTCCAAATTTGGCAGTTTGACAATTTTCTGCCATGGTTTGGCAGACGACGATGATGATTCCTTCTCACCATCACAAGTTTCATCTCCAAACATTCTTTCTAGCTCTAACTCTCCCATGAGTTCGGTGAACCCTTCAAACTCATCAAACTCTGCATCAATCTGGGCAGAAAGGTCGGCCTCGCCTGTTGCATCTGTGTCCTGGTTGGCGCTGGACATGAGCAAGTTCCTTCATGAACTTCATTCTATATCATCATACATCATGGATGATTATTTTGGATATTGAAATTTCAAATCGATTTGCTTTCTGATGCCGGTTACCTATCCGATTATCCCTCATTTAACCGTCAAATAACACAGAAGCCCGCGTCAGCCAAGTTCAAATCAAATGATTGTTAAGTTGCAACAATCTATGCTAAGCGTGTCCTTTGCATCATCTGCTGTTGAAATCACTGATTCCAACGGGTCTTGGTCTTGGTCTTCCACTTCTGCATCAGCAGCATCTGGATGAGATTCATGGGTGTCCAGCACGGTTGGCCACCTATCAAAGCACGATCAACGATCAGAATTTGAATTGTGCAGATACAGATGATATACACACTCTGATACTGATACCATACTGATATGATATGATATCCAGTGTCTCAAAGTCTCAATGTTTCACAAAATGTTGTGTCGCCACAATATCATCAGCATCGCCAACCACATTATTATTGGATTGTTTGTGCATGAGCTGAGCAATTCTTCACCAACTGACAGAATCACATCGATTTGAGCTGAGCAAATCTAAGCAGCTAGGCTAGGGTTCAAACACAGCATCGGCATTGTCGATGTCAGGAATCTTGAAGGCAATGGAGTTCACAGACCTAGGGGAGCCACACGGGCCACTGATGAGAAATACAATGAAATAAGAAAAATAGGTCACAGGTCACAAGTCTATAATTTGTTCTTTAGAACTTGGAGCACGGTTATGTTATGCAAGCTGCCTGTAAGCTAATTTATTTTTAAAAAAACTGTTTAGTAATAGCTCTCAAGTTCCTAACACCAACACAGACACAACACACAACACAAAGGATGGTCAGGTCCGGTTCAGGTTTGTTGACAGTTTGGAAAACGTAAAGCCACAAATAAAGGTGGCAACAAAACAAACCAAACACTCATGCAAAACAATAAAATAATAAAATTAACTGGAAAACTACACGGACAAAAGTTGAGGTGCAACCTTTGTAAAGAGACATCTTCTTTGTGCAGCCAACATCTGGCATCCATTTTGGGAGTGTTTCGTTGGACCCAAAAACAACATTGTCAGTGCAACTTCTACCAAAAAAGTAGGTAGCAAACAAACTTTGATTTCGGAATCAAACCAGCAACATCGAAGTGAAGAAGTTGAGTGACAAACAGAAAAGCAAACCGCGCCTGCCAGAAAACTTCTGCCACACAAAAGTGCCACGCAGAGGAAGCGGGAGAGCATGTGGCGAAAGAGGGTCGCATATGGGAGGCGTGTAAACAAAGCTGTGCACTCACAGCAAGAGACAAACACGCATGTTAGGTTTAGAGGCAGATAATGCGCTTAACTTATTTAATCTTAATCTGCTTTGCAGAAAAATGCATAGTCTAGTCGTATAGTATAGTATATATTATACATTTGGGTTTCCTGCAGTTTCCCTCAAAAGATCAAAAGTTCTGAGATGTTCTGAGATTGTTGTGGCACATAGCGGATTGGTAATTACAACTGCTGCGCTGCTGCACTGTTTGTCACCGTGACAAAACCATGAGATGAGATGAGATGACAGCTGAGGTGCGGGCATTGGCCGGTGCTCCAAGACAGTAACCCATACAGTTTCAACATCTTGCTTCAGCAAGTCAGCACACATCTCCCAGCTTGTGCACAACACAAGCGAATTATCGCTACTCAAACGGAACTGTGCAGACGTTTCCCCACACCCAACAACAGAATCATCATAGTCCATTGCAGCTAAAACTGCTGTCACTGGTCTCAATACAACTTTTGCTAGGGTGAAAATCTTGCAGAAGGGTTCTGGCAAGGAAGAGGCTGCAGCAGCCGAGGCTGAAGCGGTAGAGCCGACTGCCACACATTCCTTCTGCTTCGTGACCCGGAAACGGACTGCAATGCACACATCCGAAGAGGTGAGATACTCCTTTGCCGAACTCGGAGGTAAATTCCGATCAACTTGTCGTCTAATCTCTTTGAACATGTTCTCATGCAACACTGCTTGTTGGCGACACAACTTGCCATTGGACTTCCTACACATTCCCCGGTGCCAACATGGCAGCTTGTAGTTTGAGGCAATTTTCTGCATGATTGTTTGATTGATTGGGCTGTGGTCAGCCACTGGCAACTGGCTCTGAAGAAAACTGTAAGCATTGCTTCGGTTCATGCCTTTCGCTCTTGCTTTGTCAATGATTGACGCAGCAATCGGGCAATCTTTCGTGCAGGACATACCCCAAAGCCTAGTAGTCATCAGCAGTCAGTGTCAAAGTCTCCCACTCAATTTTTTGCACTTGGTTTACATAGTTTAGTTTACAGCATACTCTAAAATTAAATAGTTCAAGTTCAAGATTCAAGTTCAAATTCAAATTATACTTGCGACCGTAGGAAACTCACAATCATATCATATCATCCATCAATAATCATGTGACATGTGTTCATTTTTAAATTTAAATATTTTTTAATAAGTCCGCGTCCGCTATTGTCACTGCCAACATCTGCGTCAGAATCAGTGTAAACTCACAACCTAAGGGCGCTGCCCAGACATGTGGCACTCACCCTCTCTTGCAGCAGCATGGGCGGCTGCGGCCACTGTAGCTTCCTGAAACAGAAGTCGGGGCCCTTCTAAACTCTCAAGTCAAAATTCCCAAGCAAAAGATACAAAGACTCAGCGACTGACCCGACACAAATCAGTTCGGCTCAACAACTACCAAGATTCCCGTTGAAAGGGGCCCCTTTCAATGGAAATCTTGTTAACTGTTAACTTCAAATTCAATGCAAACCGAACCGCTGTTGAAGAACAATACTTGTGAGCGTGCCTTCTTGGCACACTTTGTGGCTGCATTAGAAGCCTTTGCCAACCCAGTGAACATTGTCTGTAGTCCTGGAACCTGTCATGCTGTGCCGCTGCCCAACTTATGTCCGGAGTTGGAATCGGAAGCAACTTGGCAACTGCAAATGAACTTGAACTTGCCTTGGGTTGGGTGATTGGCTGGCTGGCTGACTGATTGACTGATTGACTAAACTTAAGCTTTCCAGCCTCTGCTACCGTCTTTGCTTTCCAGTCTTTGAATGCCCTTGAAGCCATGCCTCGTGCGATCTCTTGGCCTCAGGAAAGGAGGAAAAAGCAAGCTACAAATTGCATAAGGCTCACAGTGTGCAACTCGCAAACTCCAGATCACTGATCGCTTTGTCCTCTGTCAAGCGGTCAATCAGTCAAGATGTCAAGTGGGCGGGTCCATGGTCCACATCTTTTTGGGGCCCTGGCTGTCGGTGCAAGATTGCTTGAACATCTTCCACAAGTGGCTCGATGCAAAATGGGCCCCTTGCAGCTTACCGGCTCTTGGGCCCAGAGTCTCCAGCAGGTCTGGGTCACAAACAGGCTTTTGACCTTTCTTCATTGATTTGCCTCAAATTCGAAGACCACAACTACTGCTACCGTTGCTGCTGGAGTAGCTACTGTCAGGTCAAGTCTGTAAGTTTACGACGACTACTACTAAATGGCTACCTTCTTAATTTTAAAAACACAGAGCATTTTCAGGGATCTGCTCTGCTTATTGTGATCTAATTAGAATGATATTATCAAAGCAAGTCCTGTTCTGTTCTGGTGAACCACTGATTCACAATGAAATGAAACATAAATGAAACCTGCCCACTGCCCACCTGCTTCTTTGATAGATTTCAACGTCCGTCTGCGGTCAATCTTCCGTGGCTTTGATGGCTTCGAGTTGTGACTGTTGTCCTGGTCTTGGGATCCAGGGCCCGGATCAAGTGGTATCTGCGTCTGCCTTGAAACAGAGATGTGATGTGCCGGTAAGGCAGTCAAAGAGTTAGTGAATCATCAGTGAATCCTGAAACTGAACAAGTCTGAGTCAGAGTATGTCTGAAGCAAATCAAAAATTAGCAATGGTTGCAAATTTTAACTTGCAACTTGTAACTCTGAAAGTCAGTGAGGCTGGATTCAAGACATGGTGACAATCACAAGTCATTCATCATGGACCTGACTCGGCCTAACACTCAAAATCTGCCAGTCGTCACTACAAACTACAAGTTACAAATTCCTGCAAGTCGGTCACTACTACTATTTCAGTTGCACAGTTATCACTTACACGGACACAAGAAGTTACAGTTACACGAGTGTGGACTGTCCAAGAGCCTGCCTGTCTTGTTTCTGCTGTAGCAGCTCGTGTGCATGGCGAGTCGTCGCCAAAAACGATTCAGCACTCAGCTTGACAAAATTTTTGGAACTCCCCAAATGGAAGGACGCTTCGGCAAGAGCACGGTTTTGCCGATGAAGACACTCCATAGCGAATATCCCCAATCTGGCGGAGCGACAAGCTATCACTGTGGCCTTGCAAAAGAGGTCAAGGATTGGCTCGTCACCATGCTCCTCACAAACATTCCAGGCTGCAGACTCCAGTGAGGTGTTACATAGCCAGAGGTTGTGCAAATGATACAAGGAAACGATTAATGCAACTGCAAGATTAAAGAACAATCCAGACAATCCTGAATTATGAATCATGAATCAATCGACAAGTGCACTTTTTGTCATGGCCCCATGTGTGCTGCCTGCCCTAAACCCTCAAAAGGCAAGCGTGCTCAGTGCCACTACTACGATTGATGATTGATCGTCGATCGTGTTGATCATTGATCATGTGTGCTTTGGATTTGCTTTCAAGCATACAAACAACTAACAATAACAATAACAAGAGGTGATCCTGACACGATGTCTCACACCCAGGGCAAACGACTAAAATTTGAACTGACAATAAAAATGAAGCCAAGCCAGCAAGCAGGCGGAAGTTTGATTCTTGTGCTGCTGCTGCTTGATTTCCTGGCCTAGGCTTTGGCCGTTCAAATCAGATAATCAGAGAGTCAAAGTCAGGCAGCCTTGTTCTTGTCTCTGGTGGCCCCCTTCTCCCCTGCACTGCGCTTTGCTTTCGATTCCTTCTTGGTCTTGCGGCGACTCTTCTTGTGCATCTTCTTCTTAGCGGCACCATCCCCTTCGACCATATCAGGCGCCATAGTAAGATCTGGTGGTATGTCACTGGGGCTGGGATTGTGTGTGTCAGTTGCACACCCTGACCCTGGGCCCTCTGTCATGCCTGGCTCTACGGCTGACTGCCCGCCCAAATCTGGGGGCCCACCACCATCCCCACCAGGCACTGCTCGGAAAATGGCAAGGCCACCATCATATGAATCATCACTGTCACCACCACTGTCAGACTCAGACCCAGGCTGGGGATAAAGAGAATCCATGGTCAGATTCAAGTGGATGTGAAGATGATTCGCATGGATCACTGGGCTGTTGATGATCTGGCTGATACTGTCCCTCACCCAAAGATTCATTCCGCCCTCCTGGCCCTGTGCTGGTTCTGGTGCAGCTGCCATGATTGAAAAGCAAACAGCAAACAGCTCGGCAAAATGCCTGTGTGACGGCAAGGGTCTCTGAGCACCTGTGTATTGAGCCTAAACTGGACTTGACTTGACTGTCTTACAACGATTCCGACTCCGACACATGAATTTCACCTGGCCTGGCATCATAATCAGTTCAGGCTAGGCCCACTTTTGATTCTTAAAATAAATTGAACTGAACTGAACCGAATTGAACCTGATTGAGCTCAGTTTAAATTTAACCGTTTAACTGAACTGTTGTTTAACTAGAGTTTAACAGTTTAACTGATTTCCCGTCCTCGTCTCTCTCCATGTTCTTCAGGTGGTTTTGCAAGCCAAGGCTAAAGCCACTGTCCAAGCAACATGGCTCAGCTGCCATGAAAGTCATAAACACCTCCAGGCCTCATTGCACAGGTTCCGGTTCATGGTTCAGTTCACTGTATCACCGTATCACTGTTTCCGAAAGGCTGAGGACCCTAAAGAACAATCAGGACAAGAGTCAACAGTCAACAGTCACTGTCATACCATGTGTACAAAGAAACAAAGCTATGGGCTATGGGCCATGAGGCTATGAGTTTGAGGCTTTGAGCTTTGCCACGCTATGCCACGTCAAACAGGACAAGTGCTACAAATCATGCCATGCATTCACTTTGAGGGCACGACGCTGGTTGGTTGACATATCAGGGTCCGCTGTTGCAAGCAAAGTCATTGGCACATTCAGAGTGGCCGGTGCAGCCTGAGTCCATGGTCCATAGTCCAAGAAATAAAGAACAACAACTTATAAATTATAAGTCCGGTATACAGCATGTACAGTATAGTATACAGTATACCGTACGGTCGTACATACGTATACCGTATACCGTATACCGTATACCAGTAAACAGACAGTAGACAATATAGTAACAGTACAGTATAATTTTTATTCAAAATAAAGTCGAAAGTTTCAGTTCAGTTTCAGTGTAGGAGGTTCAGGAAACTTTGTGGTATACAAACATCTGGCATCTTGCACTCAATTTTTGACCTGGACTGGATGCGTGATGCTGTCTGCGTCAAGGTGTATTGTGGGAGGGCGCAACTGCCTGGAAAAAAGATATCTAATTTGAGCTGCCGACCGCAACCACACATTCGCAGCGCCTGTTGATGGAATCAAATCAGGCAAGGCCAAAGCAGCTTGGAGCTTAGATTTGACTTGAATTGAATCTAATCAATCCAACTTCCCAACTAATAGCAAGCAACAACCATGGGGCCTGCAAGCAACGACCTTCTCGTCATAATGAACATGTGCTCTGGAGAGACTTCGTGCCTCAGAACCAACTCTTGCATTGGGCATTCGGTGACATTCGCATGCATTATTGTCGCGTCCTGCCCCCCATCAAAATCGAACTCATCATTCTTTAAGTTACTCATCCTCTGGTTCTGATTCTGCCATGAATGTGCAAAAATTGATTGCCCTGAGAGCCGTGCCCACACCAGTAACGAAGCTCTTCAGCAAAATCCGGGCAGAAAAGCAAGTCCGCAAGCTTTGCCAATGCTTTGGCTGTGACTTTCCCTGTAGTCCTCTGAACGAAAGCTGGTTGATATGAAGGTTGCGTTTTCGTTTCTCAGTTTTCACTTTCAGTTTAAGTTCACATTTTCTAAAAGTTTCACATTCTCATCACATCTTTTCATTAGCCTTTGGTAACCTTGAACCTGGTACTTGTCTGAAATTGGCTGACTGGGATGTCAGGTCGCAAGTTTCCAACTGTCAGAAAATGTCACCGTAACATACTGCAAAATTCAAAATCAAAAGTTCGCAACCAGCTGAGTCGAAGACCATTGTGGGAAGCCGCGTGAGCCATCAACGGCTTCCGCGACAGTCACATCGGTACCCTCCATGATGTTGAACAGGTACCGCTTGCATAACTCCTTCAAGTGCGCCGGGTCATAGCGATCACACCTGACTTGACACTTGGCCCAACCCCGCTCCATTACAATCTAGCAACAGTTGTAAGTTGTAAGCTACTTTTTGAAGTAGTTACAGTAGAAGTTAAAAAGTTTGAAGTTAGAAGTTAGAATCTGCCAGTTAGAAGCAGAAGATTCGATGAGACTCGATGACTCGATCAATGTCAACGTGATCACAATGTGGTGAGTGGTGAGCCTTCGCCCAATGGCTTTTGAGGACCGGACTCGTGCTTCAAGATGTAAAACAGCAAATCCCGAATTGGCGCATTGCAAAGCAAGACTAGGAAGAGTTTCAGCATGGTTGTCTTGCTGTTGGCCCTCGGAAAACCCAACAGGCACAGCAGTCAAGGCATGCCGTCTACAGCCGACAGCCGATAGCCAATACAATAGCTATCCGATAGCTATCCAATAGCCTGTCTATGTAGGTGTGTAGATATTATGTGTTACAAATTATAAAATTATAGTCATGAGTCATGAGTGATAATATTAAAATTATAATATATATATATATATATGAATACAAAATAAACACTCTGAGACTCTGAGACTTTGACCATTCGCTGAGACGAGTTCTCCTGACACTTTGCTGTGCACGGAAAGCGTCACTATCTGCTGCTTGGACCTTGCAGAAACAAGGGGGACCAACACAAGGCGGACTGATCACCACCATCATCAGTTAATTAATCAACCAATCACCAATCAGAACCGGCATTTTGATTTCAAGTTTTTAAATTCAAATTCAAATCGTATCCTATCCACATTCAAAGACTTGCTCACTGACTCACGGTTCATCACCATGATCAGTGCCGCTCCCAAATTCATACAATACAACACAAGACTCAAACACAACATGTAACATTACAATTTACAGACCATTATTGTAGACTATAGACTATAGACTATAGCGACATCAGCAACCATCAATGAACACATGGAACCAAAGGTCCTGTGTACGAACTTTCCGCAACATCATGACAAGCGACGAATCAGAATGACATTGGCTGAGATCCTGGCATCCGCATCCGCTGACTTGGGCTCTCCCACAGGCTGAGATGCATCTGGCTTGCCAACATTCTTGCCGGCCAAAGCAGATAAAAGCGGTCCCAAGAATCTGTGAAAAACTGCTAGGCCCAAACACCATTCACATACTGACGCCACACCGGTCCAGCGTCCAACCGCTGCTCTAGCAGGTTTTGCACTCAAGAAACAATGGAGGAAGAGGGTGCTCAAATGACTTGCCACTGCTGCATGTGCTTGCGAATTGCAGAAACGGTCTTGCACCCACACACTGATGGTTTCTGAGCTCCAGTCTGAGTCGCCCGTCAGCCTGAAAATTGAGCCGAGTCGAATGCTACTTCAACTTTCATTTCATCATATAATATCATATCATCAATCATATCATTGAATTATATTATATCATATATCATATTCTTCCATTGGCCGGCCTAATTTTTTTGTTTAATCAGTTTGCCTAGTTTGCCTCGTTTGACTCTTGACCGTCTTGGCTCTTGACCGCTGTTTGACACACGTAATTCCAGTCTAGATGCTGAAGCAGCTCAGCCGCTGTGGCCCAAACTCGCGGCTGCTTCGCGTCTGCAGGTGTATCTGGACCAGGCAATTTGCCCAACAAAGTCAGGATCCTTCTGTTCCTGGCCTGACGTCCCAGTCTTACCTCCAATGACGGCAGCTTTGACTGGGGCTGCAAAACCAAAGATTTCGAAATGAGGTGCAGAACAGACCTTTGCAAGATTTCCCAGCTGCTGGAACTTTTCATTTGGTTGCCAGCCCGGACGAGGTTTGCAAGGAGATATGACTCTTTAGCCTTATTGTTCTTCTGCTGCTGCTGCTCCTTCTGTTTCCCTTCATGGTCGTCCGGTTTGTCATCTTTTGATTTCCTACCACGGCCCCGCCCACCACGTCCTCTCCCCTTGCTGGTCGCTGGGGCCACTGTTTCAACCTTGCCCCATGGCCATTCAAGAGGCAGGTCCTGCAAGAGCAGGCCAGAACCAAACAAAAGTACATGCATACTGCATGCCCCACACATATACTGTATACATACTGTATATATCGTATACCTTTGAACATGTACATGTAGACATGCAGCATGCAGCATGCATGCACATATAATATATGTAATTGATTTTTAAAATATAATTAATTAAATCATAATATAATATATTAATATTAGTTAAGTTATATATGTATTTACTAAATTTCAGAAATGTAAACTGTAAACCATATTTCAGAAACAGCAATCGCACTTGAGCAAATCTGAGACGATGACCAAGCGAAGTGTCTGGTCATTGGAACACAAGTGAGTTCCATTGCACTGGCAATTGATATCCAGGACCTCAATGTGCAAACTTTACACTGCCTGTGTTTGAATCTTAACGTAAGCCTCAATCTGAGTCTTGAATCTTGAATTCTACCTGGCTCACTAGCAATGATATTGATAGTGACTCTGACTCTGACTGTGACTCTCAACTCTGAACCAAGATTGAGTTCAGCACCAAACTGTTCTCCTTGCGGCTGGCCGCCTGAAATTGACTCCACAATATGTCTTGTCAATGTCAATGTCAATATCCTGCAACTCAAGTCTACCAGTCTACACCCTCTGTAACCGCGCAGCCTAGAAGAAAAGAACAACTCTCTCCCTCACCAATTGAAATTATGAATTATTGAATCGCAACAGAGAAATGGAGCGGCCAATGATTCTATGTCAATGAGTCAATGACATGAGTCAATGAGGACTACGACCGACACTGTGAGCCTCGTACTTTTTGAGCACGGTATTGGCCGGTGCACCATCAGCCAAGTAGATGAGAATGTTCAAGACAGAGCCATCAGTCAGAGGACTCCTGGTTTTCTACCACTCTTCTGGGAAATTTCAATCTACAATTCGGTAGGGTGACAATATGCGACAATTCTGATGATGACAACGATAATGATAAATGATAATCTGATAATGTTTTTTATTTGATATACGGCACGACTATCACTATCACTATCAACCTGACTCAACTCAATTTATCTATCAGAGTCTCAGACAATCTATCAGACTATCCTCAAATTCTTAGAAGTTAGTCAGTTAGTCAGTCAAATCAAATAGTCATTGAAAGTCGAGTCTGGTCTGTGACATGCGCAACAAAACCGAAGACCAAAAGCAAAGCCTTCATTTTTTACCAAGGACCATCCAGTTGATATGGCGATACGATACAGTTAGCAGTAGCAGTGATTCTGTACTTAATCCTTGGTTGAACAAGCCTGGACGAAGAACGAAATGAAGTCCACAGAGAGTCTCTGATGGCAGAACTTGTCATCCGCAAGAGACGCAGCGGTGGCACAATGATCTGTTCCTGTAAGCAAGGCTTTGGGAGCGGTTCAGCATCTCTCATCTGTCATCAAATTGCTGCATACTCCATACTCTAGTCACATCAAGAGAACAGATTCACATTCACCAGCATGCAACTCTGTGCGTAATTGGAAATTCAGTGTAAACAAAGTTGCTTTCCTTGCTCTTAGACATCAACCAGTAGCCAAAATCAAACTTACACTTGCACGAATTGTCCTTCATGGCCAAAGGCTGATCCCACTTTTCAGCCATTAGGTCAACAACCTCGGCAATCAGAAATCATTCATCAGAATCAGAATATCAGAGTATCAGAAGTTCACAATTTCAGATTTTATTACTAAATTAAATATTGTTATTTTATGATATGATTAAATAATGTAATGTAAGTGTAAGTCACAGTGTAAGTAAGTCAGCAAGTCAGTCTGTCTGTATAACTAAGTCAGAAAATCAGAATATCATGTCAATGCCTCATGCCACTGTCCAAGTTCAAATTTATCCCCATCCACCAATCAACATTGATACATCAATGCAACGGCTCACAAAAAATCCCAAACAGTGAACAGTGTCAGCATTGGCAAACAATGAATTGCGATTGTGAAATTTCCTTTCACTTTTAGTGAGAGTCAGTGACAATGACATCATAAAAATAGGCGGCTGGGGCTTGCAACGCTGATTTCACCATGCTGAACCATGGTGGACCTGGGCTGGCTGGTCAACAAATTAAGACACGGCACAGAACCGGAATTCAATGTCCAAGAGAAACCTTCTTCAATCACCACGTTTGTTTAGATCTTGGGCTGAAAAGCATCTGGGCCCTGCACATGACTATGTTTCTCTTTGTTTCTCCGCTCCGCTTCCTCAGCAAGGGCAGCAACTTCAGTGCCAGTCATGTCATGTCATGTCAATCCTGACTCAAACCGTTCGGAAACTAGCTTGTGGGTTCCCCAAATTGGACGAGTTGACTAGAGACAAGAGATAAAATAAAGACTGGAAAACAAAACATCTTCCATCCCTAGCCAAGCCTCTATTTTTTCAGACTTTCTGGAGTCACCCTGAACTAGAGATGCTGCTCTGACCGAAGCTTTGAACTGGAATCCATTGTTCAGTACAGTACAGTATAGTTATTATTTATAATAAAAGATTAGAAACTATGATTTATAAATAAATTTCAAATGATACATAAACTAACTAGTCATAATCCCTGGCTCCAGAACCGTTCATGCGGGAAAGATTCGCTTTGAGATATGCTTCACTGATTGGCAACCCTGCCAATGCATGGGCTAGAAATGGGACTGAGTCACCACCGCCATTTGCAAAGAGCGATGCTGTTTGCTCCTGCGCCAGGAAACTTCGCCGGAGATTAGTGATTGGCAATGTTTGGTGTGTTTGCGGACATTTGCAAGTGGTTCCCATATGTTTTGATTATGATTCCCACAAAATTGAAATCACTGTCAATTTAAATCTACTTGAACTTGTAAGTGTAATCATGTACTGTAAGAATGCGACTGTGTAACCATATCAATTCATGTAGCCACTGGGCAGCCATGTGATATGTCACACCGCTTACAACAATGCAGCAAAGCTGCTGTCTCATCCCACATCCATGTTTGTGTGGCAACATACTTAGAGCTGCGCTCTGAGTTCGGGATGTGCAACTCGCCATCTACCTTGGCAAAGGGCCCAAACCCCAAACGTTCTGAATCTGAATCCAAAAAGTCATTTTCCATAACTTGCAGCTGCGAGACAAGTCGTTGGAGAAATTGTTTCTGCTCAGCCAGAATGATACCCGCTACATTGAACTTGCTGTTTTTCAGGAACTTTGCATTAAAGGTATCCTAGGTCACAATCCCAACTCACCAGAAACTCGAAAAACGGAAGCACTTCAATGAGCGCACCCACAAAGTAAACTAAGTAAACAGTAAACTTGTTCATCAATCTAAGCTAAGGGTCGCCAAGTTTTTCTGTGAGGTGTTGCACCGGTTTGCCCACCAACCCTGCCTTTTGCGTAACAAGCCCAATGGCTTTGGCTAAATGGCTGGCAGCTGTCGACACCTGGGACTCTGCTATGCGCCCTGGCATAAATGCCGCCGCGCATTGCAGCTCTGCCTAAATGCACATTGCAGTGGCAAATGATATATATTATTATATAATTATATAATTATATTATGTTTATTTATTATTAATATTACGAATTACGACTCTATTATTATTATGAACAATATCGTACCACTCCATGATGTAAAACAGGATGTGAGACAGTGAGACCCAACCCATGCAAAATTACTTGACTTTACTTTACTTATACTTCGAACTTCGAGTCTAGTCTTCGGGTGATCCCCACCCCAACACATTATTTTGAATTCTGCTTTCTTTAAGCTGGCAGAAGAAAGAGGCGGAGACTGAGAAGGTGGACGAGGACGAAGGAGGAGGGTGAGGAAGAGGAGGAGAAGAAGAGGAAGGAGGAGAAGGAGTTGTACAGGTTGTACATTTGTTAAAATCTAGAGACCCGGAAAAACAATAAATAAGGATGCTCTAAAATAAAACTAACTCAGTCCTGCTCAGAAACGTCTATGCTGGCGTTGCCCTGTGTAGCCACCCCCCCTTCTTCGACATCTCTACTACATTCATTTCTTTGTTTGTTTTTTTTGCGTATGGACTGCAGACCAATACGGGCGTTGCTTGTCCTCCTTCGTTTTGCAGCTTGCAGATCTGCTTGGTCAGAGACTTCATCGACAAAGTCTAATGGATCCACGTCGTGCCCCCGTCTTTGCTCCATGTCACCAGCCAAACACACCAAAGCCAAAGCCCATGGCAGAAACTCTGAAAGTGTTGAAAAACTATTCTTTGTTGATAGTTGTTAAATTATATCATATCATATCATTATATCATATCACACTGTTATCACGCAACGTCAAAATACATAAATATTATATTATATTTGAAAAATCCAATGGTTAAATTTGCTAAAATCAATTCAGGCCAAGCAAAAACTGATGCAATTTCCTTCCGTCTTCCATCTTTGCATCGCATCCCGAGCCAAAATGGCCAATAGGCCCGTGCTTTGAGATTTTGGAACTTTTGAGAATGATTGGGTTGAATTAATGGTTTGAAATGAACTGACATGGAGGACATGCGGTGAACAACAAAACAATGTGTGTGGTGGACATGTGACATGTGCTGCATATCATCTACTGCATCTACATTTTGTATTGGCTGACAAAACTTGACAAAACTAAAAAAATGCAACAGGTGGTGCTCAATAAGGCCTATGCCCGGTCTCCTGTCCCGATCCCGTCCCAATCGGCTTCTGATCCGGAGCGTTCCCTGCCGGACCTCCACCACAAGCTCAGGATCAGAGTGTTCCCTGCCCGGCCTCCACCACAAACTCAGGATCAGAATGTTCCCTGTCGGACCTCCACCACAAGCTCAGGATCAGAGTGTTCCCCGCCGGACCTCCACCACAAGCTCAGGATCAGAGTGTTCCCCGCCCGGGCCTCCACCACAAACGCAGGATCAGAGTGTTCCCCGCCGGACCTTCACCACAAGCTCAGGATCAGATTGTTCCCCGCCGGACCTCCACCACAAGCTCAGGATCAGAGTGTTCCCCGCCCGGGCCTCCACCACAAACTCAGGATCAGAGTGTTCCCCGCCGGACCTTCACCACAAGCTCAGGATCAGATTGTTCCCCGCCGGACCTCCACCACAAGCTCAGGATCAGAGTGTTCCCCGCCCCGGCCTCCACCACAAGCTCAGGATCACAGTGTTCCCCGCCGGACCTCCACCACAAGCTCAGAGTCAGAGTGTTTGTTGCCGTGGAATCAGCTGACGCGCTCGCACTCGAAGAGCGTAAGCACATCAGATCATCAGCCCGGGTTGTGACCGGAGCCTGGAGCCTTGTCGCCTGAAATATTACAGAACAAGTGTCATATACTTCTCGGCTACTAGATCTGGCAGAAACTATGTGTGAAAAAAATATACTTTGCCGGGAAGCTCAAGATCAGAGTGTTCCCCGCCGGACCTCCACCGCAAGCTCTCCCCGTGAACATCAGCACTGTATATAATATATAATATATATATAACTTATTTGTTTATTTAATTATTTATTTTTGCAGTCACCAAAATGGACGAGAACATGCAAAAAACAAATTGCAGATTTACGGCAAAAAAGTCAAAATTCTCTAAAATTAGTGAAAATGCAAAAAACAGAAAATTTGCCAAAAAAGTGAAAATTTGCCTAAATTGCGATTTGGCAAATACGGACTTTTTTGCCATAAATCGATATTTCGATGAAAACCAAATTATGTCCGAAAAGTGCCTAAATCAGGAAATGGCTATATTTCATTGATTTCACAGAGACCCCCCCTCACAGGCCCGAATGGCCGTTCTTAAATTTTATCCTCTGAACCAACAACAAGGCCCAGCAGCTTTGCTGTTCTCCATCGGGACAGCTTTCCACTGAACGCAGTGCAGCATAAATTGCCATGAAGCCCCAGAGAAGCGCCAGAATCAGAAACGAAAATCTCCAAGAGAAAAGCTGAGCACTGAATCCTCAAGGTGAGGTCGGCGGACAGGTGAATGATGGTGAATGTGACTGGCCCTTCAACCGTTGGAAAAAAAAACATGGAACAAAAAAAACGGAGGAAAACCATGGGCCATCTCTCGCCGTGACGGTCGGTGACGGTATTTTTTTGTCCTCCAAACACGGGCGCCACCAGTTCTCCAAAGGTGGACATCAGCTGCAGTAAGGCGATGATGGTGAAGCGATCGCCTGCCTCCGGAAAGTAATCCTCGGATGTACATGGGCTAGAAAATTTCCCCAATTTATGGAGGTTTAAATGGGAGAATCATCTGTCACTGCTGGATGTTCATTTGCCACCCCTGATTACCGGAGGGCAGAGGCAATTAAGCCAGACATAACTAGGACATGCAGAATCCCAAGTTATAATTGCGAACATCTTGGAACCCAATTTCTTCCTCTGGCAACCAAATCAAACTTGGCAATGGACCACCAACATCCTGCCAAGGAAAAACCACGTTCGATTGGCTGTTCCGGGTTCCAGAGGCTTAACCTCTGAACTTTGAAGCTTTCCCCGGCATCAACATGAAACATAAACATTCAAAATTCCAAGCTAAGACCTGCCGGCTGCTCTGTTCCCACTTTTTTTTCAACATCAATATTTGCCCGATTTTCTGAAAAGTATACTTGAAATTTCATTCTTTGCCCCAACAAAAATGTCAGAACCCCACCTTCATTCCACACCACCAATCTGTCCCCACGACCTGAATATCAGCCAAAAAGCAAGGCCCTCTCGGAGAATAAACGCAGCTAGCAACTGGTCAACAGCGTTGGTGAATAAAACCCCTAACTTGCTTATCCCATGTGTAATTGGCTTAGGATCCCACACATTCCCACACGAACCACTTACATCCATTTGCGCTGCCACGAAACATGTTGCATTTCTAAAATTTTATACACCCAACCCCATCTAGAAACAGATTCAATTTGTTGAAGCCCAGGGCCCAGACTTGCACCAATTTACCCTACTAGTTAAATATCAATTACACACCCAGTAGCTAACGAATCCCATTAAATCCACTAAGATTCCATTTAATCTCATCAAATCCCAATCAATCTCATCAAACACCGACTAAAATCCCACAAAAAAAACGGATAGAAGCCACGGACCCGAATGCATTTTTTAAAAGCTCACGTAGAAGGAGGGTCCCTACAGAACAATGAAAAGCGAACAGGAGATGCTCGATCGCATCAAAAAAAACTCTTGCAGAACACTCTTGCTTGACATTCTTCTCGGACACTCGTGTGGGACACTCTTTTGTGACACTCTTGTGGCATACTCTTGTGGCGCACTCTTGTGAGACACTTTTAAGGGACACCCTTCTGAGACACTGTTGCCTGACACTCTTGCTCGACACTCTTGTGGCACACTCTGGTAAAAAACACTCTCTCAATACTCTGGAACACTCTTGTAAGACACTCTTGTTGGAAACCCCTTGCTTGACACACCTGGAGCACCTCGCAGTACTACTTTGTACTACAAAGCGTCCACGCAGTACCTCAGAGTACTACTTTATACTGCAAAACTTGCACAGAGTACTTCCCAGTACTACTTTGCACTACAAATCCTGCACGAGGCACTTCCCAGTACTACTTTGTACTACAAAGCTTGCACAAGGAACTCCCCAGTACTACTTTGTACTGCAAAGCTTGCACAAGGCACTTCCCAGCACTACTTTGTACTACAAAGCTTGCACAAGGCACTTCCCAGTACTACTCTTTACTACAAACCTTGCACAAGGAACTCCTCAGTACCACTTTGTACTACAAAGCTTGTTGTACTACAAAGCTTGCGCAAGGCACTTCCCAGTACTACTTTGTACTACAAAGCGTCCACGCAGTAGCTCACAGTACTACTTTATACTGCAAATCTTGCACAGCGTACTTCCCAGTACTACTTTGTACTACAAATCCTGCACAAGGCACTTCCCAGCACTACTTTGTACTACAAAGCTTGCACAAGGCACTTCCCAGTTCTACTCTTTACTACAAAGCTTGCACAAGGAACTCCTCAGTACCACTTTGTACTACAAAGCTTGTTGTACTACAAAGCCACTTCCCAGTACTACTTTGTACTACAAAGCGTCCACGCAGTAGCTCACAGTACTACTTTATACTTCAAATCTTGCACAGAGTACTTCCCAGTACTACTTTGTACTATTACTTTGTACTACAAAGCTTGCACAAAGCACTTCCCAGTACTACTTTGTACTACAAACCTTGCACAAAGCACATTCCACTACCACTTTGTACTACAAAGCTTGCACAAGAAACTTCCCAGTACTACTTTGTACTACAAAGCTTGCACAAGGCACTTCCCAGTTCTACTCTTTACTACAAAGCTTGCACAAGGAACTCCTCAGTACCACTTTGTACTACAAAGCTTGTTGTACTACAAAGCCACTTCCCAGTACTACTTTGTACTACAAAGCGTCCACGCAGTAGCTCACAGTACTACTTTATACTTCAAATCTTGCACAGAGTACTTCCCAGTACTACTTTGTACTATTACTTTGTACTACAAAGCTTGCACAAAGCACTTCCCAGTACTACTTTGTACTACAAACCTTGCACAAAGCACATTCCACTACCACTTTGTACTACAAAGCTTGCACAAGAAACTTCCCAGTACTACTTTGTACTACAAAGCTTGCACAAGGAACTCCCCGGTACTGTACTACTTTGTACTACAATGCTTGCACAAGGCACTTCCCAGTACTACTTTGTACTATAAAGCTTGCGCAAAGCACTTCCCGGTACTACACTGCACTTCACACCTCAAACTTCACACTTCACACCCCACACTCCACACTTCACACTTCACACCTCACTTCAAACGTCAAAATTTTCAAACACCACACTGCACACTTCACACATCACACTTCACACTCCACACTTTGCACTCCACACTTCAAGCTTCAAGCTTCACACTTCACACTCTCCACACTCTCCACTCCACACTTCACACTTCACACTTCACACTTCACACTTCGCACTCCACACTTCACACTTCACACAACACACTCCACACTCCACACACCACACTCCACACTCCACACACCACACTCCACACTCCACACTTCACACTCCACACTTCACACTCCACACTTCGCACTCCACACTCCACACTCCACACTCCACACTCCACACTCCACACTTCACACTCCACACTTCACACTCCACACTTCACACTCCACACTCCACACTCTCCACTTCACACTCCACACTTCGCACTCCACACTTCACACTCCACACTTCTCACATCACCTTTGCTTACTTTCCCCATAGACAGCGCGGCGAGGTAAACATCAGAGAGCCGCGAAGCAACTTTCGCTTGAGTGCCACAAAGTCCCACGCCTGCCACGCGAAATGTACTTTCACACAGCACAAAACATCACCTTTTCTCACTTTCCACATAGACAGCGGGACGACGCAATTAGAGAAAAAAACAAAACGACGAGCAAACAGTCCACCACCCCCAGACCCCCAAGAAAGAAAACAAGAACCCTTCGCTACGCATTCGGGAAAACATAACTGTCAAATTCCACAACAAATGTCATTAAAATCACATTAAACCCCATTGAAATCACAATAACTTCAATTAAAATCACAAACACAAACTCCCGAAATCTATCCAACGCCCATGCTGGTTTTCTTGCAGCCTTTTATAGGTCGCCCAGCATCCCTGGCCATGGCAAAGATGACCGGCTCAATCGACTCGCCGAGGCCTTGAAGCAGTCGACCCAGCAGGAACCACTCGATGTGATCTGCGCAGGCGCAGCATAGACTGGCTGCGCTCCTCAGGTGACTTCGGAATGGGGACTTTCCATGGGGACTTAATGAACATCATGGTGATTTTATGGTGGCTTAATATGGTAATTAGGGTGACTTAATGGGGAAACGTAGAGACGGATATATGTATGAATGGTCGGGGACATAATTCAATAAAACTGACGATCTACGATATATCATGATATATCAAACATGGCGGGCTGCTGAGGAAATCCATGAACTACCACAAATGAAGGTTTCTAGATGGGAAAATCACGGACCTAATGGGGAATTGTCCAGCACGACAGCGATTACCAGAGGGTGATCATGTAGCAAGCGGACGTCGGGTAGCTACTCGACTAACATGCCATGGGAAGATTCAACTATGGCATACCCCATAGGATCCATGTATGCTATATATGGTAACATTTTCCATCAATGTACCCCAAATGTATCCAAATGTTAGCATATATACCATACATGGATCCTATGGGTACTACAGTGGAAAGCTATATCCTTCAATCATCGAATGAGCTCAGTTGGAATGCTGACCATGGCCACAGTCAAACCAAGCATTTTTCGGAGATCCCAACGCCAAGGATCAGCAACGACAAGCAGAACAAGATCACCTGAGTGGATCGGTGCCGTACACACATGCCGCATAGGCATGAGCTGAAGTACAGCTTGTACAGCTAATGTTTATTTATCTTTCTGTATCTGCATGTGTCCAACCAGTGAGGCATATCCTGTCAATCTGCGTTTGCGCTGTAAAAACTCAACAAAGAAGAAACATGTGAAACCCATACGTATCCGAGAATTTCTGTGGTCAAAGTAAAAATCTGCGATTGTCTCGTAAACAAAACCATTAAATCTTGAGCAACTGCTACATGCATCGCATAGATTTCCCCCTGCTTTGCCATGACCGACATGTTGATCCTCCTGCTGGTTTTTATGGGATATCTACGCGTACATATGCGGTCCAACCCAAGAACCAGCCCCTCCCCTTACTGTAGCTATGGAACAATGATCGAATTAAACCGGCCATCTATGCCATTGCTATGTTAAATTGCCGGAAGGTATAGCCCAAATACATCCCATGATTATTATCATTCCAATGATTTCTATAATATACCAATTACTATACCAATTACTATACCAATTACATCTGTTAAAACACCCCATTCCAGCATGCTTGAACCAATTACAACGGTTTATCCCATTATAGGGCCATTGTGCTACGTCCCATAAGAACATAATAATGTGATTATATAAACCATGTCAAGATGGTTGAACCCAAAAAAACAATCAGACGGCGTATATTGTATATCCCATATTATGATTATTATGCACCATTAAGCCACCTTTTCAGGATGATAGTTAAGAGATGTCAAGAGGTAACCATAGTTAATCATAGTTACCCTCTGGTAAACTAACGGAACTATGGAAAATCACCATGTTTAATGGGTACATCCACTATACATGGTCATGTTCAATAGCTTTTCGTATGTTTACCAGAGGGTAACTCCCATTTCACAACCCATGCCATGGTTGACCATGGCTCCTAGCCACTGGTCTTCGCCCAATACGATCTGACAGGCTGGCGGTCAAGATCCCAGCAATAGCTTTCACCACCTGGCAACAACGGCAACGGGGATGGCGTAAGAAAGCGTAAAACCAGCGGGAAATCGTGAAAATTTGGGTCAAACTAAAGAAAACCTGAGAAAATCCACAGAAAACCAAAGGACATGGCGTAACACCCATAGCAGTAAATTATTGCTTAATGCTTTGCTTATGATGTTATATTGATGTTTATATAAGGGATATGTAGACGCATGTTGCCAATGCTCGTTGAAAATTATTGGATCCATCCTGTAATGCACATCAGCTGCCACCGTGCTGGAAGTGAACTCACCATGGGCATAACCATTCACGACCCCAACCGTACCACCAAGGACTCGCATACCTACGGTGGATGGTGGCGAAATCCTGCACCAGACAATAGGTGGTTTATTCCACTATTTATAGGGTTTCAACCATCCCAGGTGGTGCAGGATTTCTTCCATCCACAGTATGGCAGACTGTGAAAGAGATACAAGATGCTACAGGACGCAAAACTAGGTACTGACGCCCTCTCTCTGAGCCTCAGTAATTTGATCACTGTTACAAAGTCCAGAGGCACGAAACCTGCATGTTGAACCATGCCTGAATCAATGAGAACTTTTGAGACCTGAATATTGCGTTTGGTATTTACAGGAGGGCCAGCTTTCATTTTTCTCCAGTGGATTTCAAGTTTTCAAAAATTCTTTTGTGCCAAACAATCACCAGGCCAATCAATCGATTTCAGCAAGTCTAACAGCCCTGAACGGTAGCCGGAACTAGATGGACTCTGGCTCAAGGCTATTCATTGATTCACCTCTGTTTCTTGAATCTGCCACCCAAACAGCTGCTTTTCAATAAATGTCATTGCAGGAGCTGCATGACCAGCCCCAAAAATAAACTAGGCAGCATCACATCGCCATGAAAAGATATTATCGAAGACAATGAGCATCATAATTAAAGCATTATAAGTTTAACATTCATATCATTTTATCAAGCCTATGGCATATTGAATCATATTTGGCTGTTCGTAGTTTTTTTTGCTTCACCACCGGCATCCGATCCCTGCCATCGATGAAAAAATTCGCCGTTCCGCCAGGTGACGAAATTCATTTGGATCGAGGCGCTCATAAGCCTGGAAAACTGGCGTTGCAACTGACCACAAATGGTGCCTTTCATGTGGGTAAAACAATGCCATAAACCATCCCCCAGTCATCACCATTTTTATAGGTGGTATAAACTTACCATTCCCAGTCATGGCTGGTTTATGACATTGTTTTACCCATATTAATTAACTTGTAACTGGTAAAGGGGCCATAACTGTACCAGGGGCGGAGGTTTTTCCAACTTCTGTAACATCTTCTTGGATATCTTAGATTGTAGGTTGTAGGCCTTACTTGTTGGGGGTACCCAGTATGATACCCTTGACCCTGACTGCTTTTGCTAGGCAACCCTTGCGGCGCAAGCAGATCGATGCCCATCTGTGGCAGGCTGGGAGTATACTGATCCTCGGCCAAAGGAGCTGGAGAATCTCTGGATTTCTGCAGGCCCTACGTCTGTTTCACCTCAAGAGCCTTCAAGGGGTGGCAAGTTGCATCCCTACTGCCCAGCAGCTAAATGCCGTGATGTTTGTGCGAAAAACCCACGCAGCATGCCAGGAAACAATGACTTTGTCCGTAAATATGGCATAGGGTATAGACCAAAACCACTGGTCAATCATGTTAAATCCATGGTGAACTCTCATCATCTTTACCCATTTCATGTTACATCATTTTCCTGGAAAAACGACTGGTGCGACTGGAATCCCACGCCGATGTCATTGACATCCCAGCATCCGTGGTGAAGTAAGTGAAGGTGTAGATCAATCCCAGGTAAATCACCCAAGTCTCAGGACAGCCATCCTGTGGCGGGTGAACCCCACAGTGGGCTTACATGATGTGATCTACGTCTATCCCAACATGAAATGGAGGTTATGAACATACCCTCTGGTAAACGTTTACAAAGCTATAGAAAATCACAATTTTTAATGGGTAAATCCACTATTTCTATGGCCACTTTCAATAGCTATTTTGACATACTGTAACCAGAGGGTATATCAACAAAAATCGGCCCAACCGCATCCCCCCGGCGCATGGATTGATCCTGCCCCCTTCGGCGCCTTCACACTTTCATGTTGCGGTGTTTTCTTTGGCAAACCAAAGAGGCAAAATGCAAAGGCCACCCTCACTTCGCAGCTGATTGCTGGATACATGTATTGGCCCAAAATGAAATGGTTACCCTCTGGTTATTTAACATAGCCATGGAAAATGGCCCATAGAAATAGATGGTTTACCTATTAATAGCATGGTGAATTTCCATGGCTATGTTAGTCAAAACCAAATGGTAAAATAGATGATCGATGAAGGATGAAGCCCTGGGTGATAAATCCCCAATTGGAGCTTAGACAAGCGGCTGATAGATCTGATAGTTGGCATGTCTGAATCTGGGTGATATAGCAGCCATGACTTGGTGGCTTTGGAAAGCGATAGAAACCTATAGCTAGACATCAACAATCATCCTCGTCGATCTGGGATCTCGCCCTTGTTTCCATCTACACCAAAAAATGAGAGAAACGATTGCTCTGACATTGAAATGCTGTTTTGTGACCGCTTGGGCCTTGCTGCAGGGGCCCGAAACACATGCAAACATCATCTCGCCAAGGTCCATTTAAAGAATATCTTTGAAACTGATCATTCATGCAAACAAATGTATGAATGTATGAATGTATGCATGTATGTATGCATGTATGCATGGATGCGTGTATGCATGTATGCATACATGCTGCATGTATGCATGTATGCATGCATGCATGCATACATGCATTGTATGTATGTATGTATGTATGTATGCATGTATGCATGTATGCATGTATGCATGTATGCATGTATGCATACATGCTGCATGTATGCATGTATGCATGTATGCATGTATGCATGCATGTATGCATGTATGCATGTATGCATGTATGCATGTATGTATGTATGTATGCATGTATGCATGTATGTATATATATGTGTGTGTGTGAGTGTGATATCTAGATATGCTATTTATCTTTCTTTATTAAATATACATATTTGCCCCCCGCATCCCCCAGAATCAGAAACCAACTTCTCATCAGAACTAGGCACGCCAGGAGCGCAATGAAGCCAAGGATTGCAATCCCTCTGCTCAGCGGTGCCAACATCTCCAGCCCGGCACTGATTTCCTGCGCCACTCGCGTCATCGTCTCTTGGTAGGGCTGAAGTCCCACGCTGAGCTGATGCTGATGCTGCTGATGCTGCTGATGTTGCAGTTCCATGACCACGCAGTGCCCCAAGGGGAGACACATAGCAATGCGCCATGAGAGGAACATGTAGTAGTCACGAGTTAGAGTAGTAATCCACCTGCGCGATGAGGCGATGTTACGGGAACTAATGCGCTGAGACTTGAAGACATGTTTAATACTATATATATATTTACTGTACACATACATGGAGAACATATCAAGAGACCTTGGGATCTAAATGACTTAGGACATCTTCGAAAAGAGACAAAACCAGGGTCTGCATCATGACCTACAGCACTGGGGAGCTAGTCTCCATCAACTTGGATTCCAACAAGGACCTTCAACTTTCTCTTTCTAAAATCCACATTGGAAAACAGTGATTCTTGGATGTTTTCTTCGCCCAAACTTTGGAGATGGAACATTCAACCAAACTCATCCGAACACATCTAACCACAACTTACTGTAATTACTCATTTTCAACAGGGGATGAAAAGCTTCTCCACCCGTGTCCCAAGAAAAAACAAACCACTTCCCAACCATTCACCAAGCTGGGTATGGGTCAAAATTAGGTGCTCCAATACTTAGATGATTGATACTAAACATATGTATATGCCACACACACACACATATATATATATATGAGATCGAACCTGACAATGGTCATCGGCGCCGCGGGAAAATCTCGAATCTCGGATCTCGGATCTCGAATCTCGAATCTAGGATCTCGGATCTCGAATCTCGGATCTCGAATCTCGGATCTTGCATCTCGGATCTCGGATCTCGGATCTCGAATCTCGAATCTCGAATCTCGGATCTCGGATCTCGAATCTGGAATCTCGAATCTCGGATCTCGGATCTCGAATCTCGAATCTCGGATCTCGGATCTCGGATCTCGGATCTCGGATCCCGAATCTCGGATCTCGGATCTCGGATCTCGGATCTCGAATCTCGGATCTCGGATCTCGGATCTCCGATCTCGAATCTCCAATCTCGGATCTCGAATCTCGGATCTCGGATCTCGAATCTCGGATCTCGGATCTCGGATCTCGGATCTCGGATCTCGAATCTCGAATCTCGGATCTCGGATCTCGAATCTCGAATCTCGAATCTTGAACACGAATCTCGAATCTCAGATCTCGTATCTCGGATCTTGGATCGCGAATCTCGAATCTCGGAAGTTGGATTTTAGATCTGGGATCTCGAATCTGAACTTGCCGAAGAGATACCAGTTTTTAGATTCTGCAAGTTCCCTTGGCGAAGATCTTTGTCTGTAGGACATCGTGTGCAAGATGTTCGTGACAGCTTCTGTAGAAGCTGCTGTGCAAGATCCCTTTGCAAGGTTGAAGGCTATTTGTACAAGGTGTCTACAAGAAATCTCCACGCAAGATGTCTGCAAATGTCTTTAAGAAATCTCTAAGTAAGATCTCTGCTCAAGCCTCTAATCTAGAGGAGATCTCTTAGCAAGATCTCTGTTTTCTGCACAAGGCCTCCGTACAAGATCTTTACAGACTCTACAAGAGGTCGTCTCTTGGCAAGACCTCGTACAAGCTCTCTGAAAAACATATCTCGACAAGCTATCTCGACAAGCTCTGTTTACGAGATCTAATGGCAATATCTTTATAAGAGGTCTCCTGGCAAGATCTCTGCACAAGATCTCTATAGGATATCTCTTGGCAAGATCTCTGTATGAAATCTCTGTACAAACTCTCTTTGGAAGCTTTTTTTTGGCAAGATCTAAGTAAGAGACCTCTTGGCAAGATCTCTGGACAAGCTCCCCATATGAGGTCTCTTGGCAAGATTTCTGAAAGAGATCTCCGTACAAGCTCTCTATAAGAGCTCTCTTGACAAGCTCTTGTCCCCAAAGGCTCACACCTGCTACGAAAAATGGACATAGATTCAACAAAAGTAACACGCCTGCTCAGTACTCGAATGAAAATCTTCTTGCCTGATCTACAGACATTTCTCTCCTGTCTTTCTCTTTGGTACACACAGTCCCAGAAGCGCCATCAAGTGTGAGTGCATCAAGTGTGTGTGTGTGTGTGCAGGTGCCAGAGAAGATCCTACAGAGTAGCATCATGCGTGCGCAAGTGCACGAGAAGATCCTACAGTGTAACATCAAGTGTGCGTGTGTGTGTATGTATGTGTGTCTGTGTCTGTGTGTGTGCAAGTGCCAGAAAAGATACTACAGCGTAGCCTCACATGTGTGCGCGTGTGCAAGTGCCAGAGAAGATCCTACAGCGTAGCCTCATGCGTGTGCGCGTCTGCAAGTGGCAGAGAAGATCCTACAGTGTAGCCTCATGTGTGTGCGTGTATGCAAGTGCCAGAGAAGATCCTACAGAGTAGCATCAAGCGTGTGTGTGTGTGTGTACAAGTGCCAGAGAAGATCCAAGAAAAAACAAGCACGTGACACCAAAAACAGCACGGCGCGCCGGTAAAACTAGACCTTCGGAAGAGAGCCTTCTGGGACACCATTTTCGTGCGAGATTCTGTCGAAAACAGGAGATCGAAGGACTTTGGTGCTGTAAGGGTCGCCAAAGTTGCCGGACACCCCGGAGACCACCTTGAATGAACACCAGGCCTTAACCAATAGCATAAGAACTTGAAGTGTGGCCATATACTGTTTAGGGTAACCCATACCAGATCCATCAGAATCATCACCATGAATTCAGGGCCAAACCAAAGGTACTCTTGCCCAATCCTTGTTAGCTCCAGCCAGAATGTGAGCCCAGCAGCATAGGGCGGTGGCCCTTTGAAGTGGCCTGCAGGTGGGAAGCAATGCGGCATCAGATCCAACTGGCGACATGCACCACGCTCTTAACATGCTGCAGCTGAACAAGCAGCAGAAGTAAATGCGGCACAAGCGTGCTGGGTGAATGAGAAAGTGGCAGGGCAGATTGCAGGAGCCAAGTTTGCATTTTGTCACGATGCGGTGAAGAATGCGACTTTGTCTAGGATGCCCTCACTCTGCGTGTCCTTTGAAGCCTTCAGCACACAATGCCATGCACTCCTGGAACTTACACTCTTCAAAAACTGCTGCAGTGTCTCTTTTTCCCAACTGCACTGTGACCTTCTGCTTGTCTCCAGGCTTCAAGATGCCAACCTTCTCCAACTCAATGACGATGGAATCGCGATCTTCCTGAGGAACCTTCACAAGGTCAAAGCTGTTGGTTTTGTTTGGCGTCGGCACAGCTAGCGTAGCTGAAATCAAAAGCTTTGTGACTTTGGCAGCCAGCACATAGGATTTTTCTGTTGTTGGATGAACCTCTCGCACTTTTTCATTCAAGCGCCATTGCGGCATAGAATGGTTCTTCTGCTTGAGGATCCAAGCCAGCATCTTCGTCATCGTGTCTTTGTGATTGCGCAGGTCAGCGACTTGGAGAGGTTCGTCTTTCAGCCGCTTCGCCGGCGGCTCATCATCACTGGCCTCAGGATTTCCAAGAGCAACCTGTGTCAACACATGCTGTTCTTCCGGCTTCTTGTGCGGAGAAGTTGCGACAGCTTGTGATGCACCAGGATCAGGTTGCGAAGGCGGAATGTCGGCGTGCACAGCAAGAGCCTGAATGTCAGGCAGCTTGTCAATGGCAATCGGGAAGCCTTTCAGAAGTTTGACCAATGCTTGACACACAGTGTCTGCATTGTCCTGGTCAAGGTTGGGAAGGGGCCCTTCATTGAAAGGAACGGCAGCGCGCAACTCCTGAAAAGAGACTTCTGGGGAGAACAGTTGCAGCCGGTTGGCCGCCAACATGAAGTTGGGATCATCTTCTGCGTACTTTACCTTTGCCCAGTTTCCATGGCCGATGGCAATGAAGCCAATCAGGGCGAGAAGGATGAGGTCGCAGTGCTTGGCATAGACTTCGGCATCCGTGTTGCTGGCATCGAAGACAAAGCGTTTGTAGGTAACCCTGTCCATGGTCAGAAAGGTGTTGCCGGGGTCAATCAATGTGGCAGCAGCCTGTCAAAGGAAGGAGGACACGGGCTTTACCCAAATCCCCTCTAGCACCCAGTGGTAACAGTTATAGAAACTTAAGACGCACAGAATTCATCACACTCTTAAGGCACGACGAATGAAAAACCCAACCGCCCAACCGCCTTTTGCAGCTTCTCAGCAAATGCTTGGGCGCTCGGCTGCGGCAAGTCCGTCTTAATAAGACGGTCTTTTCGAAATTCGTCCAGCTTTTGAGCAGCGTTCGTGCTGAAGTGGTAGACGGATTGGAACCACCTGGAAAGAGAGAATGCTGCATCAACGGATTGCTGGGTAGCACATGGAGGCACGGAGCTTGGCAGAAAATCACTGAAGAAAACATCTGGATTTACCGCGGCCACTTTCCGCACCATGTCTTCTGGGGAAAGGTTCTGCCATTGATCAGCGGGGACGCTTGCCAAGGACAAGAGGTGGAGCAAGCCTTGCTCAAAGATGTGGATGCCTGGGATGAACTGAAGGGGCCTGGTCTTGTCTTTGCTGAGAAGTGCTGCCTTGGCATCGCCTGCTTTCTTGGCCTTACGGTAATCATCCACCATCTCATTGAAGTCTTGTTGGAAACTGCTAACAACGCCCTCTGCAAACTCCATGGTGTGAATTCCTCGGATCTCGGAGTACCTGCTTGCGGCAGGCCCTACTTCATCGTCTCTCCGACGCTGATAAGGAAAAGCCGCATCAGCAAGCAAGAGCAAGTTGGTTGCAGCCTTGACAATCTCATCATAAGAAAGGTCATTGAAATAATTGGGGTCTTCGAGGAGCAAGTTTTGCATTTCCTGGGCAGACAAGTTCTCTGGGCAGACCTTGCTGCAGACTGATAAGAAATGACCGATCAAGAAGCGTGGGAGTCCCGCAACGCTGTCGCCTTTCTTCCCAATGTCCAGCAACTCTTCGAGGTGCATCAGGACAGCGCCCACAACATGCGGGTTTCGCACATGAAAGCGAGACTGTCCTGTGGCGGGGTTGTTCTTGTAGATGTCGTGGTCGAGAATTTGGTTCAAATCCTCCAAGCCTCCGCCTTTGGCATGTTCGAACGCTTCAGAAAGCCAAGACTTGCCTTCATGCAAGGCCAGGAATGCACGCCCACCTTGCTTCTCGAGGAGGCATCCCAATCCTTGGTCGCAAAGTGAGCAAAACATGGTTGTACATGGTTGTACTTTTTGTGGCGGTGAAGAGTTAGCAGGATCTCTGCTCGCAGAAGTTCATTGAAGCATGCTTAGAGAAACATTCATTACATTGCAGAAGTTCACAAGGTTCCTCTGAAGCAATACTTGTTTCTAGCAGCAGTCAGAAGGAGAGACATGAAACGGTAAAAAAATGAAACAAAACACAAGGCAGCCCAAGCGTCCATAGAAAGTTCCTTTGTTCTGCACAGAATCTCGTTTTTCTGGCTTGGTTGGTGGAACTGGCTCTTCAGCTTCAGGGTCATTGATTGCAAGCGCTCCTTCGTAAGCCCGCTTTGCTTCTTCATAGCGGCGCGAGTCGATGCGATGCCTGGCAGCATCATGCTTGCTTTTGATGGTGTCGAAGTAGTACAAAACTTGAAGGACCAGCCACAGGGCAATGGATTTGCCATCCCCAGGTTCACCATGCTGAAGCATCAGGATGTTGGGGAACTTTCCTAAGATGCCTCCAAAACGGACTTGAACGGCGTTCAGGACCAGTGACAACATGATGAGAAGGTGCACAAAGGCGCAGCTCTGATGCAAGCTCGTGGCCCGCGCTAGGGCCCCAGCGAACTGCCAAGAACAGGGCACAGTTTGGGCCATAGTCTCGGAAGGGAAAGGGCACATGGTCTCTAAGAGCTTTGTGGCTTGGCGCACATCTTTGCCATTCATGGTGCGCTCCTCAGGCATCGCTGGCGTGTATTTCCCTCTTTTCGCAGCACGTGCTCCACAAACCAAAGCCAAGCAGAGGAAGTGTCGAAGTGGGGACATCTTACAATGCGTGCACCGAGACAGAAACCTTGGATGCCTCCGTGAGGGCAAGGTGCTTTTGAGCAGAGCCGGCTCTTGCAGCAACTGAGTTTGGCTTTGGAGATGCATGTGTTCGTGGGGCAGGTAATCAACACATTTAAATACGCAATGTTCCTGGAGGACACCATCTTCAGTTTGACTCTTGGGATGTTGCCTACGTTGCAGAGCTGACTTGCACAGCTTTTGTGAAGCGCAAGCCTTGCGACAGTGCTGCATTCTGTCAGCATCAGCGCACCGTGCATCAAACCTGCTTCAGGGAGGCGCGGATCTGATGAGACAAAGGCCATTTTCTGCCTGGTGACTCTTCCTATTCACGGCGCAAGACTCAACGCAACCAAAAAAACAAGTTGACTTTTATTTGGCTTAATGCGATTTGAAGCAGGTAGCCCACTGCTGCATCACTTGCCCAACTTCTTTCCACCCAGCTTCGCCGATTCGCCCCAGGTGGCGCACCACGTCACATCATCAACATCATCATCATTATCATCAGCAGGAGCATCAGTGACATGTCCTTTGCGCCTTGTATACAGTTGGCCAGTGAAGGCTCCGATGTCGCAGCGCTGTATACCTTGGCGCCGCGGATGGGTGACAAGCGGGGTACTATACGCGTTCCCACAGGAACAGAACACACACTTTAATTAGGCTTGATCATGATGGATATGTTTTAAAGCGCTTTTCTATCTGATTTGCAAGTCAAATGGGGCGTTTAGAGGCAGATAAAGATGCCAATGCTGTCAGGGACCTTCTCCGCCTACCAAGTTGCTTCGCCTTGGCTCATGGGCAACGGGAATGCTAGACATTCTCATACAGGCAGTCGGTGGGCAAAAGACAGGGATTGCCATCCAGCAAAGATAGGGTAAAGACAGACAACACAGCTAAACCACTGGACCTGCGGGCTACGGCGAACCAGCTTGAATCTTTTTTTTTTGGGAAATGCATGTTTTTACCCTATGATATTCTCTTTCCCATACCGCCTCTTGGCAACACCTCGCAAAGAATAGAGAAAGCAACGCATCCCTCCAAAAGTCTTTGCGCAAGGATGGCGCGTTGCTGAATTGAGTTTCTTCATTGCGTCGCGGAGTCAGACTGACCGGCTCCTTTGATGGCAAGAAACCGTTTGGATTGAGAGTACCACAAGGCAAATGTATGGTTGAACACAAATGATAGGGAACTCGTCGCGCCGCAGCCTTTCCCACATGCGGATGTGATTAGTTTGGGCAGGCGGGGAGGACCCCAAACTCAGCAAACATGATTTTGAAACATTTTGGACATGATTTGGAAGGAAGATGCAACTGTAAGAGCGGTCACCTGTACCCAACGGTCATGAATCCGATTCCTTTTCCACTGTTAAAGCCGGCAACCTTTCATCACAGGATGGTCAGTATGGACGTGCTCAAGTCCCAACTTCATTGCCCAAACGCTTGGATCATGGAACCCTTGGGGCCGGTCACTTCAACCCTTCACATCTTAATGCAGCCAGCAACTCCAAGTGGGCTGCCTTCTCGTCCGCCAACTGAAACCAAGCCAGAGGCTTTGCTGTCGCACCTTGGGCTTGGACCATGTACCTGGAAGGCAGGCGAGATGTGCAAAAATTTGGGGCGCTTCAAATGGGAGCTTCAAACTGACCACTGCCAGATTCAAATAGAACGTTACCATTGAATAACGATTCGCCACTCCAAACGTTTACCGGGTATTGGCTTGGAACCGCCCATATGTCAATGCATCACCGGTGTCTTGGAGTGATTACTGATTCGAAACATTGTTTTCTTCCGTGTATCACGGTGTCTTGTCAGCATGACATCGTCAGGGTTTGCTTACAATGACGGAATTGGCGGGCCACGCGGGGAAGTCTGTCTTTCACAGCGCTCTTCCCCTCTGCTCAACGGCGCCCAGGTGCGGCCGCTGGTCGTGCACAATGAAAACCTGGAGGCATCAGAGCTGCCAGACATGACTGTCGCTGAATGAGGTGCGAAATCGCAAAGAAAAAGGAAGAGAAAGTTGAGGTTTCTGGGCTATCCTTGGAAGTGCATGAGGATCTGGCATGGAGAACACCTATTTTCAGAAGGTATTAAGAGATATGAAACATGTGAGGAACAAACGGCAAGAACAAAGAAGTCACGGGTAATGATTGCGTAGCAATTTTTACCCACTGCGAGTCTTGTCAGGATCATGCTGCATCTTGCCTTTGGCAAATCGTCTTCGCAAGCAGTCAGCCTCTGCCTCCAACCAAACATTGTGCTGCTGGAACAAGGTGCGCCAATAAATGGCAAAGCGACCAGGTGGCATCTCCAAGCTGGATTTGGTTCTTCCTGTGATCCAGCTGTTCAGCTGTTCGCACGCTTCAGTGTTTTTGTTTTTCAGCAGCGCCGCATTTTGCGGTGTGTCCGGGTTTGTCTGGGGAAGATTCTTCAAGCACCACGTATGATTGCGCTTGTGGAAGTGGTCCAGAACCAGCCCAATTTGTGAAAAGTTGGTAGACCATGGCGGCCTGCTATCCTTCTTCTCTTGCACTGTTTTCCACAGCTTGCAAGCATTATCATAGGCAACGCAAGAAATGGAAACCCCACGCGTCTGCATGTCTTTGAGAAACTGAAGGAGAAAGACGTACACTAATTCCATTTGCTCCCCACGCCACATCTCGATGAAGTCGGCCAACAATCCGCAACTAAGCACACAAGTCAAAATGCCTCCTGTGGTTCGGCGGCGGCGGTGGGTATCTTTGTCGACTGTGCACTCAGTGGGCTCTAACTTGGCAGGCTTGGCAGGCAAACGTGGCTTCTTCTTGACACGCGCCTTCTTGGGCGCCAGAATGCTTGAACAAGATGCATCGTTTTTTCGCAGCCACCGAGCTTTTTGTCTCGAGCCCTTGGCTTTTGCAGCTTTTTTGTTGCGATGATCTGTCTTTTGTGGCAAAAGCCCTCTTTCAAAGGTCAGGAGCAAATCTTTTCGCACCTCTTGGCGCGGCAGAAGCAATTCCACTACCTGCGAGGCATCAGAAGGATCTTTGCATTGCACGACGTACATGATCTCAAGGCCTTGGCCGTCAGCATCCTCGCGCTCTTCTGTGCCAAGCACGGAAAGCTGATCGGCAATGAGGTGGTCATGTTCGGGCAAGTGGCGGCATGCAGAGCAATGCTGGTGCTTTGCGTGCGCAAAGTTGGTGCAGCCAGAAGCGAATTCTACGCCAAGGTCTGGGAAGGATACTGTACCATCTGTGCCTGTCATGGCCAGCGGGGGTAGGAGGGCGGAGCTACAGTACTTGCAGATTTCTAGAAAACTGTATGAGAATAAGCTGCTTCGGAACCTCACACCCAGGACGCCGAGTCTTCGGGACCTATGTTTGTCAAAGAGCGGGTATAGGTCCAGAGAAAGAAAAGTCTCAAGCATTTTCAAGCCAAAGTCAGATTTTTTTAGGGGTCGCTCGCGAACTTTATTGTAGCCCACCCACACACAAAAACCACGGAAGAAATTAAGAGAAGCCGGCACCGGGTGTACACTCTGTCCTGGCCTGCGCAAATCAGTCGCCGAGCGCCAGCCTTCCCATCCACAATGACGCAAGGATTGTCACGACAGCGAGGGCATGCTTTGATATGGGCCGCAACCCAATCTAAATGCTGCTCTCGGATGGCCGCTGTATGCGCTAACAAGGAAGCGTCGAAGCCGGCTGGGGTCATATCCCAAACAATAGGCTCAGCTAGCTGGCCTGCCATGTCAAAGGCCCTCCAAGAATACCAAGCGGACAACAAGTTGCTGATGGTATGCGGCAGCTGAGTTCTGTCTGGGCCCAAGAGCAAATCCTGCTGCCAAGCCTCTGAATGACGCATGGCCCATACCAAGACTGCAGCCTTCATCGACCCTCCGCTGAAATGCAAGCTGTCAGTGAGGTGTTTGAGAAGTGCTATTTCAACCGCAAAGAAGCTCCGGTAGCGAGGTATAATGAAAAAGCCATCTGCGGCGGATGACTGACATTGCAAATTTGATATATGCCCGAAGCCAGACTGTTGCCGCTTGAAAGACCAATTCCCCAAGAAGTACTTGCGGCAAGCCGGGCACTGCTGCTCCACAAAATCCGCCCACAAGAGGCCTGCGTTCAAAGAGTAAACCTTGTAGCGATTGCTACTAGTCCTCCGAGACGCAGCCGCATTGTTTGCAATGGTGGCTTCGGCAACTGGGGCTTTCTCCCGAAGATCATGGCCGCAAGGACATTGGGACCTGGCACTGGACACCCGCACCACAGGGAGCGTCGGGCAATCCTTTTGCAAGTCTTTGAGAGAGGACAACAGTGGCGCCACAGTGCGCTGTCCGCACGTGAGCGCTGGCAAGTAACGAGCAACTTTCCACACCACATTCTCCGAGCTATTTGATGCTAGAGACTGCTTGTGCCAGGCCCATGCTAAAGATTGCAACACAGCTCCGGCAAGGGGGATGGGCACGAGCTGAAGAATCAACACTACTGTTGCTGCGGCGCTTGCCTCAAGAGGCTGCAGAAGAGCTGCCCATGAAACTTCTGCCATGGCAACAGAAGGAGTGACAAGCTTACTGCAGTGCAAAAAAACACAAAAGGCGTCTTGAATTGCTGAACGTTGGTAGCCAGTGCTGCTAGTCATGGCTGTCTAATCTGAACTGCTCTTCATGTGGCCACTTATTGCTGTTGGGCGTTTCTGCGGCGGATGTATGATGGATTACACTCGAAGTGGCCTGTCCCAGTTGAAGTTTAAAAGGGCCTATAGTTCGCTGAAAACAAACTGGAGGAGAACGAAAGAAGAATCCATTCTAGGGCCCTCTGGCAAAATTTCAGCGGGGCCCACCAGTGAGTCTGCTGCATTTCATCCCGCCGAGGTGCGGTAGAGCATCTCTGCGCTGTCTCATTTTTACTCTTTGCACCACACGATACGCGATGGCCTCATGCAGTTCCAAACGGGGTTCCGAACTTAACACGTGTAAGTCAGTCATTAGGTCACCATGCCTTGGTCTGAGGCAAGGCGCACACATCAAACTCAAACCGTTTTGAGAGTCTGAGTGAGTCTGCTGCATTTCATCCTGCCGAGGTGCCGTAGAGCATCTCTGCGCTGTCTCATTTTAATCAACGCGCCACGCGAAAGGCGACGGCCTCAGTTCCAAACAGAGTTCCGAACTCAGCCTGTACGATATTTGGTCACCGCTTCTTGGTCTGAGGCAAGACCCACACATCAAACTGAAATTGTTTTGAAACATGTATATAGGGAACAGAGTAACTTCCAAATTCCACGACTGAACCTTCAACTAGATTTGGCGATGCAGGCGCTATATATCAGATCATGAGGAATGCGTGATGGGTGGCACACACGAGATCGTATTCAGAGTATACCCAATTCACACGCTTCGCGCATGGGAAAACACCTGAGAAGAGAAGAAGGTGGTATGAGACAATATATGAAGTGGAAATTCCGAAGGGGCTACAGTAAAGACACTGCCAGCCGTCGATCAGAGGTGGAGGGCCTGTGAATTGGCCCATTTGCCACTACGGACTTGTAAACTGAAGTGATGTTACCTGCAACAGCTTAAAGAGAACAGCTTGTTGTGACAACTAGCAGGTGCAGGAAAGTTGGCAAGTCTGCCTTCTCACTTCTATCCGCAGCTTCATTGCGTGTGTGCCAGATGCCCCTGCGATTCTTGGTTCCAATGTGCACATGGAGCGAGTGCGCTGAAGTGATATTACCCGCAACCGCCTGAAACGAACGGCTTGTTCATGACAGGAAAACTGGCAAGTTTCCCTTCCCACTTCTATATCTTCTATCCGCAGGTTCGTTGCGTGTGTGCCAGATGCCCTTGCGATCTTTGGATCCAATGTGCACATGGAGCGGGTGCTCTGAAGTGATGTTACCTGCAACAGCCCGAAGGGAACAACTGGAACTTTCAACCTCCCCTCGCAAGTTTGCATCCAAACTTTCAACCTCGTCTCGCAAGTTTGCATGCAAACTTTCAGCCCCGCCTCGCAAGTTTGCACGCAAACTTTCAACTCCACGTTCCGAATTACCTTAAAATTAGATGACATGTTTACCTTTAAAATTACCTAATTAGGTAGGAAATAAAGAATTAACACGAATTATACAACTATGAGGCAGGAAATTGCCTAACCTGATCTTTTGGGTGTCGAATCTCGAATTTCGGATCTCGGATCTCGGATCTCGAATCTCGGATCTCGGATCTCGGATCTCGGATCGAATCTCGGATCTCGGATCTCGGATCTCGCATCTCGGATCTCGAATCTCGGATCTCGGATCTCGGATCTCGAATCTCGAATCTCGAATCTCGGATCTCGGATCTCGAGTCTCGAATCTCGGATCTCGGATCTCGGATCTCGGATCTCGGATCTCGGATCTCGGATCTCAGATCTCGAATCTCAAATCTCGGATCTCGGATCTCGGATCTCGAATCTCGAATCTCGGATCTTGAATCTCGAATCTAGGATCTCGGATCTCGGATCTCGAATCTCGGATCTCGAATCTCGGATCTTGCATCTCGGATCTCGGATCTCGGATCTCGAATCTCGAATCTCGAATCTCGGATCTCGGATCTCGAATCTGGAATCTCGAATCTCGGATCTCGGATCTCGAATCTCGAATCTCGGATCTCGGATCTCGGATCTCGGATCTCGGATCTCGAATCTCGGATCTCGGATCTCGAATCTCGAATCTGTCCGTTGTCAAGTGCGTTCTGATATATATATATATATACTGAAATCTGTGGTTCCATAGGCTTTAAATAGACCCATACACACCCATAACTGAGTGTAATGGGTGGAAAAACACCGTTCCGTTCAATCCCACGTGCTGCATGAAATGGCCCCTGCCTCCGAGAGTGGACGGGTTCGGTCTCGAATTTCTGCCCTGACCCCCTTCCGGAAGGGTGGAAGGAGGCTGAGCCAAAAGGGCTGCGAGGTAAAGAAGTGGTAGGAACTACAGTAGACACTACAGTAGATGGACAAACAAATCAAACCCTACAGACATCTACCAAGTAAAACCGCACACCCCAAACTTCAATGTTGAACGAAAGTCTATGTAGCTTCCCTCTGCGTTCAGGGTTTGATTTGTTTGTCCACCACACCCAAGCGTGCAGCCCAAAGACAACATTAAAATTTGGGGATGCGGGGGCGACAACAATACAGCCTTTCGATATTTGTACTCCAGACATCCCATATCCATGTGTTTGTGCCTATGTATGGTGTGTGCCTATGTATGGTGTGGAAAGCGCCACGGGGTTTCCACAGCTAACGGCGTGGGATCCCATTGGACATTCCCACCAAAGGACCCACAGCCACTTGCGGGAAGGTATGGTAGCCTCGGCAGGTCAAGTTCCCCACACTTTTTAACGGTGCCATGGTCAAAACACGGGAATGGGGCATGGTCATGGTCCATGATCTTCGCTGTTTCATGGGAATCCATTTTGGCAAATGGATGATCCGAATCCCCATTGTCCAGCTTTTCAATTCTTCATCCTTTCTGATTTTTTTGATGTGGATCGTTTCCCATGAACCATGATAAACATCTATATAAACATCTATAAACCATCTATATCGTGGATGACCAGCCCGCTTTCGCAGTTTACCCAACATTACCACGCCCGGCCCGGGGCCCGGTCAACTCAAGAATTTCACCGGGTTCTGTTTGCTGACCGAACCAATGACCCACCCACGGGTGACCCATGGTTTACCCAGAACCGTTTTTCAGGAAACTTCCCTATGTTCCACGGAAAATTGAGTGTTCACAACAACCAGATTGGTATGGCTCAAAAAGATATGCCTCTAGACAGACCCCCAAAAGTCAATGGTCAACAGACAAAATGACAACTTGAGCGGCCCCCCTGCTTTCTTGCTGGTGAACCATGTCATGAATTCCCCAAGCATTCCTCATAGATTTCTCATCTTTGTCGCTGGTTTTGGGACAATTCTTAATTAGTCAGTTGTCCAAGAAATCCAATGTCTAAGCCATCAGCACAGATTATGAAGATCAACTACCCCACTTCTGCCGAGTAAATCCCCAAGCGTTTGCTGCTTAATTAATTAAATATGCTTAGGTCACCAATTTTGCAAGTACGATTACCATCATCCCATATCCCTCGTGTTTTACTTACAAAAACCTGGGAAAATCGCCCGGAAACCGGGGCATCCGGCCCCAAAAACTCTCATATCTGGGCAAATTGCAATATTTCACTGACCTGAAACTTACTTTCTGCCAGATGATTCATGATGATTCCCATACATTCACCATGATTCCAAATTTCTTTCACGTGCGGTCCCGTAATGGTCCCGTCACCCGCATCTCTAGCCGAGCCGCCCAAGGTCACCCTCAACCACGTCCCGAAGACGCCGCCCAGCACCAACGCTGCGGCGCCCACGAAACGCCACGGCGTGGCGTCTCCGTTCGCCAGGCGCAGCTGGGGTGCGGTGAAGGGAAAGGAGAGATCCAAGGCGAAGGAAATGGAGAGAAATCCTAGGGTAGCTGGGGTTAGCGAAGTTGATATTTTTGAACTCCAAAATCTATCAAAAACTAGGGTTTATGGCAAGTATAACTGTAGTTGATAGGGGTTATGAACCAGCTTGTAATTAACTGGGTGACCCCTACCTTGTGTCAGATTGGAAGATCATTTCGGGAGATATTTGCGAGAACTAAGCAAAATCGTGGGGCTCTATGGATTTGGATTGAACATGATTGAACATAAGATAAAAGTATCAACATGGATTCAAACGGGCCTTTGAAACTGTGAAATTCCTGAGGTTGGAAGAAGATGTTTAAGAAATGCCCAGTTGCGGATTTATGGTGATGTATGACTCATGACCCATCATGACCTATCATGATCCTTTTTTTGTTGGTTTCTTAGCCTGATTTCTGTCAAGGAATGAAGTCCGGAGTCCTGAGAAACGGATGGACTTCAAGGACAAAATCAACAAAACGGATTTTGGGGGATGATTTTCACCGGATCCTATCCACCTCGTATTAGAACAATCCCCATAAACCATGATTTAGTCTATTTGATGGTTCGGAAACTCTAAGTAGCTCCTTGGCTCCCCATTGAATGGGGAATATATAGGGAATATGAATACCCCTAGCTCCTTAGCTCCCTCCTAACCACTGGAGAGTAGTGCGAAATGGATTACCTTAAACTCATGGCTGGTTGAGGCGTTCATCGTTCCCCACGTTCCTTCCCACGGTCCTAGACTCTGCGCGTGCGAGGATGGCATCCCAGGATCGATCTTACGTGCACCGCTGGGTCGGGACTGATTGATCAGCACCTGCCATGGATGGTTTCAACATGCTTCAACCAACACAAAAAAAAAGGCGGCCCCGCAAATAATGGATGGTTCATACCTCAGAAGTCGTTGTTGGTGGTTGCGAAGCGCTTGATCATGTCGATATCATCCCTCGAGCAAACGGGTTTTGGGACTAATTCTGCGTGAAATAGTGTCCAATGAAAACGATGCTACACTCAAAATGTTTTAGAACATATATATATATATATAATATCAATCTACCTCTATATTACGCAGCCTCTACATCACTCAAAACCTAAACCCATGCCCATATCTAATAATTCTATTTGATTTAATTAATATACCCTCTCATATCCTTAGAGGATCTTGGTTTTATAGCCTGGCCATGGCCTTCAAAGCCTTGCAGCTGGCCGCGGCACAAACGGAGCCCAGCACACACCAGCAGGTTGCCTGTCGGCCACGGTCTTTAGGGTCCTACAAGGCGGGTTGGTGAACATAACTAGGTGAATTCTACAAGGCATCCTCTATTGGTAGATATATCGAACTATAGTTCATGGAACTTTTTAATAAGCAACTTAGAACTCGCGAGCACAACATTGCGGGGATTATGGGCGCTCCCAGAGGATTCCATGATGATGATGATGATGACGATGATGATGATGATGATGATGATGGTGCTGCTGCTGCTGCTGCTGCCGGTGGTGCTGGTGGTGGTGCTGGTGGTGGTGGTGGTGGTGGTTTTTGTTCACGGTTTTGTCGCTTCCAGTCTTGCGAAACTCCCTGAGTGTAGGGTGGGTATCTTGTTCATCCAGCTTGTGATAGGCCCAGCTACACTGTCGCGACGCCACAGGAGGATGCCAAATACTGCCCCAGAGACCAGCCACTTTGTGCCGTCGTTGATGAGGTGTAGGATACGAGTCGCAGTGCCATGGGAAGGCATTTAAAGTAAACCCTGGCTGCCATAAGCCATTTGGGGATGGTTTAGGGCGTTCATAAAAATGGTGATGACTTGGGGATGCTTTATCATTCGGCTTACCATACTAGGGATGGTGACTGATGGCGCCAATCAAAGAATATGAAAGAAATGCCGCTACACTTCTTGTTAGAGTGAAACACCTGAAATGCTTACACCATCTTCCTGCATCGCAGCCAGATATTCACAACACCGAATACGCCAACACCTTTACTTACAGAAAAGTTAACGTAGATATTATTGTGAAGGGCAATCGGCAATGACTGCACACTAACATAAAGATCAGGCATAACCATGGGGAGCCTTCGTGCCCCCGCCAACCTGCCCAGAAGCTGCATATATACGCATATATCACATCTTGTGACATCACACCACAACATGTGTTTTCTCAGTCTGAAAATATTAGAAAATATGATAATTACCACAAAATCTGATGGGTGTTCATCATTGTCCCTATTAAAATTGCCATTTGGGGGATAGACACTTCCCCATTTCTCACTCATACGTGCTCATTAGCCGAAAAGCTGCGAGAGAACAAACAACGGTCACAGTGCTGGGAACCCGACACTTTCGATGATTTTCAAGGAGGAACTTGTACAAACGATTCCAGCATATTCCAATCAAAAAAGTTCATAATTTCAGAAGCAAAAAAGGTGGTTGAATGGGATTTAATGGGATACTTCATGATAATTTGGCAAAGCCAACAGTAAACAATCGGTCATGCTTATACAGATACACTGTAAATGTATATAAATGGGTGGTCTAAACCATCCGTCAACTGCCGGTTTACTATTGGGGGTTTACCACATTACCAGGCTATCCGGCTATCCCAACCCTATGGTTTTCTGCATCAACATACAGTTTCTTGAGTGGCTCAGTTTCTCCGTTTCTCCACATTTTTCCCATGCAAAAATGTAGTAAAGTAATCTCATACACGACCCATATGAATTGATGGTTGGAATCCCAGCCATAAAAATGTTGCCGTCAGCCTTCACCCTTTTGGGGAGCCGATGGAAATGGGACGACTCAAGGAATATTTGAATAGGGATTGATAGCATACCCTCTGATTTAACATTTTTCTATGGTATAGATGGCCCATTTATAGATATTTTATATCTATCAAAAATGGTGATGTTCCATAGTTTTGTTGAATTACCAAAGAGAAAATTCAAAGAACGGATCTAAATTCAAAACAAAACTGCTCCTGGATCTGAAGTTTTGTCACATTTTAAGTCCTCTACATGCTTCAAGGTATCCATAGTTATTCTTGCGACCAGTAGCTTATATTTTTTTATTGGGGTCGTCACTGTCTTATCGCTACAAAAGAGGCATGTGTTAAATCATTACCACCATTCTGGCAACAAGTAGCTGATCTTTTGTTTTGATAAAGTTAAGGCGACAACAGCCACATGCAGAGTACAAACGACTTACTGCAAACATTGAAAAAACACATGTAGTTATAGTTTTTAATTCACGCATTCATCGCATTAGATCATACATATCCTCTGTAAAAGTCAATGTCGCAGACATGTTCACCGTTGTTTATTTTTAAACAAGAAACACTCCATATCAATATAGATGCGTTTGTTAAAAAAAAAAAACATACATATTGGTTTTTGTGCTGTAAAAAACAAGGTACATATGTGTATATGTGTATATATATATAATACATACTTAAAAGCATTATACATATAATCACGCACACACACATATTAATATATATATATATACATATGCACACACACATAATATATGTATATATATATACATACATACAGTACACATATTCATGTATTACATTCATCAAACTTCACACCCCGATCACGGCACATCGCCCCTTCACCATGACCCCTTCGGCAGCCCCACTGCCCAGTGGCCGCGTCACCGGACGTGACTCGCTTGGTGCGGTCTTGGGCCTAGGTGGATGACGTCACCATGGAACGGCATGGGAAACCCATGGTTTTTTACCGGCGAAAAATGGTGGTCTCATGGAATTTAATGGGGCTTAATGTGATTTCAATGGGTTTCGATATGTTTAGATCAGCTAAGTTGTTTCCTTGTCTCCAATCATTGTTGAGTTGATTATCTAGATATATCCTAAGATTGAATTACAGTATATATAGTTGGATGGGTCTAGGAACCAATTTATAGCTGGGGGGAGTTACCCTCAAACCACAAGCTTTAAGTTGTCGTTGATTGCTGGGTATTGGACAGGAATCTGACGTTCCAAGAACAGATGGGTTTCACAGAGTTTCACCATCCAAATAATCAGGCCCAACACCCACAACAACATGTACAGCCATGTACAGCATGTTTTCTTGCTGGATATTGATAGCTTAGCGCAGAAATAAGCCCTTGGTCTACCAAACAAGGTCTACAGAGATCTTGGTGTTTACACTGGAGGGATGAACCCAGACCCGGATAGGGATGGAAGGAAAACATCCAAAACCGCCGGATGTGGATTGCACCAGCAAGCTCTACACAATATATTGATATAGTAACAAATGTACATATGGGTAGATGTAGATATACACATGCACACGGACAGGTAAGAGAGAGAGAGAGAGATATGTATATATAGTATGCAATTACCAACTGGTTATTTAACATAGCCATGGAAAATCACAATTTTTAATAGGTAGACCATCTATAAATGGGTCATTTTCCATGGCTATGTTAGATAACCAGAGGGTATATGCGTGCTTGTATGTGCCCGTGTTGTGATTTCCAGGTTGCTCCCACATCCAGCTCAAGTGCCCATTTTCTGGACTGATCGTTGCCGCCGTTGTCGAATTGGGACTGGTTGTCGCGCAGTGTTCAATGGTGTTTCTGGTTTCATTAACTAAAGGGGTCGCATCACCGCCCAACCCCCCATCCCCAAAAACTAGAAGCAGCAAGCACTGGGATATCGTGGAACAACAGAGTTGTTCCACATCAAAGTCAGGTATCCGATGAAATGGCATGAACCCATAGTCCATTGAAGTCTGCAAGCCTATAATATACTATAATATGGCAAAGAAGACTTCGATTTGCCTATATAGATGCCCCAAACGGTGGATCAATCAATGGGAAAACAGGATACATCTTCGGGAAATCCGATGGAAAAAACAGCCAGTAAACTCCCACCACAGTCACTGCGAGACCGTCCGATCTGATTCGATGCTGCTTCGCCTTGGGCGAGATCTGAATTTCAAGGCAGCAGCTTGCACGCGACGCCTTATTCTGAGTCCCGAGGTTGTTTGGCCTCAACTTTATTTAAGTAACCCAAATCTGACGGGGGAAGTTTACGAATCAAATGCCAACATTGTATGAAGGGTCATTATCTTGGATGTGTTTGAGAGTGCCTAAACAAAAACCGAAAATGCTCCAAAGAGTTTCCACATGTGGAAATCCCCACTGCTCTGATCAAGGTACCAGATGGGATCTGCCTGCCCTGGTGAAACGAGGAAAAAACGATGAATCGGCTCAGGATGGAGAAAACCTGACACGCGGTGAGTCGAGTGCTGCTGGTTGGGTTTTTAGCCACGACTAAGGGACGTAGATGGATACAAAAGGCAAGAGAGGATCAAGTGAGACAAGATGAGATAAGATGAGATAAGAGAGAGAGAGATATATATATATATACATACGTATAAACAAACTGATGAATTGAATGTATAGATTAATGTTGACCTCTGATTAATAACCCCCTCCGCTCAACACCCCTAGATAGAAACTCAGAAAAAATCTCGATTGACTTTAGTTTTCGAAATCGTATTGCCAATAATTGCTTGATCGAAGACACAATTGGAGGAAATGCGCGTACACCGGGATGAGAAAAACAAACTAGTATTATTGTCAGATGAGCATAATTCAAGGTTTCCAGGTCAAAGATTTTTGGGTGACAATTATTCAGGATACAGTATCCATATCCACAAAGGAGGCAAACATTAGCTCTGTTAGATTGGGTAGAAACAGTGTAGGTTACCAGGTTAGATACGTAAAATTGTGTGTATATATATATATATATATATGTGTGTGTATTCATACGTATACAATATATATATATATATATATGCTGTAGATTAGAGACATACACATATGTAGACAGATCGACAAGCAAGATCAAATCAGGGTATGATAAGGTAAACTTCAATATTATATATAATATGTTTATTCATACAACATCAATCAACATGACATAATAAATTAATCCCTTCTTCCTATTACTAAAACCCCCCCAAAAAAAATAGGATTGGTGTGGCACTTCCGGTTTTATTGGGTTGGACACAATCGGATTCTTAATTGTTGTAATTGAGAATCAATAGGAGAACAGGATGGTGAAACAATGGGTTCAACCCCCTATTAATGAAAATATATTGCCACCTGGATGTTTTTTTATTAGGGACCCATCTCACAGTTTTATTTTTATTAAGGTTCTCATTGGAATATTGGGGGAAGGAAAGCTTCGAAATCCAGTTTTTGGCAATATTTTATAAAGATTTTATGCAATAAGGGAATTGAATTTGAAATCGATTTTTTTTTTTAATTATATATTAGGGTTTTCATTGGAATATTAGGGGCACCCTAATACAAAATAACCCCGGATGGTATTTTAGTAATAGGGAGAGTAAACAAAAAATAAAATGAAATCAAACGCACTAAAATCAAATCTAATATATGATTCGACTGATGTCACAGAAAGGGTGATTGACTAATTTTGATTGGGTAAAAAATCGAAAGTACAACTAGTTGGTGGTTTCAATTTCAACCCATCCCAGAACGCAAGTCCACAACGTGGGGATTGAGAGGAAGAGACTAAATTATTCCAATCGAACAGCACCTTCACCAGAAATAAAAGGGAAGCAACAAAAATTGGAACATCCCGCATCAATAATGCGTATAAACAACAAACATAGACCCTGAAAGAGTGGCTTATCCCCAAGATCATCAGCCGCAGATCACCATCAGCTTCGGAGACCTCACAGCTAGATAGACTTAGAGATGGGCGAAGAAAGTCTGAGAAGTTCGGTCTTTCCATAGATCCTGTCTTCATGTCATACCCGATCCAACCATTCATATATCGCAAAGTAGAGAACCAGATTCATGAAAAAAATGGGGTAGCTTATTTTCATACAAGCCAACTCCATTATACTGGTTGGTTTATAGGGATTCCCCGTTCTTGGATACAATCCCCCATATATAAAGGGTAGTATAATCCCCGAACTAATCATCAAACAACAGGGGTTTTGAACACTTGAATCACCTCGTTGCTCGCCGCAGAACCAGCAGCCATCAGAAGCCTCGGTTGTGGCCAGGGCCACGTAGGAACGTTCTGCAACTCGGTGCCCTGTGGTAATCTGGCTATGGAGCCATTGAGAACGGCCCTGTTGTAGACTAAATATATATATATATATACACTATAACTTAATATATATAATCTAACATAGTATATATATATTATCATTTTAAAAAAAATGATATAAAAAATAATAAAAGTATATAATGATGATAATAATAAGGCATCACAAAACATAACATAACAGAGCATAGCATAACATAACATAACACAACATAACATACTATAACATGAAATAATATTGTTTGATGTAATATAATTTAAAATAATAATATAATAAAATATAATTTAATATAATTTAATATATATAATATAATACAATAAAACAACATACAATAAAATATAATATAATACATAATATAATTTAATTTAATATAATATAACATATGATATGTTGTATACTGTAAATACTGATATACAATATATACAAAGTGGTGACTTTGCATCGCTATGTTAGATTACCAGAGGGTAGTTTTTTCATAAACCGGAGAACAAACTGGGATTCACATGGGCCGTAGTCAGCTATGTAGGGATATACAATTGGCTGATTTTGTTGTTGCTGTTGTGGCCACACTTCCCACAGGCAACTTCGACATACTTCGATCATCACATCCCGGCATTTGACGCTGACTTCTCATACTTACTGTAACATGCTGAAATCCGAATATTTAACCAATACTGAACAAATGCACCATGGCTGCATAATCCCGTCCCCTAGCACTAAATATCCCCCTGGCGCCGAACTTGCGCGAATTGAATCATTGAGGTCATGGGCCATGGGATCTGTTGGTTAACATCTCATCTTTACATGCGCGCATGCGCGTCAAAAAGAAGGTAGGTGCATATTTAAGGCATGGTCATCCATCCATCCCACAAAGCCATGGCTATATGTAAATCAATCTAAATCACTATGAAACTGGGTTTACTATTCCAGTTAATTACCAAAAAAAACTGAGGGTTTTTAATCCAACTTTTGACAATGGCACATGCGAAATCCTTATCAAATATGGGTGGAACACACCAGGCTCTCCCACCGTTCATCTTATGTCTCTTCTCCTGGCAAAATCTGGGTGATCTGTAGAGATTGATCTTCCCACCATGGACCAATGGACCTTATGGGGATTCATGGCTTTTACCATCAGTTTCAGTGAGAAAAACCATGGTATTCAACAAACAAACATAGGAACGTAAGCAAGAAACATGGTGGTTGTTGTCCTCTGAATGTTTCTCAATCCAATCCTGGGAATGAAGATATGAATTACTGTAATATGGTTTCGAGGCACACTATGGGCCTCTTGATTGTTGTCATTTTAAGCAAACACTGGAGATTTAACAACCATGACATTGGGACACAGCTGACATAGCCAATGAATTGGGCTTTGCCTGGAAGGGAGGCTAGTCTTTAACTACAAAAAGATCAGGGGAACATTCTAAAACCAACCACAAGGGGAGGTATGATGGGATAAAATGAGTATATAGTAAGCGACAATGTGAAATGGGCGCAAACAAAAACTAGCACGCACCATAATACGCCCGGTAGTCTTAATGGGCAAAATTATGGTAAATCATCACTATTGATCACTATTGAGTGCTCCTGTTTTTCAAAAAGCTCCAGTTTTGTCCGCAACTTGAAGTGGGCGTCCTGTTTTTCAAAAAGCTCCAGTTTTGTCCGCAACTTGAAGTGGGTGGTTAAACCTTGTTAAGCCATCACGCAGGCCAAAAATGAGGAGTGATATCATCATCGAATCTTTGGACATGGAACATCAAGGTCATGTGGAAATAAGAGTCGGTTGGGGTCATCATCATCATCATCATCATCATCATCATCATCATCATCACCATCACCATCATCATCAAAATCATCATCATCATCATCATCATCACCATCACCATCATCATCACCATCACCATCATCATCATCGTCATCATCATCATCACCATCATCATCATCACCACCATCATCATGACCATCATCATCATCATCACCATCACCATCATCATCATCATAATCACCATCATCATCATAATCACCATCATCATCATCATCATCATCATCATCATCACCATCACCATCATCATCATGACCATCATCATCATCACCATCATCATCATCATCATCGCCGTCATCACCATCATCACCACCATCACCATCATCATCATCATCATCGTCATCACCATCATCACCACCATCACCATCATTATCATCATCATCATCGCCATCACCATCATCACCACCATCACCATCATCATCACCACCACCATCATCATCAACAAAATCATCATCATCATCTTAATCGTCATCTTAATCATCATCATTATCACCATCACCATCATCATCATCACCATCACCATCACCATCACCATCATCATTATCATCATCATCATCATCTTAATGATCATCATTATCACCATCATCATCATCATCATCATCATCATCATCATCATCATCGAATGGTCCAACAGCAGCTGAAAACCATGATGGACACTCTAGTTGTTGGATGCCCTTTGAGTGTCCTCTGCAGCGATGCGTCGGATTTGATCAATACGACTCTTCTCCTGCGGCCATGGCCAGGAAAAAAAAGGCCAACCTCCCATCCTCAAACCATCCTCAAAGCACGGTCCAATTTGGCTATTTTTCTAGGGGACCCAAATAATTGGTAAATGACAATCGGGACCACAGCAATGATCAACTATCTATCAATTGATCATGTTAAAAATGTTTTATTAGCAAAAGAAACACCCAATATCCCAATATCTAGAGGCCCATTAGGCCCATACCGTGGAATTGCATATTAAAAGGATGACATTCATCTTGAACCACAGTGACTGCGTGGTTTAAGTCCTTGTTCTTCCGCTGCCTTGGGCCGGATTCCGGGTGCTTTGTTCATCCCCTGGTGCTTGCAAAACTCTATCTGTAACCCCAATTTTTTGTGCAATCTTGTCCTGGTTGGTGGCTTTAACCATCTTGAAAAAATATTAGTCAGTTGGGATGATTATTCCCAATATATGGAAAAATAAAATTCATGTTCCAAACCACCAACCAGTTGTTGATTTAAAGGCCCATCTACCAACACATAGCTACCATAGATCCAAGAAAAAAGGGCACCGGGATGAAAAGCGGGTCGCATTGGGCCCATCCTGAATGCATTTGATTGATCCAGCTGAATCAAATCTGGGATTAAGGACCCCAACAAACACACATACACATACACTATATAATATTAATAATATATATTATAAATAAAATATCACAGGTAGTGGATTTCCCACTGGGAAAATCAACACCTCCGCCGGAGAACCGATGTCTGAGGTCCACGACTCTTCTTTCACCCGTTGTAGGTGCAACGGCAAGGGTGGTGGAGGAGGCTGGTTCTTCCTACACATTACCATGGTCAAAACATATGGTAGATGGAAGAAATCCTGCACCAGTTGGTAGATGGTTTATCCCATTAAAATCCCATCATTTGCAGTGTTTCATAGTTTACGAATGGTTACTAACTGGTGCGGGATTTCTTCCATCCACACAGTATGGTAGATGGGTGCAAATGGTTTCCAACTTTGGACTATGGCGCACGTATATGAACATTCTACGGAATGGTTGAATCCACTCCGTTTTTGTATTGTAGACCAAGCCATTCCAATATGTTATCTAAATTCTGAGCATTGCCACACAGACACCACTAGCGGCTGCATTGTCTGACTGTCATCATCAGTTCCAGAGATTCAATGAGTGGCTAACTACAAAAACGGCAGGAACCAGCCCATGTCTGCAGGAAACTAATTCCTTTCCCCTAACATCAAACACATTCATAGGGAATTCACACATATCATACTTCGTACCATTTCGGCCATAAATTAGCGGGTGTTTAATATCTAGGGGGATGGGAGTAGTGGTATATAGTATGTAGAATATGTATATATATAACATGAAATATATATTAATATATATATATAATATTATAGCATTATGTGTGTAGATTTGGTATATTTTGGTCTTAGATCACCATTATGTCGCCATTTTCCCAAGTTCAATCCTCATTTTGCTCACCAAGCGCAGCCGGGGCAACCCTCAGGATCCCCAAAATCACCAGAAAAAAATGCTGCTTTTTCAACATCTATAAACCATCAACCCATATGGGTGGTATGATTGCTTTACTATAAAGCAAGATGTACTATATAAAACAAGATGTTTTCAATACGGTAATTATATAATAATTATGGTACACCCAATGATAAACCCTCCTCAATTTCGATTTCGGGAATGCGCCTTATTTGGGATGATTCAAAGGCAGCGGCGTCCTCGCTTCACGTCGACGAGCTCGCTCTTGCTTTGCTTCTTGGATGGCGGTCCATTCTTTCCTCCCAACGCGCACAGTGACCATAAAAGTAACCTAAAAAAAGCACAAAAAGAAACAAGGTAAAAACACCACGTTTAGGAGGCAAAGAGCAAAATTCAATGAAGGTCTAGCCTTTTTTTGAGGACTTGGCACAGTGCATCCAGTAGGAATAGGCCAGTGATCTATGATAGATGATATAAGACACCCTCTATGGCAAAAAGACTTGGCCCACTAACAATTTAGATACCCTGCATTTGTTAAGCAATTCTTGAAGTATATATTATCAACATATATCAGAATCACTATGGTATTGTTCTGAGTACTAAATGTACTAACAAGACAATCCATCCAAGCCTTCCCCTAACCGGCCCCTAACCACTTGATCCGCTCCCACTTTGTCGCCCATCCCTGGTTTCCGCATCCGCGCCTCTCAGCCTCCTTCTTTTTCTCTTCCTTCGTTGGTTCCTGGCACAGTTTTTTCTGGTTACCAAGGAACATTTGGTCATCCAGCGTGGCCAGCCCTGGAAAAAGGTGACTTGGGGATCAAGAAATCCCCTAGTATAATGTCAACCCTGGACTCCAAAAAACCCAAACGGCTGTTCAATTGGGGCGGGTACCATCAAAAAGTATCAGATTATGACTATTGCGTAAGTAGCCTCTAATTCATAAACCATGCTTTATCATATCTGGGGTTGATATATATATATATACATACATACATACATATCAATATTGTACATATCTTAGACTAAACCCCAGTGGCCAACGGCCAGTCATCATCCTCAGGTCAGCTAGAGAGTAAAGCTGTACCCTAGCACGGGGTCGCAGCCAAAGACCGGCAGCCGCAGCTGCCAGTAGAGATCACATAGTAGAAGAAGCAGGAGCTTCCGAAGCTCCTACTCCCCCTTTCCCCACACGTCTTTTTCTGAACTCGGCGCCGTGAGCACGAGGAATTGACGGGTGTGATTCACTCTGATTGCGCTCCAAATTCGATACACAATTCATCCTCAGGTCATGGAGCCCAACATCAAAACCCTGGCACACCAATGACCCAACAAAATAGCTGGCTAATGGATGTTTATTCGCCCAAAATATGGTAATTCAAAAAAAGACACTAATGATAGGTTTTGACCCATGGATAAAATGGTGGGTTTTGTATATCTATGTCACTTGAGTCGAGGGCAGATATTGCTGATCCGCATGCTACACCTAGATGAACAGAAGTTGTGCAGTTCTCCAAGCACGATTTTCAAATATGTTCGACATCCTGTCCATGCTTAATGGAATGCCACATGTTTCCCCATGACTTCGTTCGACGTAGTTTCACAAGAAGAAACAAGAGCGCCAACAAACCATGCGTCTGAACGAATATTCATACTACACCATCCAGAACATTGGGCAATTTGGGGATGGTTAATTCTAGTTATATATAGTTAACTACACCTTACAATCACTTCGCAACAGTCGTGATCAAATTCATCCCCACATCATCTATCACAAAGATATATATATATATATATTCATATTCCCAGCAGATCGGCTATTATATCACCAGTTTTGTAATTTGTTGCGCAATTCCACAAATTTTGTGGGTTATCAACATAGTTTTTGGAGCCCCATACGCCCTCATGGAGGTGACCGTACCGTTCTGGCGCTATGGTTTTGGGCACCAGCACCCAAAAGTGGGTTATCCCGTCATATCACCCCATGAAATGCCATAATCCCTTCCCCCTAATATTAAACACCCCCTAAACGAAACCATGATTTAGTAGGGGATTTCCACATTTTTTTGGGACCATAGAAATGGTGTGTTTAATATGAACGGGTGATGGGATTAATTATGTTCAATTACCATTCCCATAAACCCACAAAATGTTACTAAATAATTTATATAATTATAATATTCCCATATTACCATAATTAATTACCATTCCCAGACTACCATAATTAATAGTCCCATAATTATTACTAAATCCTGTTTTTGTTGCTTAAGTCACCAGTTCCCGGCCAGAGGATCCCCCAACGCACCTTGATTCCTTGCCGCTCCATCTTTCGCTGATGTCTTGTGCGGAGCCGGTGTCGGGGGGCCATGGTGGTCAGTTTGCCGGGGTTTAATGGATGGGCTGAAGCTTGGTGAAAATCTAAAAAATGGGATCAATTAATATGGATTAGTCTCCAAATTCTGCTTACAGAATATGTGAAAGGGTTAGAATATTTGACATTTTGTTGCCCCTCCCTTGATATATGAAATAGATTGGAATATTGCATTTTCTCTGCTTGGATCACCCCCGGAGTTAGCAAAGGGAGAACCGAACACGAGAGTTTCTCGACACCTGTGTTCCTCACGGGAGTGGGACCCACATCTTTTTAAGGATCTTCCAAAAATAACCATACCAGCATTCACAAATAATTACACACACACATATCCACGGAGATACTCTTTGTTGATCAAACATGGCAATTGGAAATCCCCCAAAAATTGAAGTTTATTGGGAACATCCTCGAACTCATTTTTTGGGATTTCCGAAAAAATGCTTCGTTTGATGACACCGCAACACGGGTACGCGGCGGCCACCTCTCTTGCTTCTTGATGTCATCCCATGGGTTGTAGGCTTTCTCTTGCACCATACCTCGACGACTCGAGACGTGCAACGGCTCGCGATTGAAGAATCGGCATGTTCATGTGCCCAAGTTTCATTGGCTGTATTCAAAGTGATCCTCAGAGAGAAAAAACATAAACGCCAAACATCAATGACATATACCATCGACATTTATTGAACAAATATCCTGAAATGCTTGAGCATCGCGGAGTGGGTCTTCATTCTTGCTCCAAATTGGCGGGGCTTCGACACTTGGACAGCGTTGACAAGGCACTGTTGGTAAGAATTATCTTTAGCAATGGTGCTTACTACAGTACATGCTAATTAGATCTAATTAGTGCTGCTAGTAGCTGCTAGTATCTCAGCCACTTTGAGGGAATCCAACGATGCCAGGCCAGGCCCCACAACTTATGAAGAGCCGAGCCCTTCAACCCGAAACGCAGGGCACCGGATTTGAAGGAATTTCCTCTCAGCTGCTCCGATTTCACGAACCTCAGCCGGAGCGCTGCCGGAATCTGTACGCCCACTTTCCCACCCCGAATGGTCGGAAAAATAAATTGGCATGACTTAGATTAGATGATTAGATCGTTATCTCATGTCCAAATATGTCACGTTGTTTCTATAGGAATGCAACAAGAGAGCTGTACACGAGCCAGTGACAAACATGTGTTTGCGGCGTCAGGCAGGAATGGTATGGTGTGCCTGTTCAACTGGTGATTCACCAATAATGAGGTTCCAAACTAGACAAACCCAACATAACCCAACCAAACATCGGGAAAAAATGGATAATCTTACAATCTCGCCATCAAATACAGGCTTTCCTCTAGAATTTCCCTTCGACCAATGCTACAAACAAGAATTCCCAGCTGGGGCTGGGTCAATCCCACGAAACCTCACCATGGATCCTGGGTTAAAGGTTCCCCCCCTGTAAAGTAATATGGATGTTACAAAAACCCAACATCTGATAACATCTGGTAAACTGTCCCATAACTATGGAAAATCACAATTTTCAATGGGTAAATTCACTATTTCTATGGCCATGTTCAATAGCTATGTTTGTTTACAAGAGGGTAACATCTGTAGATCATGTTCCTTTCGTTTCTGGGTTTTCCACATCTTTTGACACATTACCCCCAGGGTAGTTCACAACTCAGCCAGAGCCCAGGGTTTGTTTGAAAATAGGCTACCCAATTCCACAGGATTATTCGAATGCATCATCCCCATTACCCTCTGGTAATTTAACATAGCTATTGAAAATGGCCATTTATAGTGAGTTTTCCCATTAAAAATTGTTATTTTCCATAGTTATGTTAGTTTACCAGAGGGTAAAATTACCATTAAGTGGGACCGGTATACCCCATTCTCAGACACATGTTGGGATGAAAGTTTCCTTCATAGGTATGGTCAGCGAGGCTTGATCCCATGAAGACCGGTGGTTTTACCGGTGAAAAATCCTTTAAAAAGACTTGTCATCATCCCATGTTGAACAAATGCTGAGAGAATCTTATCTCAAATCATCCAAGATATGTACGCGTATGGAATGCTGTTACAATGACAAATGATAGGATAGGATATATATATATATATATATACGGTGACTACAATTAAATTTACGGAGTTTTAAGTATACGAACAAGTATTTTAGACTACCTCCGGGAAGGTTTCCCTTGGCCCGCCCAGCCATCAAAACATACGGAATCCAATTCATTTAAACATACTGCAACTACATTTATATAAATATACGAACTGGTATTTCATACTACCTCCGCGGCCTCGCGGCCTCCACATATTTAAATGTTGTTACCGTATGTACACCTGGACATCCAAAAGCTGCATTTTTTTGGCCTGGACTGAAAAGTAGTGAACGACCAAAAATCGAACAAACAAATTAAGAAATGCTGATTTTGCCCTGTCAATCACATTTGGAAAGACCAAACATATGATGCTGTCATTGAATCCATCGCTCTTGGCCCAAACGTGATCAGTTCTTCAGGCTTAGTACCCCCCAATTTATTGGGCTCTTAAATGCCGATGATTGCAGGTCAAATCCCACAATTTTGAAAAGAATCCAGTTTTATTTTGAGAAAAAACACCGGCTGTGCCGGGGAAATCCCACTGATTTAGCACCGGGTGCTGAATCATTGGATAAAACATTGGATTTGTGTTTGCCTACTTCGCCGAAGTCATGCCATGCACAAAATTTTGGAACCTCAGGAGATCCCACTACTTGAGTGTTATATCAGTTATATCCCAACTTTTGGGGTTGATTTTTGTATGGTTATACCTTTCGAAAACCGTTCTGTCTTACCGTTACTGCCATGTTGTAGCCATGGTTAAACCTCAACTGCCAAGTAGGCCTTGGCACCCTTGGATCTGAGGAGCTTCTCACGAAAGCGTTTCGACATCAGCACCGGGTCCTTCTCATCAACGTCGCTGCGCACCTCGGTGCCGTGGCCAGAGGGTCCCCAGGGTGGCAGGGCCCTGCCAGGCCTGGATAAAGACGTCGATTGGTCATGGGATATAAAATATGGGAAAATCATGGAAAATCATATCTTATAAATTGTCATTCATGGGATATTTAATACTAATATATTATATAATACAACAAACAAGATGAAGCCCACGAACCCGAATGCTCACACGTATGTTAATGGTACAGATGTCAATACACATGGTTATGCAGTCACGCACAATACCTTGCTGCAATAGTTTATTTGAACAGTCTTGTACATGTTCCCTTGTTACCAGTCTGCAGTGTGGAATGTAAAGTGTAGAGTGGGCAGTGTAGAGTGTGTAAAGTGTAGAATGAGGAGTGTAAAGTGTAGAGTGTGGAGTATGGAGTGTAGCGTGTGGAGTGTGGAGTGGAAAGTGTAGAGTGTGGTGTGTAGAGTGTGGAGTGTGGAGTGTAAAGAGTAGAGTGTGGTGTGTAGAGTGTAGAGTGTTTAGTGTAGAGTGTAAAGTGTAGAGTGTGGAGTGTAAAGTGTGGAGTGTAAAGTCTAGAGTGTGGAGTGTGGAGTGTAAAGTGTGGAGTGTAAAGTGTGGAGTGAGGAGTGTAAAGTGTGGAGTGTGGAGTGTAAAGTGTGGAGTGTGAAGTGTGGAGTGTAAAGTGTGGAGTGTGGAGTGTCGAGTGTGGTGTGTAAAGTGAGGAATGTAAAGTGTGGAGTGTGGAGTGCACAGTAAAGTGTGGAGTGTGGAGTGCGGAGTGTGGAGTGGAAAGTGTAGAGTGTGGAGTGTAAAGTGGGGAGTGTGGAGCGTAGAGTGTGGAGTGAGGAGTGTAAAGTGTAAAGTGTGGAGTGTGGAGTGTAAAGTGTAGAGTGTGAAATGTGGAGTGGAAAGTGTAAAGTGTGGTGTGTAGAGTGTGGAGTGTGGAGTGTGAAATGTAAAGCGTGGAGTGTAGTGTAAAGTGTAGAGTGTGGAGTGTGGAGTGTAGAGTGTAAAGTGTAGAGTGTAAAGTGTAGAGTGTGGAGTGTAGAGTGTAAAGCGATGAGTGTAAAGTGTGGAGTGAGGAGTGTAAAGTGTGGAGTGTGGTGTGTAAAGTGTGGAGTGTGGAGTGGAAAGTGTGGAGTGTGAAGTGTGGAGTGTAAAGTAAGGAGTGTGTAGTGTAAAGTGTGGAGTGCGGAGTGTAAAGTGTAGAGTGTGGAGTGTAAAGTGTAGAGTGAGGAGCGAGGAGTGGAAAGTGTAGAGTGTAGTGTAAATATGGAGTGTGGAGTGTAAAGTCTCAGGTGAGGAGTGAGGAGTGTAAAGTGCAAAGTGTGGAGTGTAAAGTGTAGAATGTGGAGTCCAAAGTGTAAATTGTGGAGTGTGGAGTGTAAAGTGTAGAGTGTGGAGTGCGGAGCTTCCCCCATAGACACGGCGACGCCACAGGAAAACCAGAGACTCGAGACGAGACACGTGGGAGCACCAAAACGGACATTTCGTGCGAGACTTCCTCCAATTTTGATATTTTCGACACGTTATCAAACAGGTTGGAATGTCACAAAGTGCCACGCCTGCCACGCAAAACGACATGACAACTTGCTTGGACACATTCGATTAGGAGAGGTTTTCCAGCTTCCCCCATAGACACGGCAACGCCACAGGAAAACCAGCGACTCGAGACAAGACACGTGGATGCAGAAAAACCAGGATTTCGTACGAGACTTCCTCCAATCTTGATCTTTTCGACACGTTATCAACAGGTTGGAATGTCACAAAGTGCCACGCCTGCCACGCAAAACGACATGACAACTTGCTTGGACACATTCGATTAGGAGAGGTTTTCCAGCTTCCCCCATAGACACGGCGACGCCACAGGAAAACCAGCGACTCGAGACAAGACACGTGGATGCAGAAAAAACAGCATTTTGTAGGAGACTTCCGGCAATTTTCACAGTTGGCAACATGACAAAAGGACAGGTTTTGCAGCTTCCCCCATAGACACGGCGAAGCCACGGGATAACCAAAGACTCGAGACGAGATGCGTGGGAGCACCAAAACGAGCATTTCGTGCGAGACTTCCTCCACTTTTCACACTTTGTAGCTTCAAAATCGACGTTTTCCTACGAGTTGAACCTGAAAATTTGCAACCTCAAAATCGATGTTTCGTGCGAGGCTTCCGTCAATTTTCAGCACATGTCACAAAACGCCACGCCTGCCACGGAATTTGCACCTTGTCGCCATTTAACGCAGCCTTGCCAATGCGATTTGCAAAAAACACGCAGCGCGACACGTCTAAAGTGCTGCGCCTGCTACGAAAAATGACGATGGACACGTCCAAAGTGCTGCGCCTGCCACGAAAACGGCAACACATCTTGTGAAAACGTCGCAAAAGTATTGCGCCTGCCACACAAAACGACTTTCGACACGTTACAAAACACCTCTGAATGTCACGAAATGCCACGCCTGCCACGCGAAACGAAGCAACGACACGTCTGAAACACCCAAAAAGGACCACCTCTGCAGAACTTCCCATAGGCGCGGCCATACGGGGATCGCGCGGACGGTTGCGAACGGTTGCGGACGGTTGCGCTCGTGAACGCAACGTCGAGCGAACACACCCTCAACCCCCAGACCCCCAGAGTGAAACGGGAACCCTTGCTACGCATTCGGGAATAAAAATGGTGATGACATGGGAAACATATGGAAAAATGTGGGCAACCCAATGACAGAAACAACTACCATTTGGGGATGGTTTGAATCCCATCCATTCAAATGGTGAGTTTGGGGACGGTTTATGACATTGGGTTTTACTGCAGTATAATGGGATATGAAACCAGCGATATGATAAGGCTTTGTCTGAAAATGATTGGATTTACTCCAAATATCTCCAGTTTCAATGGAGGAGCCACTTGATTTTGGGGTACCGGGTACCAGGGGTCGATCCCTTGGATCCACTCCGATGTTTTTTGCAGCAAGGGTAATAAGGCCAAGGGATTGTTTCAAGTTCAGCACCGCCCCTAAAAACTGATGTAAGTTGGGTGAAGAATCACCTGGAATGGTAGGAACCCCTCTTGCGCAGAATAATTGAAATTGGTTGAATCACCAACTTCTCGTGATCTAACATGCCCGTCCATTCTCAGAGTATGTTCCTATGGCGAGATTTCAATTTTCGATGGAGAACTTGGAAATGCAGGCGGCAGACTGAAATAAGGCCTCAATCTTCCTATCCTCCGGCCAACCCCCCCGAGGACAAGAGCCGACCGGCGACCGGGGACTGAAATACGGCCCATTTTGGCATAGTTACACACAGTAGATAAGAATGGATCATTGTAGTGATCCGGCAGGAACTGAATCCTGTAACATGCAGATTAAATGAGAAACAAACTAATCCACGACGTATCCTACGAATAATGGAAGTTCTCCTGAATGATCACCATGTCCTGAATCGACATCAAAAAGAATAGAATAAGGATCGAAAAGTTAAGTAACCAAAAGTAATGTCATCGGCGATGTCGTCGGCGAAGATTACCCGCAACCAATATGCATCGGCGACGATGTTGTCGGCGACCATGTAAAAACATGTAAAATAAGTTGTTTAAAAAACGGCATGGTGGTTCTCGGGTTAGCCACGTCCCATCGCGAAGAATATTGCAGGTACGTTTTCACCCCCAGACTGTCTGGTCTTCATTGGCCAGGACAGACAGTGATGGGTTCCTGGCCCCCTGCATTATTTAAAAAGGGGGAAGAGGGAAGAAAAAAGAAGGAAGCTTTACATCTATCCAGATGTTACACACACTAGACAAGAATGGATCATTATATGATCCGGCAGGAACTGAATCCTGAAACATGCAAACCAGCCTAGATCGTTAGATTAGTAAAGGAGCCAAATGAGGTACTTCACGAAAACGATGTAGGGCATCCAATATTGTCAAACGAAGTCATAACCAGATTCCATAGAGTTTTAACCAGCATGTTGAGAATCCACAATAATGTTTCGGCGAATGTTTCCCAAAAGGACCCACAGTTCGTCGGCGACATGATCTCGGCGAAAATAGATCAAAAAACATAATACTGTCGGCGATGTGGTTTTCGGCGAAAATCTGAGGAAAGTTCTGATGCATGTAAATGTCAAAATTGATTCCAGATTGCGACAACAGTGCAGCAAATTGTATAATATTGTGGTTGGGGTTCTTAGCTTGGCCCCTTGCTATGTCCGAAAAAAGGCAGGTACGTGGAGTTGATCAGACTCCATATCCTAGTCAACTGCATGGAGCTTCGTTGGCGACAGCCATGCAGCGACCCTGTCGCCCCCTGCAAACTAGTGAAAACCAATAAGAAGTTTTACATCTGTTCAGATGGTACACACACACACCTCGCATATAGCGAGGTTGGATTTTTTTGGAAGAACTTCGCTGGCGGAATCGGCAATACACCAGTGAGAGTGAACCTGTAAAAACCGAATGTACAAACGGGCGATCACTTCAGTCAGAAGAAGAAGAATTCGGAGCTTGTAGAAGGACTTCGAAAGCATCGTGGAAGCTCATGCGTTCAACCATCGCCCACGTCTCATTGAATTCCCCAGATGCCGTAGCAGCCTTCAAGGTATCAGAAAGATCCTTGGCTAATTCATGGATCCGGGTGGTAAGGCTCGGTTCATCTGCTGGAGATGTCGTCTCAATGGGCACATTGTGAAAAGGATGGTGTCCGTGTACAAGGGGAATCTCGAAATGATGTCGCCAATAGTCCGCTGTACGTAGGGACCACTCCCAGTTGCCCGAAAGACCATAAAAGTAGTGTTCAGGGTCACGACATCGGGAATGCCCTAGCAAGGGGATTTCTTCAATGAAAAGCTCCCTGGTGTTGTTGGAGTGGGTAATGACCTTGAACTGGATCTGGTGAACCACGCGAGAAGAGAATTGAGCACGATGGAGGTAGTTGTGTGCAGAACTTGACTCCATTGGAAACGGGACGCAAGGAGGTGCTGGTCCTGAATATGTATCAGGATGGGCCATAGTACCCGTGG